TGTTCTATCTAAAGTTTGGATAAGTATTGTATCTTGGTTGCTGAAAAGGGTGCCCTAGGAGAGGAACATGAACCCAGATGTCTGCATTGAATGATGATGCTGCTAGTTTCATATCTCATTCTATCAAATGTCGGATTGTAGAAAAATGGTGTCGCCCTCGACCAAAGAAAAAGAAAAAGAAAGACGGTACTTTATTGTATGTATCACAGTCAAGTCTAGTTGAAGCAAACATCAAGTACAAAGTAGCTTGATTCATTGTAGTGATCACTTGATTCAAATTTTTATTTGCATTAGGACTTTGAACTCACTGTGGCTGTAATAACCATGTGGCGTAAAAATTTGCAGCATTAACATGACACGCAACTCACAAGTTTTGCCCCTAAATGGTTTTGCTTTATGAATGGAGTGCTTGATGAAAGATTTATACAATCATGGTTAATTTATATATTTCAGGGTATTTATACCTATAGTGCTATAAATCTTAAACCCTTTCACTTGTAAGAATTTAAGTAGCCCTGAAGCTGGTATTTAAAGAAGGGATTTTGAGACGGTTCTTTGCAAAAAAATACTTGTTTTATTGCATATTACTTTGACAAATTTAATGAGAAAATACATTCGAAAAACCTTTCAGAGATGGAGAGGTTGATGGATAAAAATATGGAGGAAAAGAAGGTTCAACTAGTTGTGGATTGAAGATCTAGTTGTAAGCGATGATCTCATATCTACAATGGCAGATTCATCTGCTCCCAACTTTATGGCCTCTTTGCTTGCTCTTAGAAACCGTGACACTGATCCTGTCACATACTCATGAGCTTCTTTCACACTCATCTTCTTGCCCATCTCATCAGGGAAGCTGCTCAAGAAGTGGTCACCATTGAGAACAGCTGCCACTTGAACTAATTCACTCTGAAATTCTGAGAGACCAGCTTCTTCTTTCGCTTCTGCTGTCCTCAAAGGTGCTACATCTGGCAATGTCTCTGCAATAAATCCAAAGAAACAAATTCATCTTTCCATTTAGTTTTTCCCTTTTTCTTTTCACTCAGTATGCACTGCCTTTTCTCCATTTAGGGCAAGCTAGAAGGTCCTAAATTTGCCAAATACCAACAGTGTTGAATAGGAAAATACCCGGGCAATCAGTTCTGGGAGATGTCAACAACCCGACAACCTCTTCGAAAGTGCCAGCCCAAGCGTCTCTGTGAGTCAAGAAGTTGGAGGACAGATTGAACATTTTCTTTATTGTTGCAGGGATGGATGAGTGCTCAAATTCAGAGTTTGGAGTAGGTCCCTTTGGACCACTTATCACTACAAGAAACAGCAGAAATTCAGTCGTAGAAGAGGCATGAGGGTATTGATATACATAGAAGAGGGGAGCTGAAGATTACTGATGAAAATTCAAGTTACCAGTGCTTTCCTTGATCCAAGGTGAGACCATGATTGTTGGCACACGGACACCAAGCCTGTCAAACTTGAAGAAAGAAGGAGCAGGGCCAGTATTTCCATCTGGGTTTGGGACATTGACATAAGGAGTCTTGACATGATCATAGAAACCACCATGTTCATCATAAGTAATTACCAAAAGGGTCTCATTCCATTGAGGACTTGCTCTCAATGTCTCATACACCTCCTTGACAAGCTTTTGCCCGTTAGCAACATCATGAGATGGATGGTCATCATTTGCAGGCAATCCCTTAAGATCAAAATATCTTGGCTCGATAACAGTTAAGCTGGGAAGTTTACCATTCTTAGCATCTTTCTTAAACTTTAAATCAAACTGATGAAACTTGAACGCATACTTCAATTTCCTCAGGTTTCTATAGAACAAAGTTGTGGGTATGTTTTGGAAATAAATGCCAAAGTCTATACCATTTTCATGAAGTGATTCAAAGATTGTTTTTTGTGGGTAGCCTTGAGCTAATTGTTTCTTAACATGACTTGTTGAGCCATGAGAAGTAGCAGAATATACAAACAATCTATTGGGTTGTGTTGGGCCAGGAATAGAAGAGAACCACCTATCAAAGACTGCAAATTCCTTTACAAGAGCAGCATAAACTGGCACAGCCTCAGGCCTAAAACCTTTCATGACGGTCTCAGAGAGGTTCTGAGACATTGACAATGCTTGTTCCACAAAGCCAGACATGGAAGGAAAGGAGGCCGAGCCAAATACCTGTTGCTCCACGGCTTCAAAAGAGTGACCTGGATCCGGATCCACAAACTCAGCATCATCAGCGAAGCAAATGGATTGTGGGTTTGGATTTTTTGTTGAAACGGGATTGCATTCATCCCCAGTTACCCCATTGATTGCAGGGTTAATGGATTTCTTCATCCACCCAATCATGTGATCAAAGGATCTATTTTCCATCACCAACACCACTATAGTCTTAATGGGTGACTGATGCTGGGCTCCCAATGGTGTGAAGAGACATGACACAGTGAGAAACAGCAAGAAAATGAAGGAAAATGAGGTTGGTGGCTTCGTTTTGGATCCTCCCATTTGAGCCTGCAGAAAAGATTGGCCTTTCACTTATCTTGATAACTCCAGGAATCCAAAAACCTCTGAACTTACCCTATAATGAAACAAATGGATGATAAAAACTGAACACTTGATTGGGGATTCAATACATTATTACATAAAATCAGTATCTTTGCCTAGATATTTTCAGTGTAGATACAGAACACAGAAGGAAAGAGATGGCTCTGGACCCCTGGTTTTGTGTTGTTGATAGTGTGAAATGCTATTAAGGGAAAAGCAATAAAGAGGCAGAGAAAATGACATCTGGAATGTGGAATCTGTTTTTCATGTCCATTTATCAAGGATTAAATTTGTGGGTAAGTGTTGGATTAAGCAATGGTCAAATAGTCCCATGATTTTCGAAGGATTTCAGTTACTGTTATGACAAAGATTCTCCATGTTTTTTTTCAACGAGAAATTCACGGGTAGCGGATAATGTTGCTCAGCCTCAGGTCGTGATAAAATGAACTATATTCAAAAGTCTAAAGTTAATGATAAAAAATTATGTATTTAAGATAATTTTGATAAATTATCGATTAATTCAAACTTAAAATGTATCATTAGTCAAACCTTTAATTTGAATATTAAATATGTAAAATATTGTTGTTGTCTCCTATTCAAATTAAGTATTTAACGATAAATTTGATAATTTATTTATTTGTATTATATTTATTTTATATTAAATATATATAAAATATAAAAATTATAATATTAAATTTATATTAATATATCAAATATAAAAATATTTTATAAATTTTATTAAATTTATATTTTTTTATTAAAATTTTAAAATCTATTTTTTATTTCTTTATATCATGTCTCTCTTTTTATAAATTAAATTAAAAGAACTTTAAAAAATTAAAAAAAAAAATTTGTAACCCAAGACGCAAAATCAGGCTTTGAAGGGAGACAGAACTAGACCAAACACGGCTAGGCTCCGACTGGACAGACAAACTGACAGTTGAAACTTTGAGGCTTTTGAAGCCTGAGGGATTCCAAGTTTCAACCATTTTAACCGTTCATTAAACCCAGAAAAGGAAATCTTCTGGTCCATGTTCAATTCTTCTTAGGAGATTCTTCATTTTTACAATTTGGTTCATACTACATTCGTGTTGGATATTCTTCAGATACCCATTATGGCTACGGCGATGGCGATCTGTCAAGGGCTCCCTTGGCACATGATACAATTAGGGACTGACATTTCGAAAAACCCTTTGCACCACACAAATGGTGTCTTGGGCTTCTGGCAGTGAGCCCTTTTCTTGTGCTTGTTGTTGGTATTTAGACCCGGTCAAGATTGAGTTACCCGTTCAAATTCGATGATTCATTTAAGTTTTAAAAAAATTAAAATAAAAAATTAAAATTCATTAAATGGATTTTAACATAATTTTTAAATTTATTAAATTTTAAATTGAATCTTAAACAAAAAATATAAAATTTGAATTCAAGACTAACTCGAATTCAAATATATATTATATATAAATTAATTCACATATATATAAATTAAAAATAAAATTATATATTTTATTAAACTTTAATTTTTATTTTCATATAATTTTTAATTTTAATTTTTATGTAGGTAAGTGAAATATAATTTTATTAAACTTAATTTAATCATTTTTTTATTATTTATTATATAAATTAAGTTTAATGATTGAATTTATGATTTTTTTTTAATTTAAGTTAAATTTTAAAAATTTTTAAAATTCGAAGTTTTAAATTTAACGAAATTTAAATAAATATATAAACTATTAATATTAAGGATGAATCTAATTAGAATATAGTTTTGCCTGATTCATAAACACATCTTTTTGTATTTCATGATCTTTTATACGCTTTAAATTTGTGTTATAATAAGACAAAATAATTTTAAAATCTCAAGTTTTAGTTTGTTTTAAATCATCCAGTAAACATTAATTTTCCTTCAATCCATAGTCACCCAACATCGATAAGAATCACATCAACTGCAAACTACTTTTACTACAAACGCTCTCAACCTTATCTCGTGAGAGATTTTAATTATTAATTTAATTGATTTATATAATTATTTTTAAAAATAATATTAAAAATTTTTAAAATTTTTTTAATATTTTTAAATTTACTAATACATAAATTAAACGATAATATTATCGATGGGGATTTCAATTACCATTTGTCGTATACCATGAGGACAATTTCAACCAATTTGTAACTTAATTAAACAAAAAAAATAAAAAAAAAAATTTTGAATCGCACGAGGAATCTTAATTCACCATATCGCAGCCGTTGGAAATCAGAAAGCAAACGGCGGAGAGTGCTCACACGTTTGCTCGCTCGTCACGACACCCGACAATGATCCAACATGGATGCAAACTGTCTCACGTTGTCTTCTTCTTTCTCTGTCCCGATCCCCTTAACTCGCTCATCGCACCTTTTTTTTGCCTTCTCTTTTCCCTCTTCTTCACTTTCTTTTCTTTCTGGCAAGAAACAGAAACAAAGGAGGGGGGGCGAAATGGCAGATTGGGGTCCTGTCTTAGTAGCAACAGTGCTGTTCGTTTTGCTGTGTCCTGGACTGTTGTTTCAGATCCCTGGTAAGAACAAGGTTGTCGAGTTTGGGAACATGCATACCAGTGGAGCTTCCATTGTTGTCCACACTGCTATCTACTTTGGTCTCATTACCATCTTTTGTATTGCCATTGGAGTTCACATCTACGCTTCCCAATGATCTTAGATTTTGTACCCTTTTTGTTTCTCATTTCAGTGTCTCTTTCTTCTGTTCTTGTCGTTGGTTTTGCTTCATCTGTATGAAATAGTTTTGGGTTGTAATTGGATGGATGAAAATGAACCATTTTGCTAAGTTCTGTGTGCTTAGCTTTATTGCCTGTCTGGAAAACGTGGGATTTGATCCTACAACTACTACTGAATGATAAAGGTGTGGATCCAATTGAAGTACATTTTCCGTGATTTGCTGTCTTTTTCAAGGCAATGTGATATGCTTCCAAATTATAGAAAGATATTGATTGTGCCAAGCTGTCAGCTATCTACAAAATTATGAAATCACCCATATAGTTCAATGTCAGAATATGACATTAGAGCTGATCTCGTACATTGAAATTCATTTAAATATAATAAATCAACACCGTGAGACATTAATTGACAAGTTGTTGAGACGATTGAGCTCACATAAATTCTAAAATTTTAAACTTATCTGACGCATCAACTTTATCAAAATTATCATAATATTCTCATTTGTCTGATAAGTTATATTCTAAAAAAATAACTATTTCAGCCTGTAACACTAAAAATGATTTTAATAGGCGTTTAGTTTGGAGAAATTTACATACTTTTTTAAAATTTTATTGTTAGGTATTTAATTTTAATATTTAGTTTAAGATAATTTGATTTTAGAAAAAATTGATATATTATTAATAGTATTCAAAGTCTTAAAATTAAAATTTTATCTTTTTTTGTGATATTCTAAGATTTTAGAAAAAAATAGTACTTGACTACAAAGTTACGAAACAATGGTTACCATTTTGAAAAATATGTCTGAAAATGAATGCAAGTCAGTTATAAGTTTATATTTATAAAAAATTTATTTTATATACGGGATTTGGCATAAAAAATACATTCAATAAATTTTTACAAAAAATTGAATGAGGTTATTGAATACGATTTTAGCCAAAAACGCCTTAAATAATCTCAAAAAATTTTTATAAGGAGATTATTGAATGTATTTTTTGTCAAAAATATCTTGAACAACTTTTATTAAATTTTTTTAAGGGATTATTTAAGGTATTTTTTATCATAAACGACTTCAATAATCCCCTGTCATTTTTTTGGATTATTCATGTCATTTTTGCCTATAAATGCCTTAAATAATCCATACAAAAAAATTAATATAGGTTATTTAAAGCATTTCTAATAAAAAATGCATTCAATAATTCATTTCAAATTTTATGAAGTGATTATTCAAAGGTGTTTTTGGCAAAAAATACCTTCAAAACTAAAAAAACTTTTATTGGAGATTGTTCAAGGTATTTTTGTCTCTAAAACGCCTTAAATAATCTTTTATAAAAAATTGAATAGAGTTATTGAATGTATTTTTTGTTAAATATACATTCAATAATCTCTTTCAATTTTTATGAGGTAATTATTCAAAACATGTTTTACCAAAAACGTCTTGAATAATTCCTTTTCAATTTTGTATTAAAAACCCAAAAAATGCCTTAAATAACCTCATTCAATTTTTTGTAATGGATTATTTAAAGTATTTTATGATCAAAAACATTTTCAATAATCCAAAAAAAAAAATGAAAGGAGATTATTGAATACGATATTGGCATAAAACCCATTGAATAATTCATTTTAAAAAATTGAAGATGATTATTCAAGGCGTTTTTTAATAAAAACATTTTGATTAATTAAAAGGGATTATTTAAGGTGTTTGTGACAAAAAAATGAATATTTCAAATTGGATTATTCAAGGCATTTTATGATAAAAAATACCTTGAATAATTTCTTTCAATTAAAAATTAGATTATTTAAGTTACCATCATATATAGTAAGAGGATTATAGTAATTATTCAATATTTAATACATGTGAATTCTTTCTAACCAAACGAATTAATTTGAATATGAAATGTCTTAAAAATGAAAAAAAAAACTTCAAATATTGTATTTTATTGAGAATCACAATTTTTTTCAAAATTTATGATTTCGTAAACCAATCACCCTTTAATATTCCAAAATTATCAACTCTATTGGACTTAGCGAAGTTAAAAGTTGACTGATCAAATCAATTTATCATAAAATCAAGACCAAGATGATAGTTTTAAACTTCTGGTTAAGCCAACCTAAAATGATTGGGCTTAGCTGCTTAGGCCTAAAAATATACATTTTAAAAGCATGTGATTTTCTCAACAATGGGTTGCCATATTATACACAGGGGTGTAATCAAGTCGAGCCGATACAGTGAAAAGCTCTAGTTCGAGCTCAACTCTCAACTTGCGACTCGATACTCGATTAGAACTCGATCAAGTTTCATTTTCCTAGCTTGAGTTCGATTCATGATCAAAATCGAGCTACTCGAGCTCGCTCGATTAAGCTTGGTTAATATGTAAAAATAAGTTCGATTCTTACTTGACAAGAGCTCGATCGAGCTCAAGCTCGAGTTCGAGATCTTTTACAACTATTTTTATCAAACCTAATAAATATTATATTTTCAAGATAATAACAATAATAATAGCAACAACAGCAATAACAATAACAATAAAAAAAAACTTACACAACAACCAAATCTAACCAAATAAAAGTCTCATCAAATGATTTAAATACAACACACAAATTTGTTTAGTCCCATTTAATTTTTTTATTTTTTTTTCATAGAAATATGTATAATTTTTGTCATATTTATTCACTGTAACTTTGTGTCTACATTTACACATATTTCTCTATTTTTGCTTTTCATAGAAAAACTAAGTACGTACAAAACAAACTAACCTAATAATTTTAAGATTTCATCTTGATCTAAATTTAAGATTTTATCTTGAAAGTCTGGAGATCAAGTCTTGAAATAAACGAAAGGAATTTGTTCTCTCCTTAAATTAATTCATTGTTGTGCTTTTGTGCAAAAGCCATTGGTATTTAATTATAATCTAAAATTAAATAACTAAAAGGAAACAAGAAAAGTAAAAGCTCATGAATTTGTTTCATATAGGTTTCCTTACCAGGAATCTGCTATAGAAATCTAATGCCTTTCGAGGTTTATATTCTAGGACAGTATGCTCAGCTCCCTGAACCACACCAACAAAAAATGTTGAATCATAAAATAGATAGATCAAAATTAAAATTTTGGAAGTTTATAATTTGACAATATTTCTTTATTGATGCATCCTAGTTATTATCTTGCTACATTCATAATATTAGCAAAAAAATGTCCACAATGTCATACCTTTATGGTTAAAAAGGTCAAGTTGTTGTCTTAACTTTGAAAATACCTGCAAATTCATTAAAAAAAATACTAATTCAATTCTGAAGTGAAAATTAAAATGATTTCAAGTTTATAGAACACAACATAGAAGGCATTGGTTTGAGAAGAAAATAAATCTAATTTATTTGAAAATCTACTAATAACAGATTTAAGATAAGATAAAATTTCCATTATTAAAATAATAATTTTACATATGTTAAGGGAAGAAAGGGATTGAAAATACCAAGCAATTTGTCTATTAGAAGTCCATAGCCTCCATTCATCCATTATCTTATATCCAACTAATCTTGTCCAAGCTTCACTCTCGGTGAATGGAACCCATGTTGTGATCCCCATTGCCAAAAAAGTTAAGTACATAGCATTTATTCGAAAAACATAAACCCAGTGGACATTTGTGAATATAATGTAGAGCACTCATTTGTCATCGCACTAAAAACCGAACTTCATGTCCCTTAATTTCAAACAAGTAGCCGAAATGGGAGTTTGCACGTCATGAAATTCAATCAATCAATGCAACTTCAGATAAAAACAATGCTTAGGGATTTGGTCAAAGAAAAAAAATTATAACCACCTAGAGAATACAAAGAAACAAAACAATTTAGGACAACAACCTGACCTTATAGAAATAATAACTATTTGTTTTCAAAATTTTTAAATTTTAATTTAATTGATTATATAATTATTTTTAAAATATAAAATTTAACATGTTTAGATTTAAATTTCAACGCATATAATTATTTTTCAAATGATATAATATGTGGTCTTAATTTTCCATCTTTTTCTCTACAGATTGCTCATATCCAAAATTTACATTAAACTTCGTCTCATTCTGGCAAAGAAGTTTTTAACAGAAGGTATAGTTATTGAAAAAATCTACTCAAGCTAAAACTAAATCTTATCCCAAATCACCCAAAATAGAAGTTTGAAAAGAATAAACAAAATCGAAAAGCAAGTTTACTTAAGCCAATAATATAAATAGCTATCGTCCCGAAAGTCTTCTAAATGGATAGGAGAATAATAACAATAAATCTTTGAAAAAAAAACAAATGAATAAATCAATTTAGGATTTTTGAAAAATATCGGATAATAATAATAATAATAATAATAATAATAATAAGGTAGAATGAAATAAGCACGAATGATTTAAGGCATTGATAAGAATCTTACTGGATGGAGAAAGCAAAGCAGCAGGGAAAGCATGCGAGAGATGAACAAAAAAAGTAAAATGGAAAGACTAATAAGATCGAAAGGATTGGAAAAGAGTGTAGCAAGAGGAAAGGGCGCCGCAGCTGGTGATTACGTAGATGAGAGAGATGGGGAGAAAGGGGGAAAGATAAAAAGGAAAGAAGAAAATAAAAGTTTAGGGATTTTTAGGTTAAAGGTAAGATGGTAATTTTATAAATAAAATAATAAAAAATATATGATAGAAAAGCTCGATTAGACTCACAAGCTATTCGAGCCAGATACTAATATGCTTGAACTCGACTCATTCGATAAGTCGAGCTGCTCGAACTCAAGCTTAGTTTGATAATTATCGAATCGAATTCAAATTTTAATCAAATCAAATATGAGTAGCTTACGAGTACTAATGTATTATTTATACCTTTAATTATACATGCTTAAACATGCTGCACCCTAATGGTGTGATACAGTTACGATCATTTTTTATCCTAACCACATCGTGCATCAATTTGATACAAAAATTTAAAATATGATATGATAATATAATATAAATATAATATAAAAATAAAATACAAAAGTAATATGATTAAAATTATTATAATATTTATATATGAGTTTAATAAAATAAAAAATTAAATTTTATATTTTTATATCGACACAAATTATAAAACGTAATTTTTATATGAAACACGATATAAATATAAAAATTTTAATATTTTATATGATATAAATACTTGAATTGTCAAGTCTAATTTTAATTATAATACAGTCTCTTTTGCTTACTAAAGAGAAAAAGTAAATGAAAAAATAAAATAAAAAAACTTTTTATATTTTTTATAAAATTTTTTATTAAGTACAAATAAAATTATTTTAAAATTACCATATCAGTTTTTTTTTTTATCTCACATTAATAATTTACATGCATAAAAAAAGTACATCCATAATTTAATGGTTGAAAGTTAACTCTTTTAGAATTTGGATTGAGATTTTAAATCTCAAAAATAAGATGACTTGATTTGTTCAAATTATTTTATAAGGATTAAATCTTAATTTTGATTAAAAGTACATAAATTAATTTTTAGGAGTTAGAAAAAATTTAAAAATTAAAAATTAATTTAAAATTATATTATTCTATTCGGATCGATTTTTTCTTATTTAGTTTGAATTAAGTTTGGATATTAATTTTATATATTAAGTAAGAATTGAATTTCTGATCAATAAGTAAAAACAACAAAAAATTGAATTATATATTTGTATTAGTTTTTATTTTTTTTAATCTATAAAATAAAAATAATTATTTTATATTTAAATTTATTTAAATATATTAAAATATATATTAAAATAATATATAAAAAATTTAAAATTTAAAAACTGATTAACCGAATTAAACTAATAAAATTCAATTCAAATTGGATCATATGTGAATTCGAATCCGAATTCGAATTCAGATTAGATTCTATAATGTCATAATTTGGTGCATTATAAAAAAGAAAAAATCGAATTCAATTCAAACCGATATCATCTTTACTAATTTCATAATTTGATTTAGAGAATAAAGAATTTATAAATTACTTTTGTTTTCCTTTGGGCTTGTTTATCGCCAGTTTCTGGGCTTACCTGTAAACTCACAGAATAATCTGATTTGGGTTTGGGCTTTCTCCTTCGGCCCTTTCTCGTTTCAATTCTCCTTTTTAACTCGTGTTGACGCTCTAAAGCCCTTTAAACTCTCTCTCTTCTCACTGACTCTCTACCCGTTACCACCAGAAATGGCGGCGTCAATTGCAGCTCGCATCTCCAGAAAGGCCGCGGCCTCGGCGTTCTCCTCTAACCGCCACGTAATCTCTTCCCGTGGTTTCGCCACGGAGGCGGCCAAAACGATCTCGCCGTCCTCGGATCTAGTGAAGTGGGACTACAGGGGCCAAAGAAAGATAATCCCTCTCGGGCAGTGGGTCCCGAAAGTAGCTGTCGACGCTTACGTGGCACCTAACGTTGTCTTGGCCGGTCAAGTAACCGTCATCGATCGAGCCTCGGTTTGGAACGGCTCCGTCCTACGTGGCGATCTCAACAAGATCACCGTTGGATTCTTATCTAATGTCCAGGAACGCTGCGTCATTCACGCCGCTTGGTCCTCACCTACCGGTAATCATTTCAATTTTACTTCCTTGGTGCTATTTATACTTTTTAAAAGAAAATTTAGGGTTTTGTAGTTTTGAGGGGCTTGTTTATAATCTAAATTTAGCTTGAAATTCGATTTTTTTATGTTAATTTAAAATTTAGGGTTTTGGAGTTGTTGGGGCTTGTTTATAATCAAAATTTAGTTTGAAATTAGATTTTTTTTGTGTTAATTTACTGTCGAATGATCAAATTAGTTAAAGCTTTCACTGATTGAAACATGTACGTTATGTTTTAATATGTTCAATGCAGCTGAAAAATGAGTAAAAAAACAAATTTTTAGGCAGAATTTAAGCGTTGCAACTTCTAGGATTTAGGAGCCAGGTTCTTAGGAGATCTTGGTGTTCGTATAATGTGAATTAAGCTAATTTACTCGATGAAAGACAAAGGTTTTGTAGTTTATTTACGAGGCTTAATTTCAAATAGATTCAGAACAATTTGTATTAGGTTTTATTTTGAGCTTTACAGCCATCACTTGCATCATTTTTCTTGTAACATTCATCACATGAAATCTACATGTTGATCGATTGCGTGACAACTTGAAGGATCTATTAACTTGGCATTCAATGCTTTGCATTGTGAAATACCTGTAACTGAAGGTCCAAGTATAATATGAAAAAGGGAAAAAAATGTTGGTCTGTAATGCAGCTTTGATAGTTGCTAAGAAAGTAAATGCATAAGTGTATTTTATTCTAGACAGACAAGGCAAATGAATCGCAATAATCACTCTAAGCTTTACACATGGTCCTTTTCCATGTGTGCAGAGGGAGGCTTACATGTTGTAGCTGTGGGATACTCAAAAGATGGTGTGATAAGTACAAAAAGATAAAAGACACATTAGAGCTGTGAGCTCAGTTGTTTAGTAGCTTACCACCACCCGAGGTTAATCCTGTTTCAACAAAAGGAAGGGCATGCTTCACTTTTTAGATTCAATCTGTGGGATCCCTATAAGCCGAAGGGGAGTTTTTTAATGAGCGATTGCAAATCTGTCCAAAAAAAAAGTTACATACAGCACAACACTGGTTTCTAGCTGTTTTTGAAGTAGCAATGACAGCTTATATTAACATTGGCCCTACATTTGAGATTATTTTTGAAACTTTTTTATTATTAGTGAAATAAATGTCTTTCTGGAATTGCTGCCTTGAACAGCAGAAATGCTGCAGGTATACAACAATGGTCTAATGGCTTTCATTGAAGTACGGAAACTCACATTTAGAGGGACATTGTTCGTTCTCTTTGCGTTATATTTCGATAGATGTTTTTGATTGTTGTATGGTTTGCTTAGATGCATTAGTTGATGGTAGGGCATAGGTGCAAAAACATGTAAAATTATGTTAAAGAACTGGAGAAATGTTTGTGAGCCCATTTCCTAACCCATCAACAATTCATTCGAGAGTGTTTTGCATTTTCATTGCCTCTTCTGGTGGATAAATAGAGGCCTAGGAGCTATCATATAGTCTTTTATTCATAATCTGTCTCCAAGTATGGTATCTATAGCAGCCATTGAATTCTAATTGACCAGTATAGGAAGTGAAGACATAGTGCTTTTTCACTTTGATAATAGCTTTAGTGAGATTATCCGCCCATATTGTCATTAGAAGGGTGGGTTTAAAATAATGAAGGTTATTAACTGATGAAAAAAAAGTCTGTTTATCCCATCAAAAGATTTTTTTTTTTTGTTACATGTCTTGTTACTAATATTTTCAGGGACCTGATATTTGCAACTTGCTCCTTGCTATTGCTGTTTCATGTCTCTCAGAAAATGTCCCCTTTTGTTTTCAAAACAATGAGTTGACTGTGAAGAACTGATTCATTCTTGAATCTTGTTCATTGGTTGCTCCTCTTTTGCTACCTTTATTTACTAATCTGGCTTTTGGAACCTGCAAGCCCATGCTTCAATGCGAATCAGCCTCATTCATATAACTAGAGATTTCTTCAATCGTTTATGCTTGTGCAGTAAATACAAATCATATAAGCCAATGTTTTATGTAGAACTTTATTTTGTCCATGTGTCACATAGGGATCAAGTCAGTTTCTGTACCTCATTGGCATCACTATGAGCCAACTGTTTTTGATTTCTGACTATATTTAATTTGAAACATTTTTTTTATATTACAGGACTTCCGGCTGAGACATCAATTGATAGGTATGTGACAATTGGTGCATACTGTCTCTTGAGATCATGCACAATTGAACCAGAGTGCATTATCGGACAGCATTCTATTCTTATGGAAGGTTCCTTGGTGGAGACTCACTCTATCCTTGAAGCCGGCTCTGTAGTTCCTCCAGGTAGGATAATCCCAACTGGTGAGCTTTGGGGAGGAAATCCAGCTAGGTTCATCCGGGCTGTGACCCATGAAGAAACCTTAGAAATCTCTAAACTAGCCGTAGCAATTAATGATCTGAGCGGAGAACATTCCTCAGAGTTCCTTCCGTACTCAACAGTATATTTGGAAGTTGAAAAGTTCAAGAAGTCCCTGGGAATTACTATCTGATTGCCTTTTGTTTTCATTTTTCCGACTATCAGTTTACAGGAGTTTTCCTTGCAAGGAAATAAGCAGCCGAAGAACACATAGAAGAAGCCTTTCCGTTTTTTATCCTTGTATTTGATCATGTTGGCTGTTGATAAAAAACCAAACTTATTGTAAGTTCCAATGAAATGGAATATAGTTTGCTGGTTTCAACTGAAGGAACTTGTGGCTTAATTTCTATGGTATGTTGAGCACATTATTTGTTCAGTTTACTGTTTTTGCCCTTTGTGATAAAATTACCAGTTTCCTTCGCATCAAAATTCAAAATCAAATTGGCAGTCAGACACAGCATTTCCTGTCATCTTCACTTATATTTCCAAGCTATGTCATTCCAACTTTGAATTCCCGGGTATTGTGAGAGGAAAAGCATATTCCTTGGCAAGAAAGAATCAAGTATGGGCGTAGACTGGGATCATTGATTGGTGGGGTTGGCGACAAAGTTTTACTACAAAATAAATTTGCAATCACCTCACTGCTATTATTCTTTTCGTTATTTTTTAAAAAATTATTAAAAATTTTAAATTTCAAAAATTAATTAATCGAATTGAATTAAATTAATAAAATTTGATTAAAATTTATATTAATTTTTAAAAACTTTAAATATTATGCATTAATCAAAATAATCGAATTGAATTTAATTTAATTTGTTATTTTTATTTTCATCCATTCTTTACATACAGATTTACTTGCTAATCATTTTTTTTTTCATGTTGGATTTTTCTTTTTTTACATATAAAATTTTGATTTTATTAGTCAAATTAAAGCTAAATCTTTGTTATTTTGTTCTTATTATATGGTAATCAAAATTTTAATTCATGTTAAAGCACGGAAATTCAGATTCAACGAAAGTTTTAAGACTCTAGTTATGAAATCTCAATGAAAAACAAACAATACATATGAGAAAGTTGAAGAAAAGAAAATTTTTTTCATTTACAAACAATTTTGTAATTCATACGGAACAAAAAATTCTGATGTTCATGTTATGATTTTTTCAAATAAAAATAAAAAATTCTAAATTCTAAAATTTAAACTCGTTGAATGCTATTTTTAATTTAACCTTACACCTTAGTTCCTAATTATATGATCAAAACATTGATGGTTAAAAATTAAACAAGGTTTTGGCTAAGTCGGCTGGACACGATTTCATTAAAATAGACATATCGGGCGGCTAGGCAGGCGCTTGTAAAACTCAAAAGGACAAACAGACAGGTTGATGTCTTGTGGTCATATCTAATTTCCTTTTCGATGCTTTGAAAGATGATTTGATCTTCTTAAATGTAATTATGTGGGGAAATTAGGACAAACAACATTAGGTGTGTGTTGTTGCCATCACATAGCCTTAGCAAATACATATGGTTTCTTCCTGTCTTTAGTGGACAAGGAATTTTAATTACACCAACGAATCATTTTGCAGAAACCACCCTTTGTCTCTCCGCCCGACCAACTAAAATTTTCTAACAAATCAATTTGAATTGCAAGTTCCTATTAGTTTGTTGGATACTGCTCTCTCAAAATAAATATTTTTCGATGACATCGTTATAATTCACGGTTTAAGAGTAAAGATAAGGATTAAAATTATTGAGATTTGAATTTCGACGTAATTAATCGTCATGATTACTTATCTTTGCCTACCTACCTGTTTGCTCCCTATTAGCTATAGATCAATTTTTTTATGATTGATTGTAATCCTTCAATTTTATATTGAGATAATTTAAAATTTCATTACAATATATATATTAAGATCTAAATTTAAATTTATAAAATATTTTTTATGAGATTAAATCGTTAGAATTTTAGATCAAAATTTATAATATTTTATAAATTAAGTACAGATCTTCATAAATGATATCAGAGTGATCATCAGTTGAACGAAAGTTAGGTGCTACACTGTATGATTCACCTTTAAAATCTTGTGAGGATTAAGTGTTACATGCTAAGAGTCACTTCTAAAATTTTAATGTCTGATGTGATCCTGTGATCTGTGTGTATTTTAGTTTGACTTACCTAATATTTGATGTGATTTAGTGAATTTATATGTTTGATATTGAACTTAATGAAGATGTCAAATTTTAACATAAAGAATTTATAAAATTTAATTTTATATCTGAATGCTTAGAGAATATGTTATGATATATATATATATAAAATTTAAATTTAAATTTATAAGATATTTTTTATAAGATAAACTTTAAATTTTAAATTAAAATAAATAATATCTTTTAAGTTAGATACGAATCTTTCACATTAATGATGATTAAGAGCACTTAATCCATTGTCAAAGCATCGTCATCAGCAGCAGCACCACCTTCCAACTATCAATGGCAGCAATATGCCATCTGCTAAATTCGATCTCTCTTGAAATATTGGAATATGGCCAGCTCATGAATTATAGCCAGCCAGTTCAATATATCCCTTGCTAGCTATGTAGCTGCCCATCCTTTAATGCAAATAATTGATAGAAAACAGGACTATGCACCGGAACATTTGACTCAATAATTTATGTATTATTAAAAAAACAAAAAGGTTTCAATCTTTTTTTTTTTTATAAATAAAATAGGGTTCAAAGATATTTGAAGAAAATTCATTTTTGAATACTAATATTTTTTTGACTAAATTCAAAGTAATGATGATAGTTAATTGAATATGATTTTATTTTCTTGGCATAACATGAGTATTAATAATTCAATCAACATCAAAACCATATATTTTCAAATTGAGAAATTGAAATGGCTCATAGAAACAAGTTTTTGGTCACATTTGTGAAATGTGTCATCAACCACTAAGGCATATCATGGAAAACCTAATGAGAAAATTTATATAAATTGTCACTTTTCTAAATGAAGCAAAGATTTTGACATCTCAACCATTCTAATATCTACCTAGCTAGCTATCATAACCCCCTCCTTCCCTTCTATTACATTAATTGATCTCATTATTCAGAAGCTGCAGATTTTTTTTTCTTTTCTTATTCTGAGCTCGATCACCTTCATCAACATCATCGCCATCATGATGACAGAAGAAAAATGAATATCTATACATACATGGTTCGAAAGATATAGATGAGGGCAGCGGACAATTTTATCATTTGATCATTTCTGCTTTGATTGAAGATGTTTGTTTAAGTGGTAAGCATAGAGAGAAAAGTGGGATATTGGAATGGCTCAATCAAATCAAATCTCCTAAGCTTTTTTGGGTTCTTTAATTTGATTGAGCCGTGCCAATATCTCGTTTACTTCATATATGTTCCTTCTTTTTCTTTTATTTCAGATTAAAATTTCAGGTGTGTTTGAATGACATAGCTAGGATATGATCAGTAGCTTAGCTATTTGCATGATTCATAGGTCATCCCTGAATTTTTCTGCCATGATTCTTGTGAACTATAAGAGACGTTCAGACTTCAGCTTTAGCTTGATTTTCTGTAAGATTTTAGACCTTTTTTGATCTTTCGGAGTTTGAGTTCTGCATAGATGACCTAATTTTCTTGAAACATATGATCTTCTCGTGCATATATTCAACTGTCTTCCTGGAAAAATGTTAGGAATACAAAATTATATTTAGAAATCTGATCCTCAACTTACCGGATGATCAAGATTATCCCAAATCAGTATTGTGGATTTTAGCAGATAATAGATGTGATCCATTCCTGGCTTTGTCTCCAATGAAACAGTGAGCACTGAGGATGGCCTTAATCAGTGGTCTATCCAAAATGGAACTGAATAATGGAAACCATATAAATAGTCTTATTTTATCAACCCGAGGTTAAATTTCTGGTTATTGCCTTTTATATATTAAGATTTCATTTGGATGGCAGGTGGGAATCCTTTCTATAGTGTCATCACATTGTTTTGAGCCTGAACCTTTCAATGATAAAACGAGATGATGACTCGATGAAAATCTCTTTTCACCGATCATTCAAATGAAGCATAACAAGTCAAAATTCAAGATTCAACTTCCTCTATTTTTTTTGGTCATATCCGGTGTGCCAAGAAAATAGAACTGGTAATCCAATGTATAAATCTGTCGTTAATTTGACTCCATTTTCATCCAAATTCATAATTGCCACTGAATTGCAGGACATCATAGTTGTAACATAAAAAAAAAAAAAAAAAAAAGTCATCCAAAGGTCTTCCTTTGCACATGTCTACCAGAATGTTCGACAGACTAGGGTAAGAGGAAGCTGGTCAGACATGATTGCCAAATTATTCTCTCATTTTTTTGGTATTTAAATTATTCATGTTATCCAAATGAAGGAAAAAAGAAGGAATCTGCACTTTTCCATGCCCAAGGAGGACCCAATATTTCCACAATTGCAAAAAAAATGGAAGGGAAACATCCATTTCCTTTAAATGAATAATCATATGATCATTCAGAATTGTATCATTAATTATTTTCGCCCTTCTTTTGGCTGAAAAGCCTCAAACTCCAAATGAGTTGCATAGCAATTGCATACATGCATTGTTGTAAAGACAAACTGTCTAATTACTTAAAAGATTTGGAGATGCTGGAACATAGGACAACACCAAATAAACTGTGGTGCAAACATGGAGGGAGCAACGAGCTGGACTTTCTTCTTCCGCTTGTAATTGCCACATTGAGGAGCCTGTTGAGTCACGTCCAATTTCCTTGTTGCAAACCATTCCTGCCAGTGGAGCACCAGGGAAGTTGCTGTAGAATGGGAAGCTGTCAAAATATGATTCTCCACGGTAATGACAAGAGAAGATCAAGCCTCCAAACACTCCACCATTGCCACCACCAGCAGCATCCCTCACGGAGTAGCAGTTCCTGGAACTCGAAGCTGATTTCAGAACTTTGAGGCTTTCGTAGGCATTAAGGCAGGATGATGATGCAGTGTCCGAATCCGAATGGAAGAATAGGAATGTGTCTCCAGGTTTTATGCCAACACCATCAACAACTAAATACTCTTCATCTCCCCTGTCGAAAACCAGTAACTTGCAATCAGTTCTTTTATCTTTTTGTAAGAAAGAGCAAATAAGTGGGAAGCAAATGGTACAAAACTTTGAATATTAGCCAAAAGTGCAGTTAGATTTTATCCATGAATCTAAAGCAAATAAATGGATAAAACTCTTACCCTAAAACTTCATAAAAGGCCAAGTATGTTCTTAGTTCCAATTTCTCTGGTTCAATGAAGGATGGTCTTTTCTGTATGACCCCAATGTACAAATCAGCACAGTCATCATCCATCTGCAACATATCAATATTTCTGGTAAGAAAACAGCATTAACAGATCTGCTAAAATATGTAAAATTCTTTATTTGACTAGTGGACATAATCATACTAAGCATGAATGAGACATCTACTCAATGCCAATTTCGTAGACAAAAACTTTCCTAGACACTACTTGTAAAGAAAAATGTAATTTAGAAACCCATGAAATATGCTTGTGAGTTCACAAATTTGATCAATACCATTACCTCATCACTGATATCATCCAAAAGCCTCTGGCTATCTAATATCTGATGGTATCCATCAATGCTGGCAGTGAGCCACGAACATTCTGTGCCTTTGGCTGTTACCGAAATTGCCTTGAGCTCAGGACCAAAGGGCATTACACCTGTTGACAATGTAGCATGGAATCGAGTCTCTCCTATACCTGCTCATTCAAATAAACCAGGAACATATGACCAATAGAATTAGAATCTATGATTTTCACCAATATAATGGTATTCGGAAAGCTGAAAGAACAGAGTAATAAGATTTTGAACATAATCATTGCCTCAGAAAATGAAATGGAGCAAGCAAAACAAATTACCCATAGTGAGTGCAAGAAGCAGTAATAAGGGACCTAGAAACTGAGAATGCAGAAGCTGAAAGCAAATAGTTCGCTACAAAGGTTAAAGAAGCAAATTTCTAATCAAAGCAAATGTTTTCTGCATGAATTTATGCATAGCACAAGAAACCATAAGAATCTGTTGTTTGATAACAAATGATTTTATGCAGTACGCTTTCTTTTCTTCCTGGCTTCTCATTCATCTGTCACCATGAAACCAGATCTTTATGGCATTTTAGGCTTTGATGGCTAGAATAAATTTCACCTTTCTAGACTAGTCTCTAAGCACCATTCTCAATGGCACTTGCAATTTTGCAAGGAAGTAAAAGCCATTTCAGACACAAACAGAAATGTTGATTAATCAAGATCTCAGAAAATGTTGCGACTATCCAAGCAGAATGTGAGAAAGTGCAGTGTGTAATTGGGGATTTCAATGCATTAAGGAAAAAAAATGAAGTACCATGAGGTTTATCTTTATTCCTTGCAAACACAAGGGCAACAGCATCAAAAAAGTACTGATCAGCATCGTAATCTTGAGAATAATGACCACTCCTGCACAAGAAGCGGCTACTTGCATCCCCTACAATCACTGTTTCCTCAGGCATAACACAATCTGACAAAAACAAGAGGTTTCCAACAATGTTTAGCCTGTTCAAGCCATGCATTTCAATAAAACTGGTACAAGGAAAGAGATGCCTTTTTCTTGAATACAATATCTAATTAAGCAATTTTGTAAACAAGAAACCATACAAAATTGGGACACATCGCACAAATTCATATCACTTGATCCTTAAACAAAGTATTATTTTTACTAGCATCAAAACAAGGGAATCAGAAACCTCATCATGAATGGTAGAGTGATATAAATGTAAAGAGGACTTACCAATATCTGCAAGAACAGGTGTGATGTCAATGTGTTGATCCTAAAATTAGTCCATACCAAGCGTTAGTAATGCAAATTGAAGAAATAACATAACAGCTGGATTATTTGAAGGAAAATAATGTAAAACCCTGTTCAGGAAATGCTCACTTACTCCAAACAGTATGATCCCAGCTGGAGCAATACAGCCAGAAACAGAAGCTGTGTAATTCCTTATGTCCATCATAAATTTGTCAATCATGGTAACTCCATGCTCCTGATATTAAAATCCATAATTCAACATTCCTTTGAACAAACAAATTGCGTTGAATATAAATGTATAAATAATTCCCTCTTAAAACAATAAAGAACAATCACAAACATCATGATACGCCCCATCTTGGTAGAATTGCAAAAGACATGGCTCTTCATTTTCCCATTACATTCATTCAGATTAGAAGAGATCTTGCCCTTACCATGTTTGTTTGAGATGGGGCATTCGTGTAGAATTAATATTTAGCATTATCATAATGAGAACTCTAATTAACAAGAAATGTGATAAAGGCAGCAAGATTACCCTCATTGATCGTAATAAAGGTATGGCATCAACCTTTAGTCCAGGTAGATATCCAACAATCAAAACAATGCCTCGGTTAAAATACTCAGATTCCTGTGAATTTGAACCTTCCTCCTCAGGTATCATGTGCCACCTAACCTGCAAGATAACTTCAGCTGAGGACTCTAATGTAGTCTAATTATAGGTAGTTTTAACTTAGGAATAAACCAGCAAAGAAAAAAACCTCTCTCATTGTATTAGTAACAGCATCTCTACCAATAATTCCACGTGCAGTATTGGTAATGACTGGTGTTCTGGAGCCAAGTTTTTCAGTGATCTGCATCATAGCTCAAGTCAAACCAAAAGACCCTCTATTTTTTTCCTAGAATTGGGTGGGGGGGGGGGGGGATTCGTAAGAGGCTGCAAGGTTGAAGCAAAATCCAAAAGCAAAGTGGCCATTTTGACATAAAATAAATAAAGATTCTAGCAAAGAGTCAATACAAGTTGATGAGCTGCTTCCAAGCTAAACTGCAAGCCAATAGAGGCAATGGCGAACTGTGGACAAATTGGCCCGGAGAGAACCTTGTCAAGAACCTCATTCACAGCATGCTGTCAATTGGAAAACAAATAACCCATATTCATTTTCTTCCTCTAGTTGCATTAGAACCAAGTACGTGTTCAGTTAGTATAACTTACAGGTAGAGAAGGGTTGAGAGAGAGTGCAGAAACAAGCTTCGGACAAGACAGAACCCTGTCGCAAACGTTGTTCCAGGATTTGCTAACGCAGGCAGCCGATGCAAAGGATAAAGCTGGCAACCTGAAGAGTATGTTTTGAAGAATATCATCGTTTACTGCAGCAAAACCACCCATTTTCTTCCTCTTTTTCTTCTTTGTCTGCAGTCTTCACTGTTTCTGTGTGAATGTGTACAGCCTTGAAGGCATAAACATACTTATAATGCCAAGCATAGATGGGTGACACTACCCAAGCAGTGTCGTTTTTATGTATAAAGGAGGTAATTATTAGCAGGATTCTTTTCTTTTCCATAATCCTGAAAGAGCTAAACCTGGCAATTAAAGCTATTAAAGGAGAAATGGATTCATTGCTTTTTTGGATATGAAGTTTGGATTCTTTGGATTGGTTGGTTACTGTTTTTTGGCTATTTCTGTCACCTCAGCAGATCTTCTCTTCTTTTGCTTTAATTGACATAATACCATTACAGCTGTTTTTTTTTTTTATTATTCATTATGGTAGGTAATCAAGCAAGTTTTCTCTAGACATTTCCGCCCACGGTTTCATTTTCAATTCTCATGATTTCAGGTCTTGGAAATCATTACTGGATTCTCTTAAAAAGTGGCTGTAAAACTTTTTTAATGATCAATCACATAGGATTGCAAATGATCACTAGGGTTCCTCGTCTCTTTTTCTTTTGGAAATTAATTGAAAATGATATAATTTTAGTACAAAACTTGTGATTATATACTCAAGCTTATGAGGGATGCTCTTAGGTTTCATTTTCGAGTAATTTTAAGACCTGATACATTCAGGATTTTATTCTTTGAATGCATTTCCATTTCGCAACTGGAATGATCCCTCGTGAATATGCTTTTCCATTTATCAGGAATGCCTAAATCAATAGCCCAATTCACATACAAGCTCCTGTTAAAGAATTTCGCAACAAATTTTGACAAGCCATTCCTTGTTCAGAGACAAAAAATAGCTTCTAATGGCTTGTTATTTATGTTCAAGCTAGAAATGGATTGAGATTCTTCTCAAAGTGAGTATTGTTAATAGGATGAAGGAAGTAATTCCCCCATGAAAATACATTACCTAGCAGGGGTTACACAAGCAAGATGTGTTGCTATGGAAATCCTGAAGCATATTTAGGCCACTTCACTGAATGTGAATGATGTAATAAAAAAAAAAAAAAGGAAGAAACTACTCAAGGCCCAAATGAACATAAATAAGAGCCTTCATTACATGTAGTCAACAGGGAACACTAAATTCAAACCTTAAAAAAAGAAAAGGAAAACTTACACTTCAGCTTTCCGAAGTCCTAGCACATCATAACATTACAATGAAAAAAGCAGTTATATTCAATTCAATGAACCATCATTCTAGTTTTGGCACTCAGGGTTCAAGAAAATAACCCGAATTTATTGTGCAGCAAAGGTTTCAAAATTCCTATTGCCAATGCAAGGGAAGAGTTTGAGGGGCTTCACTTCCGGAGGATCCACCGGAACCCATGTGAAAAGTTGTTGGGCAATGGACCACAGGATCCCTGCCATTGGCAACAACTGAATCCATGGGCTCTAAAACGCGGTTCTGTAGGCTTGGACCTAGCGGTTGCACCAAGGGGAATGAGTGAGGCTGCACCATGTTTCTCAAACTGATCCCGGATGTCTGTGTCTGCGGAGATGACAGAAGAGAGAGAGCACAATCCGAATCTTGAACTGGAGTTGTTAACCTGTCACAGAACATACTATGGCTACCTCCACTGCCTTCTGAGAAAGGCACAGCCCTGAGAAGCGGCTGACACACAGAAGCTTCTGGAGGTGTCTGACTCTGGAGAGTGATATTCTCACCTTGCAAGAATGTGAATTGCTTCCCTCTGTAGTTACTTGAAGAGGATCCAAGAATAAGATTTTGTTTCCCAGGCGAGTGTAACTGTTGCTGCTGGTTAAGAAGCCTAGACTTTGTCTCAGAATTTGCAACTCCAGGCCAAGTAGGTTTCACCACAGTAGTGGATGGATATACATGCAAACTAGACAATGGCAACATCTGTGTACCTGAAATGTGGAATATGTATCGATTCAAAGAATTTTATGTACACGAAATTTGAGAAGAGATGGGTCTTATTGTGCATTTGCAGTTGATATCTTCCGGACAAATCACCAGATTGTTAACAGGAAACAAGGCATTTTTAATAATATATCCTCATAAGAGTCACTAGCAGCTTAGCTTTCTAAAAATTTGGACCAATAGGCATGTTTATACAAATGAGTCAGAAGGACCAAATATGTAAAATTATAAAAGTTTCTACAATCTATTCCTAGAGGCATGGCAACTTTCTGGCAATTAGGACTGCTTTACATTAGCTTAATGGAGATTAAAATAGAATTACTCAATCTCAAGTCATAAAATAGTCTATGTTCTGAGAACAATCATCAAAAAGTTTTCCAAAAGAAGGGTGACAAGTAAGCAGGTGAAAATAAACCACTATACTTCACTCTGGTTGCTAGTAGACTGTTCTAATGTTCATTCAACAAAGCAAATTGATGAAACAGTGGTGAGCTGATTCATAAAGTAAACGTTTATAGGATCTCCTAATTTCTTGCAAGTGAGTGCATGATTTCATTCATTCTTAAAAGCACTGAGATTAATTTCAGCCAAACATCATAGCACAGCTGACCTTGGTAGTTGGAAAAATAACTCCCAGAACATGAGGGGGGATCTGGCAGAGGCTTCCTTCTCCTCCGGTTGTGCCCATCAAGACGTTTCCTGCAGCTTCTCTTTCCTTCATCAAACTCTTCCAGTGAGTGAAACCTACAAAAAATAGTGAGATGATGTTGAGGAATTTAGGAAATTGCATAGGTCCAACCTCAAAAGAAATGGAATTGAAATGCTGGCAATTAATTGAAATAGTTGATATTTAACACCATTATACATACATGAAAAGAAAAGAATGATAAACATCAACTAAGATAGACTTGGTTATTAGTATTAAGTTAATGATGAAGTAGGCAAGAATATATTGCCGGCTTGAACTGCCTTTATTTATAGGTATAAGTAACAAATCTATGAGAATGAGATTATCCCATTTGTTGCATAAAGCATGTAATAACGGTACAGAGTTAAAGAAAAGGAATTGATTCAAAACAAAGACAAATCAAAAGAGAAAAAGGAATGGTGGGGAACAGGGATGGAAGAAAACTCAGTTTAGAAACAATAGTTAAACATTTTCTTTTCAGAAGAAAGAAAGATTCATGTGAACTTTTAGCTCGCAAGGATGACCATTCTTCCAGGAACTGTTTTCTTTTCTTGAAACACAGGAAACATTTTTCAGTGAAGCACTCAATCACCCACAAAAATCACAATTCTGCGTAACAATGAAACAATTGATGGTAAAGCAATCAATTCTCCTAAAGCCATGTATCGTACTTCGGCTATCAGCTAAGCAATCAGAAATCAGAATCTTATCTCTTAAAATTATGCTTAAAGGCAGTAACGCCAAAGTTCCTAGCAGCAGCAGGCACGCAAAAGGATTGACCAGCAAAGCAAAAGCAACCACTGAAGGAAATATGTAATTGAGACAAGGAATCAGAATCATAGTTCACTAAAGCGCCAGCGCCACAAATTTCTTATACAAAGTTCAAGTTATCAAGAAGTGTAAAACAGGATAGAGGAAGTACCTGCTGCATTGTTGACAGAACCGTTGCTTCTGGCCTTTAATCATAACCTGTGCAGTCTTAGAGTGGAGCTCACACACCTTATGGCGCCTATGGTAGTCTCTACAATTCCTGAGGTCTGAACTGCATTCATCAACAAGGCAGGAAACCTGATGAGTTCCATTATTAGTTGTCCGTGACCTCTTTGATGGTGAAGACTCCATCTTTAACCCTCCTGGCTCCTTCCATTTGTTCAATGGCTCTTCTCCTGAATTTCCTACCTGACCAAGCTTCAAATCAACGGAGAAACCCCCTTTATTCCTCGGAACCTTATAGCTACTTGATCCATTGACTGCATCTATGCTTGGTACAGCTTCCTCATCAATTTCAGTAAAATCCCAAGAAGTAGCTTTCAAGTTCCAGTCCATAAAATCTTTCACTTAATCTGTCTTTTTCCTTTCAAAAAAAAAATAAATAAATAAATTGCTTCTTCTCCACACTCAATTTAAACTTCTTGTCACTGTTTATGCCTCACCTAATAGGAAACTGTTTCACAATTATATAAAAAAAATCAATAGTGCTATAGAAATTCTTTGGGTGACATTGAACTTCCAGATTCAACATAAACACGAATAAAAGGAATAGATACAGAGATATGCAATGTATAAATTTTTTTCCCTCTTTTTGAATGAAGAGAGAGCCAAAAAGAAATACATAAAAAAGCAAGAAACTAACATCAGAAAGTCATATTTTTATAATGAAGTAAAGGATGCTAAGGATGTTTTGCAACATATATTGGTCCCAAGAAGATTGGAAAAAAAAAAAAAAACTGAGAAAAGTGTACCACCAAGAGATAAAGAAACAATAAACAAATAAGGAAGATTGTAAGAGAGGGTAATTACACACAAGCAAGAAAAACTTGTTTTCTCTTTCCAGCCAGCCATTTATTCACTGACATGGACTCCATTAAAAATCAATAAAGTAGGTAACCAAAGAGCAAAAGGAACTCAGACACAAAAGGAGAACACCCCCCCCCCCCCAAAAAAAAAGCAGTAAAAAACAAAGAAAAATAATAATAAATCCGTTGCTGTACCTTATCAGCAGAAATGCAACAATGGGTTTCAAAGTACAGGAAACAAAGGATGATGATGTAATGAAAGGGGATAAAAGGTCTGGGTTTAGTTGAAGAGTTGAAGAAGTGTAGTGTTCCAATGAAGAAGGCCAAAAGAGGGTTAGATTTGTTTTGTTTTACAAGGGCAGTTAGATTATTTTAATAGGTTCTTGTGTTTTTGTTTTACCATGTTGAGGGGTTGTTTTGAAAAATGTAATGTTGCTAAGAAGGGAGGGAGGGAGAATAGAGACAGCCTGTTTGTTCCTTTTCAACGTTTGCAATAAACCAAGTAAAAAAAGAAGTACAAGTATGGATGATGCTTAAGACAAAGCATGTGGCATTATGTTTCACATTTCATGGCATGTTTTTCTTTTTGAGTTTCTTTTACTTTTGAAAACCAGTTATGCCCACGCTCCTATCAAAGAGATGGCACAACAAACGTTGGTTTGAATTTGAAATTTTCATCAAAATTTATTTAAATGTAAATTCTAAGCAACTTCAGTCAGTAAAAATAATTATTAATTTTAAGAGACATAACATTTCAAATTCAATTAGATTGGATTTAATTTTTTTATACAATATATAATATTATAAATTTTTAAAATTTAATCAAAATTTAAATTGATTAAATTTGAATTGAAATTTGATTTATAAATTTATATATTATTTTAATTAAATTTTTAATATATTAAATAAATTTTTATATAAATTAATTATTTTTATTTTATAAAAATTAAAAATATATATATAAATAATAAAAATATATAATTTAATTTAATTCTATTTTTTTACATCTTAATTTAAAATTTAAATTTAATTTAATATATATTTAATATTTAAATTTAATATAAATAAATATAAAAAATAAATTTAAATCGTATTAAATATTATAATTTTAAATTTTTTTAAATTTTTTCTCTCCCACTAATTAATTCGAACTTGTTGAACTGAAATACGAAATCCTGAATGCAAAGATTTTATATATTGCAGGCTTTGCTGTCAGTCTCATCATTGATTTGCCCGGCAACCATAATCATCTTTGATATGAAATTGGGGCCCTTAAAATCTGTGGCTGTCTTCAGCTATCGTAAATTTTTTTTTTTTGTTGACAAAATCTGGACTAGATATTATGTATGAAGATGACTCTCCCTGTGGTTTTTGACTTAACTTGGATTCGTTCTAGCCGACACCATCCTCTCTGTATGGCTTGAAATGAAACAAACCATCATCCTCCATATGAAATAAAATTAAAATTTTAAAATTTATTAAATATTCTTTTTAAAAATAATTATACCAATGATTAGATTAAATTTCGGATGTATAATAAAATAAAATTTTATTTACAAAGAAAACTATTAATTTGTTAAATTTATTTATTTATATTATCACTCTTTTGATTTTAAATTAGCATCCATTAATCAAATTAAGATAATAATAGTTTTAATAGTATAGTTCTTGCCATATAAGCAGAGTTATTTAAAGTTTGAATTATTTGTTTAAATTTAAAGATTTATTTGCATTTTAAGAAAATTTAAATAAAAAATTAAAATTTATTAAATCCGTTTGAATATAATTTTTAAGTTTGTTTAAATTTTGAATTAAATCTTGATAAAAAATTAAAACTTAAACTAAAATTAAATTAAATATATAATTAAAATATTATAATTATATAAAATATGCATTTTGAGTTTTGCATAAAAAATTAAAATTCAAGTCGGATCTGAATAAAATATATAAGTAAAATATTATATTTATATAAGTAAATATGTTAATTTTTATTTTTATATTATTTTTTAAAATATTTTTATTTTTAATTATATAAATTAAATTTAATGTATGAGTTTAAAATTTATTTTTTTAAATTTATATCAATTTTTAAAAAAATTTAAAATTTAAAATATCAAATCCAATTAAACTAAAATAAATTTATAAATTATTTAATATTCGAATTCAATTCGATTTATGAACACTTCTACACATGAGTTAAACATAATGGATTAAGATTTAAATTTAAGGCATTGTATAACTTGATAATTACATATAGCCTAGGAAGAAACGGCAGGTTGAAGAAGCTCTATAGCTAAAATTCCAATTAAAGGCAAGAAGTAAGAACCCATTTCTTACCCTGCCTGCCTGCCCTATCAACTACTGTGGTCCATGCCCCATTGGCCATTGTCCCTTGCGCCCTTTCCCTTGTTGTACTCCAATTGAATTATAAATATCCGGCTGTGAAACTCACCTAGCTTGCGGAATTTACTGTATTTTCAGTGTAATATGATTAAATTTATTATATCATTAATTAAATTTAAATATTAATTTTAATAAAATTCATTCAATATAAATTTTTTATTAAAATTTTTTAATTATAATTATAATAATTTTTTTTAATAATAATTATTATTTTTAATCTTATCGTAATTAATTTTACTATTTGTATAGATGAAACCTTAACCTAATTCAACTTATTTATAATTATACTTTCTTTTTATTTTTCCTGCTTTCCTGTTTAAGGGTTTCTCTTCTCTACAACACTATTACTATAATTGTACTTGGAAGTTTGTCAGGCTGATTCATGCCATCTCATTTTGAACTTCATTTCAAAACATACATCATTGGCTTAAGAATTTCATTGTTCCAAGATAAAAAAAAATTATAAATTTTAGATTTATTTGATATTTTTTAAAAAATAATTATATAAATTAATTAAAATAAATTTTTAATTTATATTTATTATATATTGATATATAGGCTTTTTGATCATTGAATTCGACTAACTGTTCAAAGGATTTTATATTTAATATATTATTTTCATCAATTTCAAAGAGTTATAATCTATTAATTATAATTTTTTTAAAATTCCTTGATTCCATGTGTCATTTTTTTTTTGAAGATTTTACTCCAACGAAGAGATTGATTATTCACAAATAATAAAAGCAAAATATCAGAAGTGTATTTATAAGCACTTAATTAAGAGGATACTTTAATTAATTGTAGTGTTAGGTATGAATTATAACAATTTGATTCGGATCCAATTCAATTTGATTTTTTTAAATGTTGCATAATATTATAAAAATTTAAAATTCAATTTAAATTCGAACTGAATTTTTATTAGAATTGAACTAAACTGAATTAAATGTTTTCAATTTTGTTAGGTTTGATTTATTGATTGTTAATTTTTATATATTATTTTAATATTTTTAAGTAAATTTTAATATAAAATTATTATTTTAATTTTATAAAAATTTAAAATATATATAAAACTAAAAAAATATATATAATTTGATTTGATTTATTTTTTTTTAATTTTTTACCTATCGATCTAAAATATGATTCAAACCTAATATAAATATTTAACATTCGAATTTGATCCGAACTAAATAAAAAAAAATTAATCCAAATAAAATAAATATTATAATTTTCAATTTGGCTTTTAGATTTTCCAATTTTTTTCTCACCCTTAATATTAGGTACATGAATAACAGAACATAATTTAAATATTGAGATTCAAATTACAAAAAAAAAATTAATTAGAAATGTTTTTGGTATTACATGTAGAACATTTTCATAAATTATGAACATAAACAATGCAGTTAATGATGGTAAAAATGATATAATCGAGATCAATGACTGTTGGCGTTGGAACTTGTTATGAACCGGTAGTTTCCCCGCAACCCCAAACCTGAAAAAAAAAAAAAAAAAAAAAACTTTGGAGCATTAAACAATCTTTGAAAGTGGTCCAATTTGAAAATTTTGGTTGCTGCAACTTGCAACCTTAACAAATAAAAAGGCCACGTCTTAATTTCACTAGTAAAAAAATCTTACCCCAAAGCTCAGTTGATTGAATTTGCATGAAGTAGTGAAATCCATAGAGGAAAAAGTGGGGGTGGGGGAGGCATTTCTAATGCTTCATTTGAATGACGGGTGAAAAAAAATTTTCGGATTCAATTCTAAAATACCATAATAAAACGATGAATAATTTTTTCGCTAAATGTTCAAATGAAGCATAAATCAGCTAACAACAAAGGACTCAATATGGCATTGGAAGCTGTAAAAAGAATGGAGGGGAGGGAGGGATGGGGAATTGATTTCTTTGGGCGGTTAGTTTCTTCACCTGTCCTCTTCCTCACCAGTCTATGCAAGTTTTGCAAAGTGAAGTCCCACCAAGGCTTCCAAGACAAGATTCTAGATTTTGTTGTCGGCACCCTTTTGTAATCGTTGCCTTTCCCTCCCTCTCTTCTCTTCATTTATACCTCACTTACTAATTAAGTACTATTGTTATTTCCTCTAACACCATAAGTATCTTGTACTTCAACTATATCCAACTCAATTGAGTTAATTTCCTCCATAATATATTCGATGATTCGTTTATATTAATTTGATGCATTTAAAATTTTATTGTCAAAATACCATTTTGATTGACAAGGAAAAAAATTACTCTTCTTACTATTAGGACTAACATGATTGTAATTCTTATTTTCAAATAATATATGATTCTTGAAATTATTTATTTTTGCATTTTTTCATAATTTGAAGATAATTCGTTAACGTATAGGAATTTGCTTTGAATTAGAGTTAGGAATAAGGTTGTATATCAGTGAAAAAAAAACTTCTATTATTATCCATTATCTTTAGAAAATAAAATTTCTACAATTGTGCATCATCTCTAACATGTAAAATGTGGAAAACCTGGATTATAAATTTGGCAATGTACTCACCTTTATTCTTCCATGCATGCTTTGTGCATGCATGTCTTTTTTCTTTTTGATGAAAATGCATTAAGAAACTTTGATTTGCAAGTCATAGGCAAAACTTGGTAAAACTTCCTTTCAGGTCTTCACTACTGAAACTGGTATAAGATCGGATTAGATAGGAATGCATGTTGTACAAATTAATGAAAAAAGATGGTGCTTCAAATTGCTTTCAGCCAACTAAGCACTACCATGAAAGAAATTGTGGTCAACTGGCTAGAGGGTCGCATGTTATCCAGGTTTCAATGTGTCGCAAATAGGGTTCATGGTGAAAATCATTGAACAAGAAAAAAAAATCAACAAGCATATCAACCATGCATTGACCCTTCTGTCACCTATTCTACCCAGTTAGAGGGAGACCTAGAGGGGCAGTCAACATCAGTAATAAATACTGAAAAATAAAAATGAGAAGAAAAAGAAACACTTCGGTTGAGTCAGGTTTGGATAGAATCATTTCGAGTAGAAAAAATTTTGAATTATTTCAAATTTTAATTATTTTCAATTTGAATATATTTTTTGAATTGGATCATTCAATTTTGATAATTAAGTAATTTCGGAATCAAGTTAAATGGATTCAAATTATTGATTTTTCTTAATCAAATCGGATTAAGTAGAGTTTATTTTTTAAAAAATTTTTCAAGTTTATGAGCTCTACTATTGACACTTAGGGGCAACAGTTCCATGATTCTAGTACTAATTGTCACAAAAGTAATAATTTAACTTAACCTTAATCAATATTTATAAAGCACCAAAGGGTCTATTTGAGAACTCCATTGGCATTTGCTGAAGAAGATGGATGGATTATATAAAACAAAGTCACCATGCCAAAAGAATTTGAAGCATCAGAATAATCAACAAGACGCTGGTAAGGTTCACCGTTTAGCATGAAGCCCCTAGCTACAGTTAATTTGTAGGGCTGAAGCAACTACTGCAGATTGTTGGAGAATCGAAAGGACTGGATTCTTTGGAGGATAGAGTTGCTGATTCCAATATGCTCTAGGCAAGTTCAAAGTGTTGGGATTTGCCTTGAATCTCAGAATCCCACATCGAAAGTTAAGTAAGTTTGAATTTGTCTTGTATCCCACATCGGGAGTTTAGTAAAGGTATAAAGGGTTTCACCCCTATAAATAAGATGTTTTGGTTTTAATTTAGTAACCCCAGAGAGTTAGACACCAAGAGAATAGCTAAGTGAGTAGGCTATTAAAGGGTGTAATTGGGTTTTGGGTTAAGTTTTGAGTAAGGAGTTTTAGGAGACTTTTCTCATTCTAAAAGTCTCACAGTTGTAAAGATTTATTTGTTAGTGGATTGTGTTTGGAGTAGGCCATTTTGAGTTGGGCCAAACCAAATATATTTGTGTATTCTTATTCTTGATTTGAGCTTGCTATTTTGTATTGTTTTTCCCAACAAGTGGTATCAGAGCGAGGTTCGAGGTTCGTGGGTCCAAGAGATCGTGAAGCAGTGTTTGAAGATGTCTGAAGAAAGTATGTCCGGTATGTCTGATATGTCTATGCCTAAGTTTGAGATTCCGTTATTTGAGGGAAAGAGTAATTTTATGTTATGACAAAGTATGATTCAAGATCTGTTAGTACAACAAGGATTGGATCAGGCATTGGAGAGTAGTAAGCCTGAAGGAATGTCTGATGCTAATTGGAATAGGATTCAGAAGAAGGCTGTTAGTACTATTAGATTGGCGTTAGCTCCAGAAGTAAAGTACAGTGTGTTGACTGAGAGTACTCCGAAGAGTTTATGGGATAAGCTTGAAGGTATTTATGCTTCGAAGTCGTTGACTAATAGATTATGTTTGAAGATGGATCTGTATTCTCTGAAGATGAAAGAAGGTATGAGTCTCCATAATCACCTGAATGAGTTTAATAAATTGGTTTCTCAATTGTTAGCGATTTCTGTTGATGAGTTAAAAGATGAAGAGAAGGCTTTAATTTTGCTGTCATCTTTGCCCAAGTCTTATAGGCCTTTAGTTCAGACTGTGTTGGTAGGTAGGTCTACTTTGAAGTTGGATGATGTGACTGCCCTGTTGCGTGAGAATGAAAGGTTTATGGGAGCTCAGAACTCATCACCTGAGGGGAGTACACTAGCTGTAGAGGGTTTTGAGATTGATGGATCAAGATGGAGATCTAAGTCAAGAGACAGAGATTACAGTGATGTAAAATGTTATTATTGTGGTGAGAAGGGACATATCCAAGTGCGCTGCAAGAAGCTGAGAAGGGATATGGCTACTTTCAAAAGGGCGAATGATGAGAAGAAATCAGATGAAGAAAAGAGTGATACTGTTGCTGTCTTGTCTGATGATGATGATGTTCTTTTGACAACTTGTGTGGATGAGACCCTAACTTTGAAAAGTGATAAAGGTTGGGTTTTAGATTCAGCTGCTACAGTTCATGTTTGCAATGATAGAAGCTGCTTTGTGGAATTGAATGAGAGTGAAAAGTATGGGGATATTGTGATTGCTAACAAAGAAAGAGAGTGAAAAGTATAGGGATATTGTGATTGCTAACAAAGAAAAGGTACAGATTCAAGACATTGGGACTGTTCGTCTTAGATCTCACAATGGTGTTATTAGGACACTTCGTCATGTAAGGTATGTACCAAATTGTCACTACAATTTGATTGCTTTGGGTGAGTTAGCTTCTCGGGGTACACATATTATGGTAGTAATGATTGGTTAAAAGTTGCTTTGGGTGAGTTAGCTTCTCGGGGGTACACATATTATGGTAGTAATGATTGGTTAAAAGTTGCTTTGGGTGAGTTAGTTTCTCGGGGGTACACATATTATGGTAGTAATGATTGGTTAAAAGTGTACAAGAATGGTAGTGTGATTCTACAAGGGAATAGGGTCAATCACTTGTACATGTTTGATGGAAGCTCAGTTGCTGGAATGCCTGTGATGAAAGAAAAGAAGAAAGGTAAGCATGTTAGCTTTGCAGATACTGTTGAAGTGTTTGGAGATTCAAGTCAAGGGAGGATTTGTTGGGATTTGCCTTGAATCTCAGAATCCCACATCGAAAGTTAAGTAAGTTTGAATTTGTCTTGTATCCCACATCGGGAGTTTAGTAAAGGTATAAAGGGTTTCACCCCTATAAATAAGATGTTTTGGTTTTAATTTAGTAACCCCAGAGAGTTAGACACCAAGAGAATAGCTAAGTGAGTAGGCTATTAAAGGGTGTAATTGGACTTTTCTCATTCTAAAAGTCTCACAGTTGTAAAGATTTATTTGTTAGTGGATTGTGTTTGGAGTAGGCCATTTTGAGTTGGGCCAAACCAAATATATTTGTGTGTTCTTATTCTTGATTTGAGCTTGCTATTTTGTGTGTGGTTGCTGCGCGTTGTATTGTTGTTTTTCCCAACACAAAGGAGTTTGCAGTATAAGAATGCAAAAAAAATATTATTGATACTAAAATATAAATCACAGATCGGTTGAATGTCAATTTTAAATATATAAATTAATTGAATTAAATTTTAGATTTGATTTCATAATAATTTAAGGATCAAGCAGCGGAGGCATTTGCTAGCAGCAACATTGTGTACAAGTTGCTTGGTTAAGTACAACTTAATCAGTGATCAATCCATTTGATGAAACTTCATGATTAGATAAACAAAACTATTTCCTTTTTTAAAATTTTTTTTAGCAATTATGGAGAATTTTTTTATGTGAAAAGGAGATAAGGTCAATTTTTTTTTATTTGATAAGAAATTGATTTAAATAAATTAAATCAAATATTGAAATAACGTACATTTGAATATTTAATTCAATGATTAATGTATGATTCATAAAAATAAAACTCGAATCCCTCTTTTCTAAATAACATATATATTTTTAAAAATTTTCAATTGAGATTAAAAAGTTCAAGCATTATTTAATTTTTGTCGTGTATCAAAATCAAGTAATTTGAAAATCTAAAAATGAGATTAGCATATATAACATGAGGAAACAAAAGAAACCAACGGGCCTTCAAAGAATAAAGTCCCACTTTGACAAATCAACCATGTTTCAGGCCTTTTGGTCTATGGGCCTAAACCCACAAAAACATCAACCAATTCCCAAGCACTGCTCCCACTCGTGCTGATTCAAATGGAGAAAGATGAAAGCTTGACTGACACCTTTTTTTAAAAGTCGCCTCTTTTATTTTTTGACACTGCAAGAACTTGGTTTGCTTTGAAGCTAAATTTAGGGTTTTCAGGGTTTCTATTTCTGTTTTTGATCCTTTTTTTTTTTTGTTGGGATTAAAAAGTTCAAAGCTTGAAATGGACGGGGAGGAGTTGACAGAGCAGGAGACTGCTCTTTATGATCGCCAAATTAGGGTTTGGGGTGCTGATGCTCAAAGAAGGTAATTTTATTTTTTTTTTTTACCTTTTTTTTATTATTCTTTGAATTTCTTTTATTAAATTTTCATTATTCATATGTTTTTCTTTCTTTTTTTTTTTTTTTTTGCGTTTTAGACTAAGTAAATCTCATATACTAGTCTATGGAATGAAAGGGACTGTTGCTGAGGTACAACTTCGTTTTGCTTGCTCTGTTATTGGAATTTTTGTTATCGTTTTATTAATATATGTTTAAATTTGTGGGTATGTGTAGTTTTGCAAGAACATTGTATTGGCAGGAGTTGGTAGTGTGACATTGGTGGATGACCGGGTAGTTGCTGAGGAAGCTTTGTCTGCGAATTTCTTGATACTGCCTGATAAAAATCAGTACCAGGGGAAAACTCTTGCTGAGGTCTGTTGTGATTCTTTGAAAGAATTCAACCACATGGTTCATGTATCTGTAGAAAAAGGTCAGCCTTTTCCTTTCTTTTTTGGCATCTTCTTTGTGGTTTCATGTAGCATACGGTGAACAATTAGCAATGCCTGTAAATTTTGTGCATTTTTGTTCCCTTTATGAGTACTAAGTTGAATACTGCTTTCTTTGCAACTAACTGCAAGCTTTTGAGTGAAATCTCTTTCTTTTGGGGGGCTTGCAGGTGATATATCAACATTTGGTGTTGAATTCTTTGAAAAGTTTGATACTGTGGTCATTAGTTGCTGCTCTCTTGCAAAAAAGGTATTAGATTATATCATTCTTGATGGATCTTATAGCCTGTTGATGATATGTTTATCTATATGTTTCAGCATATTTTGATGCCTGCATTCTTTATCCTTCAACTTGTGACTGACTTTTCTTTCATTGCAGAAATTGATCAATCAGAAGTGCCGGAAGTTATCAAAGCGTGTAGCATTTTATACAGTTGACTGTAGAGGTTCTTGTGGTGAAATATTTGTTGATTTACAGGACTATAAATATTCTAAGGTGATAAAATGACACATTGAACTAGTTTTAGTATTCCTTTTACAAGTGTTTTTCTGAAGTTTTATAAGTTATATAATTTTAGTATAAAAACTGTGGCTTTGTCCCTTCTACATCTATGTTATTTTGTTTTGCAAGATGCATTATATTTAATCTTTCCCAAGCATCAAACTTAATGGCAACTGGAGAATCTTGGCAGTACTATATTTTTCCAACTTTGCTAAGAATTTGATGTTGGTGACAAGCCAGCACTCTAGTGCTCATTTTCTACTAGTCATCGCACATGTCAAAGTGCACTCTGCATTTCCTATATACGGCATTCATACATAACTCTTTCTAGCAAATGAAGGACCAGAAATATCTCCAGATTAATGAATTAGCAATGCAATTGTTGGTACTAATCTTGTGAATTTCTACTGAGTTGCTGTTGAACTTGGTCTTGTTATGAACTAATCCTGTGCTTCTTGTATATTTTCTTCATCTTTTTTAGTTTAACTCTTAGTTGGCCATATCATGTGTACTCCAAGCATTTAATGCTTTTAAATACCCTGATCTGTTGACAGATGTGTTTACCTTTTTTTTACAGAAAAAACTGGAGGAAACCATTGAATGCCAACTAGAATACCCAAGCTTTGAGGTCTGAAATGCTTTGTGCTCGTTCTGAACAATGATTAGTATCAGTAACTATACCTACAGACATACTCCTATAATCTACCTTAGCTCATAATGTTCCATGCTGTACCAGATGTCATGAGATTAGCATGTAATAATTTGCCACCGAATATTATGCATGTTATTGCAGTAAGTACATTCTCTTCTACTGCAGGAAGCCATTTCGGTACCTTGGAGAGCACTTCCGAGAAGAGTGTCAAAGCTTTACTTTGCTATGAGAGGTATGCTAATATACTGTTTTTGCATTTTACAGAAGTAAATAAGGGAGAACTAAATCAAAAGGAACTAGAATTTGAATCTGATAACTATATTTGTTGTAGGAAAAACCTAGGTTTCCCTTTTGTACGCTTATACTGGCCTGATGTGCCATTTTACCTTATTGAGTTTGTTTGTTAAATACGGTGTTCCCTTCTTTTTATTCATGCATGTTTGCAATAAGAAGCAAATTCCACAAATTACTTCTATTCCAAGCCAAGAACAAGGAAAATATGCTTATTTTTTACATCTTCATTTCAAAATTGTGACACCAGGTTTACTTATAATCATTGCTTTTGGACTTGCCTATATTCATACGATGGGTGATATAATTTACCTATGTGCTTTCAGTGATAGAGCTATTCGAAGATGTTGAAGATCGTAATCCAGGAGAAACCTCAATTGCTGATCTTCCTGGTATTTTGAAGCTTAGAAAGGAACTTTGTGAAACAAATGTATGGTACTGAGCATTTGTCATCTGCATTGCCTAGTAGCGTGTTGCGTCTTCATACTTATGTTTATATTAATTTATTGCAGTCACTGAGTGAGTCTCAAGTACCTGATGCACTCCTAGAAAGACTTCTAATAGGTACAAGGGAGTTCCCTCCAGTTTGTGCCATCATTGGAGGCATCCTTGGACAGGTTCAATTTATGGCAATTTTTTCCTTTATCTATTTAAATAATTAATTACTGCTATAAGTATGTTAATTCAATGTGATTGACTGTTGAATGATGTAGGAGGTGATTAAAGCAATATCAGGCAAAGGGGACCCACTCAAGAATTTCTTCTTCTTCGATGCCATGGATGGGAAAGGCTTGATAGAGGACATATCAGAGCCTAACACCGGAAGCCAAGCAGCTTTGATCAACGATGACATGTAAAATCGTAACTTAGGCGTGTTAACTTTTGGCCTCCTTCACTGGCTATTGCTATTAAGGGGAAGTTAGCTTGCTGTTGAAGCTATTATAGGATGGCAAACAATTAACTGTTGACATTGTTGCCTAAAACTGAAACCCCGGAAAACTTGGAACTTTTAATCTTCCTTAAAAGAATTTGGACCCAACACTGTTGCTAATGAATCATGATATATAGAATTGAATGTTGGGGGGCCTTTTTATTCGGTGACTACAATTGATAAATGCTGCATGTTGCATTCTCTAACTGTAGTGCTGAGATATTGAAGGTAAGTTGTACTGGTTCGTTTTCCACTGGGTCTATGACAAGGTAGCAAATGCAATTGCCGTGGGGATAATTCCAGGGATCAATGATCATCGAGATCCAAGGCCGCTTCCTAAAAGTCACTGCAGGAGCTGCTGTTATGTGGTGGGGATAAAAATTTTGCTGGAAAAGTGGCACATTCTGTCTAATTACAAGGGAAAGCAAATTACTTTATTCAATGGTGGTAGGCAATGGTGCCGCTGTGTTAAAACATCAGTGCTTGACAGCCCCACAAAAGTAATATTATGATGACAAATTGCTGGAAATGTTTAAAGTATACAACCATGCAGTCGTGGACAATATTCAACGAAGGTGCATTGATGATGACAATGCTGGAGTAGATCCTAAAATTTTTCAGGAGTTGGATCGTATGTATTGGTTTAGCTCATTTGCCTGGGAATTGATGCTTCAAAATCAATGCATTAACAATTTTTTACACTAAATGGCAATCATAAAGAAAAGTAGTGAAAATTATATTGAAAAGAGGAAGGCAGTGAAAACTACAGGAAGACAATTCTCCATTGAAACACAAAGAAGCCACGAAAAGAATGACTATCCCAAAAATATGCTGGTCCATGATCATCCAGTGGTGGGTGGTTTTTGCCTCAAATTTTCTTTTCAATCCAAGATATACTCGGAATCCAATAATCAAATTCAAAATTTTGATAAACCAAAGCGTGGGTGGATTTCTCCCGCTATAATCTCATCAAAAGCAAAGTCTCTAATCCATTATTCAAAAGCCCCACAAAGTGCGCAAAGTCATGATAGAAAGCAAAAAAGGAAGAGACCCACAGAATGGAAAGACCTGGTATAGATGAAGAAGAAACTGATGACCAAAAACTGCACCAGCTTATCAAGAATTTGGAACAGGAATGGAACTTCATAAAGAAAAGAACAGGAAAAACCATGTATAGAAGTTCAACAGGCTCAAGTAAAATGATTGAAGCACTTGGACTGCTCGACAACTCTCCCAGAAAACTTATGTCTTCAGTTCAGCGTAGAATTTCTCGTCCCTCGAAGGAAATAGCATGGAAAGTGAGAACCAATGACTTGGCAGTTGAAGAGATAATCAACGAGAGAAGGGCAGCCATTGAGAGTGGTAAGTTGAAGGGAAGACGGCTCTTCGAAGAAGTATATGGTGTAACTGAGGTGGGTTTTGGAAGAGATGAAGTGACATGCGGTGGCTTGGATATTGGTTTGGTTCAAGAGAGTGAAGTAAGGTCAGTTTTCTTTTATGAATCTGACAATTATGAGGATGAAACTTGGGGAAGAAAAGAGCTTTTGCCCCCTTCATATTCCCATAGTTCTTTCTCGACCTCTTCTTCTTCTCCATGTGCTGAGAATGTAGGGAGAGGAGGAATCAAGGTGGCAACCATGGCAGAGAAGAGAACTGCCAGTGAGGTAGGTTGTGGAAGGGGAAGATGGATAGTTATCAAGGTTTGCCTTGCTATTAGTTTAGTTATATGCATAGCTGGTATCATCTCAATGAGGAGCTTTGGTATATACAAGGATGAAGAGGTGATTCTAACCCCAACATGAAACCTCTCTGATTCATATGTTATAGTAATTATAATATTGGTATATTGGGTGAAGAAGATTGATGCATTTGATCCTTTTATCTATTCTTCAATGATACATCTATATTTGTCAACTTAAAATAAAATTTTAATTCCTTGCCCAGAGTATTACATCTATATCTGATTTAACTTCAATTACCATGATTTTTCTCTTTTGTTTTTTTCCTTCTTAATTTTCTTGATTGTTATGAACATCGATGTTCTTTCTTAGGACTATGGTGTTGTAGTTACATGTTCATCTATATGAGCAGGATTTGCTTTGCGTTCATGAAACTGATAGTATATTTTACATGTAATAATTAATCATGTGGCTATGATGGTAAGAAAACGTGGAATTGTAACCAAGACTCTGAATGTCAATGTCTCTCTTATATATATGATTGATGGTTTTCAGAAGACTCAAGCATTGAAAAAAATAGCTTTTATATCCTTTCCCAAAGGAGATATACGTAAAAAAAAAAAAAAAAATCATGCAAAATAAAGAGGGAGGTAAGGGTGAGCACAATTTGATCAATTAGAAAATTAGGGAATTGATTTGGAAGCAGAAGTTGAGTTTTGTGGCTGAATGAAAGGCTAAAAATACTAACTATTTATTAGTAATGTCAGAGTTAGAGCAAGAAGTGTCATCCTGGGGCTTGTTGATAATGGTGTGGAGATCTCAGAGCATAGAACTGTTAAGGCATTGGTTTTCGATTTCTTCAAGGAACATTTTACTGCTGATTGGTGGCATAAGTAGGTGGTAACTAACTTGAAATTCAGACTGTTATCTGTGCATGAAGATGGTGGTTTGGAGATTCTCTTTTCTATGGAAGAACTCAAAGTTGCTATTTGCATGGTGAAGGTCCAAATGTGCCTGACCTTTTTAACTTCAATTTTTTTAGAAGAACTAGGGGAGTTTTGAAGGTTTATCTCCTATATTGCTTAATGGACACTTGAGTTCTTGGATCTGAGTTTTAATAAACAAGAATTTTCAACAAATATTTAGATATCATTTGAAACAGGAAAAGGGAATACCTAAGATATATAATATCTCGTAAATCTCCATTATTTGATAAATCTCCTGAGAAGAAAACATCAACCTTATCCCTCAGTTCAATCCATTACATCATGGGTTTCTTCAATCCTTTTTCTTCATGAGAATTTTGACAAAAACACAGCAGATAGAAAGAGAAAGAAAAGGCTTGAAGGAAAGAGTTGATGATGTGGCTTAGAGTACCTTAGGTAAATAAGTTTAAAATTACTCCTATTAAAGAATAAAGAACTTAAAATATCCTAACGTCGGAAAAAACTCCCTAAGATGGCATCATTGATGTGATGACTTGATCAGCATTCAAGAGATTCAGTTTCAAAATGACATCATCAACATGATGAGGAAATGAGAATCCATTTCCATCGACCATCCAAACAAAGCACAAGTTGCAGTTATGGAGTTGAGCTCCTGCCAGAATTCAATTAAGGTAACCATGTCCATGGCAGCACCAAAGCTTGTTAAAGTAACAAGAAATGAACCGTATGTACTTTCTCTTGAACTGCTCTGCGAGTTTCAATGCAGCATTGCTGCAGAGTCCTGAATTCTTGCATTGGACAACTGTCAACAGGTTAAGGTTCATTCCAAATGATTTGGAGCAAAATTTACAGCTACAGGTTTCAGGTGGAAATTGAAGTCTGTACGTCTGATAGTCATTGGTGCGTCTGTTGTTCTCCTGGTCAAGGAGCTTCATATGATTCAAGTCATAGTCTCCTGAGGAACAAGTATTCCGAACTTGTAATTTGTAAACCATCATCGATGTCTAATTGTCTGTCGAACAAGTAGCCAGTTTGGGGGCCTCGGACTCTCCTGTTCACGCATTTGCCAAAGGCAAAGGATACCGTCTAAGGTGAGCAAACCTGACAGAAATGAACCGTTTTCCTAAAATGGGCTCTAGTGGATTGATAATAACTTGTCCAGAATCTACTCAAAATGCACCGAAGGAAAGAATAAAAGTAACCAAGATTTCGCATCGAAATCAAAATTAAGGCATTGCCAACTGTGATGATGAAATATGATTAGCCTATGTAAGCTACAATGTGCTCTCCTAAGCCACTAGCTTTTAGCACTTTAGCCCTGTAAACTATACAACTAATTTGACTGACAGGTGACAACAGAGCCAAACTCCGTATCTCCCAAAAATTTCATGTGACAACAGTAATGAAAGCAAAAACAGAATCAATTTTCTCGAGAAAATGGTAAAAGAAATTACTACCTCCTAGATACTCTGACCCCACAGGCTCCGCAATCGAGAGTTGAAGAACCCCACCACGTCTGGTAAAACCTTCCTGGCCAAACCCTTGTGGCTAACACCAGTTGCTACAGCCACCACCTCCACTTCCAGGTTTCCTGTCACTTCGTCACCCACACTATCTTCTTCTTCTTGTTCACAGCCACCCCTATTTTCAGCCTCCACCAAGCGCTCACTTTCAACCATCGATATTTCACTATCTTGGGACTGCTCTCTTTGCAATGGATTAACAGATACTCCATTGGATTCGCCAATGCTCAGTATTACCTTATCTTTCTTCCTGCTGGCGTCTTTAAAGTGTTTCTTGGAAGCCTCATTTTGCATCAAATGGTCGTCAAAGGCCTCAATAACTTGATGAATGAGGTCCCTGTTGGGTGAAGAATCCCATCTGTGCAAAAACCTGGTGCAACAATCGAAGCACCCACATTGAAAAAGAGGGACTTTGCCTTTCTTGCACTTGTTCTTAGGTTGAACGGTGAGGGTAGATGGATTAGAGGTGGAAATGATGGACCTTATTATCATGTAAGCCAAGACTTCTCGGTCTTGGGGTGGGAGAGCTGAGGCTAGAGCTAGAATTGATACAGGGACAAGCTTAAACACAGAGTTAGGATCTCAGTATGAAGCTGGTGAGGAAGGTGGAAGTGAAGATACAGAAGGGTAAACTCTGCCTTTCTTCTTGACCTTCATTTTGGGCTTTTCTCTTTCTTTCTCTTCAAACTTCCAAGCTTTTTCCTTGAAATTTATTCTAGGGCGTGTTTTGTTGGTTCTTTGTCTCAACTTTCAAGAGAAGCATCTCATCGTTGAAGAAGAGGGTAAGGATGGGATAGTGTTGGATTGGAGAGAGAGAGTGTGTTTCTTGGATAGCTCAAGTCAGGGCTTTTTTGACATTAAAACTACACTAGGAAACGCCATTTCTTTTGGATTCATACCAGGCTTATGCAAGCTATTTCAGGTCCCTGTCTATAGGCTGCAGCTTGCTTTTCAGAAGTGACCATATATATATATATATATATATATTTTGGTGGAAAGGATTAATTAAAAAAAAAAAGGAAACTACATTCAATTTTATGAAAAGAAGCCATGTTTTTTTTAGTATTGTTGTAGGGTTTTGGGCATGGGTTACATTCCAGCTTTAAAACTTCTTAATGAATAATTTAAGTAAATAAAAAGATCCCTTTCTATCTCCTTCAATAATGCAGATTATCACTTTACCAGTTGTCCGCCAATTTCTTTTTTTTTCCCTCAAATTAAAGAGAAAGAAAGAAGCAGTGCTGATTGAAACACGCCACAACCAATTTTTATTACAAAAAAGTCAAAAAATAGAAAAAGAGATTGTAAAGATTAAAATTTATACCATCATCCTTCACGAACGGTTTATCATTCAGGGCTTTGTTATTTTGCAATTGCAAATGAACCCCTTAACCCTTATCTTAGTTGTCTATTAGCCAAGTGGAAAGCGTGCCTATTTTAAACAGCTTGTCGAGATATCTTATTGTCAAACGTTTTTGTTAATGCTGCCCCCATTGAATTGAAGATTATAACCATTGGGGTCTCCGCCTGGGACCCTGACGATTGAGCTGCTTCATGCCCTGGCCTGTAGGCCACGCTCTATAATATTCGACAAACAAAACTTTGGTCTTGTGCAAATGAGCTAAAACCCAGCCCACAGCTATAGCAAACTATATTTGCTGGGCTATGTCCCTCTGTCATGCACTTGAAAGTCTTCTATAAACACTTACCCTTCGAGAAAAAACATAATCCTATGGTACGATGCCATACACATTACACTCTTCTTCATAAGTCACAAGACTTCCTCCTCTCCATTGACGGCCATTGTACAAATGCAAAGAAGAGTCACATCCGTTTTAGCCTTTCTTGTGATTTTGAGCATTGGAGGCAAGAAAATGGTGGTACTGACTGATGCATGTGTGGAGTGTAGAGGGGCCTTAGAAAAAAGCTTGCCATGACGCTCCAGATTGGGGTTGGACTGGTGGCTGCTGCTTTACCTGTATGATTCTACCCCATGTTAAAAGTGGGACCAAAGGGGGCCAGCTCCACAATAATATCATCAAATGCAAGTCCAATCAAATAATTTTACCATGCTATGTTAGGCTTTTCACTGACAATGAATGAGTAACACTTGAGCCTCTTTGGATCATATGATTAGTACGGCCATGTCTATCTCTTCTTCTGTCTGAAATGCCAATTCCTGTTGACTCTTGTCTGAGTCTCCGTTTGTTCTTAGATGAAAGCAAGAACTCGCCAAAGGGTACATCATTGATATTCGACACCTGTATGTACTGCGACAACACCTGATGCCACTTTCGGTGTATTTCAGATAATATCATCATAGACACCTGGTCTTGTCATTTTTTTTTTTTTAACTCTTTTGTTTCCCCCTATTCCTTCGTTTTTCTTTTTATCTTTGTTGGTTGAAGAGTACATTATTTTGCACTTTCATTTATAAATTTGGAAGTCACCCTTATCCTATATCAACCTGTTCAAGCATTTTCAAAAGGTGTAATTTCATTTTTGCATCCGATCATCTTCAATACATACACAGCGAACTCGATCTTTTTTGACAATGATTCAGATTCAAGGAGACAAATCGTATGACATCACCCCATTATTGTGACTCAAGACAATTACATTGGTTGAATTATACAACATGAAACGAATCTTATCTTTTTCTTCGTCGGTTGATTGATAAGAAAACACAATTGAATGTTCAGTTCTTAGATTAATGGTATTGTTTGATTTTGATTAGTGCTGTTTGCCATTAAGGTTCCAACCCCACTTTCCTTTTTGATGCTCTTTTTTAATGGGGCACGTGAGCCCAGGAGAATAGACATAAAGAGAAAGATGAATGGCTTCTGGCCTTCCAGTTGGCCACTTAGCCCAAAATAGAGGCCCAATGACGCTACTACAAGTTCTTTTGCCCTCTAGACTGCTCATCTCAATCCGCTTTATGATTTTGAACCAAAGATTAAAGTTAGCTCAAATGATTTTCTTTTGGTGGCTCATATGATCCCAACTCACTGTAACAAATAAAATTGGGGGTCAACACCATTTGCCTCACTCCATGTGTACAAAATTTAATTCAAGAATTTGATGATTTTTTTTTTTTTTTTGGTTTTGATGAAAAAGTGAGTCGGTCTGGTTTGTTTTTTGGCTTGAATTAGACACTCACATGGAAAACAGGAAATGTCAATCCCGTAAACGGGCTCATGAAATGTGAGTCGGTGTGGAAGCTGTAGGCCCTGTTGAGAGAGATCAATCATACCTTTCCAGGGGTAATTTTACTAATTTACCAATGCATGCATGTTGGTTCTTTTCCTTAGAATCTTGGTAAGAAAGTGGCTTACAAGACAAAAGCATTTGTGGGGTAGTTGGTATTGCTTTCTGTTGCCACAGTGTTGTTTCAATTTGTTTCTCCCATTGTCATTATTGATAGTAAATCAAACTAAATTCCATTGATAGATCATACTTGTTTTAGGTTCATGTTTAATATGGTATCAAAACTCAAATTTATTTTGTTTTTTCTGCTTGTTATCTCTCTATATTACTTGAAGGGATTTGTTAAGTAGCATTATCTACATTTGTTAAATGTTAGATTTTGTATCATTTTATATTTTAGACTCGAGCTGCTGTCAAATACTGTTAAGTAGGATACTTAACAATAGACATCGCAACTATAATTCCAAATACATATAGTAGTTAGTTGAATCAGGATATTTGTGCTAAATAAAGTATATGATGGTTTTTAACCTGTTTAACTGAATCCAGAAAAGAAAGCTATGGTTCTTGACTGCTCTAAAAGACTAAGGGCCACAGCAGATTTTGATTTGATGGCGGAGGACAGGGATCTCTACTTAGGTAATTTCCGAGATATCCTGCTGAAAAAGCCAATGACTTATGGCGATTTGTGGCACAGGGTCATACCCCAGAATGGAAAAACCACTCTATATCATTGCTGAAAAGGTTCAATAATCACACATGCATTATTAATTGGTTTTCCAGGGGATACCATTTCTTCGGATACTGAGCTTTCCAGACAGTCAATGCAATGGAGAAATTAGGTTCTGCAGCCAAAGAGTAAAATGGAACATCCACGGTACATATAATTACTTCCTGTTTCGCATAAATCTTGCAAAAATATCCTAGACAGAGACAAGTCATTTTCTATTATAACTCGCTCGTACTATAAGAGATATGGTGGTGGGGAATGGTAACTTAATTATTTCCCATAAAGGAATTCAGGGTTTTTACTATTTCCTGGAGGATAGTCTTGTACAATGAAACATAAACTTGATTCGACATTGCTTTATGTCACAAATTAACCTGTAAAGTGTAAGATGAAAAATAAATTTGATTCGACATTAACTTTGTCATATGCCAGGACGATGTTCCTCTCTTTTTACGTGATGAACAAAAAAATTACCCCCAACAAACTCTATCCTGCCTGTACCTTAAGCAAAGGAAAAATTTTGTCTTCCCAATGAGTTTCTTTTTTTTAGCAGGAGTTACTTACATTGGCTTGATTTCAGGCTAAAGCAAGCCATAATGTGAGTCCATGTCTTTTCTTTTCTTACTGAATAAGAACATTTAGCATTGGTTTCTCGCTTGCTTACGGTGAGGCTGTTATAAGCTGCACTGATAAATTTATAGAAGCAGCGTGATCCAGCTGCAATGATCTAGCTACTCATATTGAAGATAGGATCCAAGTATTGAGATTTGTATATTAGACCTGTTACATACCATTTTTTAAGGATGGTTGCATAGACCGACGAAATTAAATATTTGGTTCATAGGTGAACAAGCTTTGCTTATCCAGCTGCCAAGCTAATATGATGCAAACATTAAAGATCAGCTTCAATTAATTTAGCTTTCTAATTCAAGCATCCTGGTGTGGTCTGAGTTGATTCCTAAGACATATTATTATTATTATTGTTCTTTCAATTTTTTAATATTACCCCATACTAACTGGCTTCGTTTCTTCATTAAATTCAAGTTAATATCTGTTCACTAACACATTGCATCATCAAACTCCAAAAATCTCTCATTTATAATTAAAATGAGGCCAGTTTTGATGAAGTGATCACAGTCACTTAACCTAACCATTAACTAACAATGTCGAACTGACTAAATTAGTTTATATTTATTGATAATTGATTCTTGAGTTTGATAGTTTAAGATTTTGGTTTAGTTATCAGGATATAGTTAAATTTCGTGCTTATCATCAACATAATGACATCTTTTTCTTTGGCCAGAAAGATAAAGACATCTAACAAAAGAAGTTTAAACCACTTTCTAGATTATCTGATTAAAAATTATTTGTTGATCATAAATGTATGAATCTGGCTAAAAAAAATGTACGAAAAAAAGATTGGAATGATAAAATTTTGTCTCTAAATGACTGTTTGCTTAAAAATCAACAGATTTTTTTACCCTTTGTTGGCGACAGTAAGTAGAGGTGTTTATTTGGTTAATTTAATTAATTTTGAATCGAATTATTTAAAATTAAATTAATTAAATTATTTTATTTTATTTTATTAATTGAATTGAATTTATTAATTTAAAAAATTAATCGATTGAATTTAATTCGATCAGTTTAATTAATTTTTTTTGTTAATCAAATAATAAAATATTTAAGTTAAATTATGTTTTAAACTTTTAATTTCTTATATTTTAAATAAATTAAGTAAAATTATCTAATAAAATATTCAAAGATTAAAATATTATGCTAAAAACTCTAAGAACTTATGAAATAAAATGATCCATTTTATATATTTTTTATTTTATATTTGAATTTTTTTATATTTCGATTAAAATTTTAGTTAATTTAATTGATTTAATTTTCGAACCGAATTAACCAAAAACCAAATTCTTATAAAATTATTTTTGTTAATGGACTAAAATTAATTCATTGGCCAACCGATTAATCAAATTAAATTAATTCAATCAATTAATTCAATTAAAACCAAATTACTAACACCCCTAACAATAGATTCTTTTAGTTTGAATAATGACAATAAATATTTCCTTCAATGATAGAATAAATTGTGACATTAAATATATACAATCATTTTTAAAAAGCGAGATTTAATAAATTTGATAATTAAATCTAATATTTATAATTTTTTTATATAAAATTAACATCCTATACTAATCTTATCATTAACTCAGTTTAATATTTCATTGATTCAAATCAAAGTCATGTCTCATTGTCATCCAAACATGCACAAACCCTTCTTATCTTATGAATCAGAGCCAAAAATGTCAAAAATCCATATAATTCCGCTTGATCCCTAACTTCTAATGGATTAATTTGTTTGAAGAGGTTTGGTTGGGTGGTTAATTTATGCTCAAAATGCTTGAAAGCATGGTAATTATAATTTAAAGTATTTCTGGTTCAAGAGATTATATTACAGTTGAAGGGAACGTAGAAAAAAATTTTACGTGTAATTCACTCCCTGCCTTCACCAACTTTCTCATATTTGTCGAAACATATCACTTATAATAATTATTATATAATTAATTATAATTTAAAATTACGTGAAATTCATCAAAAATTTATATAAAATCAGTTTATAAATTATGGGTTTAACAACACCCTAAAATAATTTTGTAATAAAGCCCACAACATTTATATTGTTCCTAACTTAGGGCAGTTACAGGCTACAGCTGAGACAGAAAGGCGGCAAATTTATGGCACTTTTTTCCAAATCGAATTAATATCCTACTGTGTATTGGTGGGGCCCGTCATAATGATCTGGCACATTGCATGGATGCCACGTACTTCAAAAACCACTGAATCAAACGGTTGTTGTGTCGTCATGTTGTGTCATTTTGTAGAGTTGGCGTGTTTCTCTTCTCCCTCCTATAGTAATTCTTTATTATTTTTTTAATTATCTCAATTTAAATTATTTTTTAATAAAATTAAAATATTAATAATTATCATGGTTTAAAAATAAAAATATCAATATTTAAGCTCTAATAAATATCATGATTTTAAGATATAAATATGTTTTATTTTTTAAAAATAATTGATAATTTCGTATTAATTTTTAATAATATATTAAGAAGGAATCTATTATCGGCGGTGACCGGGGAAGTAGAGTTGTACTGAGTAGAGAAGAGACTACGAGAGCGGAGGAAGTTAGAGGATTATAATTGTTAGGAGGAGCTATTCAGATTTGATTTAAATTTTTTATAATATATAATATTATAGATTTGATTTAAATTTTTAAATTTTAATTTATATTTAAATTTAATTTAAATTAAATAAAAAATTAATATGAATTAAATGGAAAACTATAATTTTAAAATAATTTTAATTTTTAAAATTTTGTTCTTATTTTGAGAAAAACAAGTAGAAAATTGGATTTCCCAAAGTGCCACTGCCACAGCCAATAAAAAGTCCAAAAAAGCACGCAACCTCCGGTGCAGCCTCCATTTGACTCAACCTCATCCCTCCTCCACACCACCGGCCCCCTTATAAAATGCCACATCATGTCGTCATGACTTGATGATGAGTAGCATACTATCATAACTTCTGATGATGATAAATTCCCCTCCCCCCTTTCTCCGTTAGCTTCAGATCGGATGTTACTGGGAAGTCTCGCACATAGTTTAATAAGATAAAAAAAAAACCACACAAAAAGCACAAAAAGTGAAGTGTCTCCAGAGAGAAAACACTAGAGATATTCAAAGAAGAAGCTCCAGGAGTTTTATCATTATCATCGAAGTCTTTCTACTTTGAACCCAGTTTCATAATGGGGGAGGTTATGATCTTAAAGCATTCTTCCCTACTTGCCTGCACCACTCTCTTTCCATTTCTCTTTTTTTTTTTTAATAATATGTTTATTGGGAGGGTCTGATTTTGGGGTTTTTTTTTTTTTTTTGATAGGAAGAGAAGAAACCAGTAGAGGAGAAGAAAATGGAAGAGAAAAAGGCTGAAGATGGAAAGAAAGAGGATGCGAAACAGAATGAAAAGCCAGCAGGGGAAAAGAAAGAAGAAAAGAAAGCTGAGGAACCAAAAGATGTGAAAGAATCCAAAGGTGAATCCCCTGCTCCTCCTCAAGAGATTGTCTTGAAGGTCTACATGCATTGCGAAGGCTGCGCACGCAAAGTCCGTAGGTGTCTCAGGGACTTTGAAGGTATTAAAAAATCCCAACTTCTTCTTGTGTTTTTTTTTTTTTTTTGATTTGATGAAATGAATGCATTTGTATTCGGTTTTCTAGGGGTGGAAGATGTAATGACCGATTGCAAGAGTAGTAAGGTGGTGGTGAAGGGAGAGAAAGCGGATCCTTTAAAAGTTCTTGAGAGAGTTCAAAGGAAGAGCCATAGGCAAGTTGAGCTTCTTTCACCTATCCCTAAACCACCTGCACCAGAGGAGAAGAAAGCAGAGGAGAAAGAGAAGCCTAAGCCTGAAGACAAGAAAGAAGAGGTCTTTCCCTCCTTCCCCAACTCTCTCTTTCTGTTGCTTTGTCTAAAAAAAATGTCAATAGTTTTTCAGCTTTTCTCAATTCCTAGAAGATTCATTTTTCAGCATTTCTGGGTCTTATAAGGTTTGGTTTTTCCCCCTGAATTTGCAGCCTCAGGTGATCATTGTGGTGCTCAAGGTTCACATGCATTGTGAAGCCTGTTCACAGAAAATAAAAAAACGTATTCAGAGAATGAAAGGTTTGTTTTTTTTTTTTTTTGGTTAGTATTAAGGAAATCAAAAAATGATCTTGGTATCGTTTTTTTAGCCGTGATTTGTGACCCCAATTATAAAAAAAATCACAAGGAATTGTCTTTTGACCTTTTGAATCTCTTTAAGAACCAAAAAAATATATATATATAGTTTATGCTCTGATTGACGTTTCAAAATCAACCAACCATGTCTTTTCTTTATTGATTTATTAATAGAATTCATTAAGATTCTGGGCAATTTGGTCCAATTGAAGTAAAAAATGCTTTTTAATTCTACAATATCTGCATCAAATCTCAGCTACCCCATACCAAAAAGGCCATTTCAAGACTGTCTTTAAAACCCCTTTATCCTGGAAAAAAAATAACTTGCAGGGGTAGAATCAGCAGAACCAGATCTAAAGAGTTCAAAGGTGACAGTGAAGGGAGTGTTTGATCCACCAAAACTGGTAGAGTATGTGTACAAGAGAACCGGGAAGCACGCGTTGATAGTGAAGCAAGAGCCAGAGAAGAAGAAAGAAGAAGAAAAAGCCAAAGATGTCAACAAAGAAGAGAAAAAAGGTGAAGAAAGTGGTAACAGAGAAAAGAAACAAGCCGGTGGAGAAGACAACAAAGACAGGAAAGGAGGTGACAGCACGGAAGCCAACACAGCAGCAGCCCCGGAAGGTGCGACAGAAGAGACCATAGTGGCTGTGGAAGTCAAGAAAAATGAATACAATTACTTCCCACCGAGGTATGCTCCAGAGTTTTATGCATACCCTCCTCAGATCTTCAGTGATGAGAACCCTAATGCTTGCTCTGTTATGTAAAATACTCCAGGGTTCAGGGACATTGTAGGAATTGGGATAAAAAAATTGGGTCCTTGTCCTGCTCTTCATGTGCCCTTCTTTGTACTGTGTGGGCTATGGCTATAAAAAAAGTATAATCTACAGACAAGCTGTAGAATTTTGTAAGGCTTTGTACCTTTTTCTTCTCTTGATGTTCTTATAAATAAATAAATAATGATAAATCATAACATATAAATTTCAAAATATTTGTACATTTTCCTTTTTACTTAATCTGCATGCAGTTGCAACTTTCTTTCTTTCTTTCTACATTTCATTTGAAACTTGAACTCGAAATTTGCAAATTCCATATAAAATTTTTCTTTGCAATTATATTCGTTTAAGTCTAATTTAATTACAGTCAATACCTTTTCATGACCTGTCTTGGAAACGCCACAATTTCCTAAAAATTTCCAAATTTGTTGTTCCCTGGTGAAGCCTTCATAGTTACCAGGAACAAAATTTTCCGAGAATCAGTGGCTCCTTGGGAAACTTTCTGTTTCCCGTCAGCCCTAGTGGTTCTGTTATTTCTAGATGGGAAATCGAGGAACCAGAAAACACAAAACGAAGTAAATATATTTTTGGAATTGGAAAGGAATTGAAATTCTGGAAATCTCCCAAAGTGTGTGCAGCGTTTGGGGCCTTGCTATGATAGAACAATAAAGTTTTGCAATGCCTCAGTGCAAAACTTTATATAATCAAAATTTCCTGACATTCATATTATTATTCTTTACCTTTTCTGATTAAGAAATGCATATTATAATGAAACTAATTAGCTACGATTCATACTTTCAAATATATTGAACAACTTTTCATCTGGCAAGAGAAGAAATTAACATTGATTTGTTCAACAGTCTAAACGATAAAGTTTCAACCACAAAATTAATCAACAGTTTGGGAGATTTCACGTGTAACAAAGAGCACTAATTGTTGGTAACTATAATGAACAGCATCAATTATTATACATGGAAAATTTCTGAAACTACAATAATTCAACTCAACTGATCTATTTCCTGTTTCTTCTAAGCAATTATGAATCTGTGGTGCCGAGACAGACACCAATGGGAAATGGGTATCCGATTTAAGTTAGTTTTCTGGAATGTAATCATGATTTCTTGTAGTAGACAAAGTGTCCTAATAATTCAAGGAAAGAGCAATCTTTAATACCTAACAAATTTGATGGTTAAAGTGATTTTCTTTAAGGTTATGAGTGGGGTCGTCGAACTCAATGATATTCTAATATTAGAGAAGGATTCTTAACCACCCTGATCCTGCTGGCTACGATATTATTAGCACATGCAGTGCCTTCAGGGTTTATTGAATGTCGAAAGCAGAATGTCGAGAGTTGTGCCAACAGTGTTTATGCAAAGCTTAATCATGGCTTTTCCAATAAAGATTGTAAGGTAGGCAGAGGCCATGCCAGGCATGAGTTTCTTTAACCTTTTCAAAAGGTTTCATGACTGCTTCTGCATGAGATTCGACAATCACATGGCTAATTCCATCGTTCCAGCTACATTTTTCTTTTTTCTTTTTTTTTTGGGCAGTAAATTCTCAAAGGAATTGTAAGTTTTTTTTGGCCATTTTGACTTGCTTATCTTAAAGATATAAAAAAATTGTAAAGTTCAGAATTTTGGGCTGGCTTTTGTTAAAGCACAAAGCTAACTTCTCTTTTTGGCATTTAGGAGATTCAAAAACTCAACAACGATTGAATTGAAGATTAATTAAGATGATTCATGTAATCACAAGCCATTTAACAGGTTTAGATTCAAATTTTAATATTACAGTCTCTTTTTTTTTATTTTTCGATTATAATCTCATATGTAAAAAAAATCTGACAAGGATTAAATTAATTAATCAGAAATTTTTTTATTAGTCATTGATTTGATTCTTGTGAATTTGATCTTTGATTGGAAGGCAATAGGAACATTGTGAATTATTTCCAAAGAGTATATCACTGAAGCCCTGCAAGGAATCTGCAGTGAAAGAAACGAGCAGACAGAGAGGGCAATTGTGAAGGAATGGGAACTGCAAACGTCCTTGTCCCCGCTGTTTCTTTGCGTTTGCTCTCACAATGACGAAACCACGATTAAATTTTCCCGAAAGTGAAACGGGGTTTTGTTTGCCAATCTTCGGAAAGATGAAATCCCCATTTTTCCCGTCTTCCACGTCTTTTCTTTTCCCTTGTTTCTGCTATACTTGCAAAGGGAATGCATGGTTTCTAACTTTCAACCCCAAATCTTCTCATTTTCAGTTTTCCACAAAGTTGTATTTTTTTTTTTTTTTTAATAAGTGATAGAACGGCTTCGTGAATTTTATTCAATACATTCTCGATTAAATCAATCCAAAAAAAAAACTTATTTATGTTTGATTTTGTGAATTCATGAAAATTTATATTTTCAGAGTCTTTTAGCAAGGAAAGACAAGATAAAATTTTTTTTATGTAAAATTTGAAAAATTCTAAGCTAAAAACGATAAAATAAATAATAAAATTAAAAATCAAACTCGTAATTAAAAGTTTTTATTATATATATTAAGTATGCAAAATTTTTAAAAATTTTAATATATTTTTTAGATAAATATTTTTTAAAAAATAAAATTTTTATTATTAAATAAATATCGATCAAATTTAAAATATAAATTTTATTTTTAATAAATTTTTTATATATTATTAATTTTCATATTGAATTCGATTAAAATTTTTATTAAATTACTTTTTAAAAAATTTCACAAACTTTACATAAAGAATTCCACCTAAATTTTGTCCATTTCCGCATATTCAAATCCAAAAAGAGAAACACTTTTTCTTTACTATAACCATCTGTTGGTAAATTATTTTTCTTTTTGTTGTTACTTCTACTTATGGTTCAAAATCAATAGGCTTCCTAACCTTTTTTTGTTGGAAATTTTACTGCTCAAGAGTCTTTTCTGAGAGTGGAATTGAGAAATTGTACTGCCAAAACACAAATAATGGCAAAACTATCTACTTGAAAGTTTTTTTTTTTTAGTTTCAAAAATTTTTTAAGATAAATAGATTTTTCAGTCTCTTAAATTAAAGTAAGATGTGTCGTACTTAATAATATAAAATAAGTGATAAATAAGATGTGTCGTATCTAACAGTCTAAAATAAATGATTACAAGTCGTACATTTAAGATAATCTCAATAAATAATTACTAACAGAATTCGAATTTAAAAATTTTTCGTTAAAAAAAACGAACCTACTCAATTAAATCAATTACTTGTTGATATTTACTTTGAAAGTTTCTCCAACTATATATGGTATTTACATTTTCATAACTACAAATAATTAAATTACCAAAGTAAAACAGGAGAATGTATATTTTTGCCTTAACATCCACCTCTCACCTTTGCCTTTTCCAGATACATTCAAAAGGAAAAGATAAATAGTAACCCAATCCCATTTATGAATTACTTGTAAATTTGATCCAAATTGATTGGAATTTGAAATTTTTATTCAATTAGTTGAAACGCATGTCTGATCATTGGATTTAATATAATTTTAAACTTGATAATTTCTACTTAATTCTCTCTCTAACTAATAAGGAATGCATCCAACTATCATTATCCTCTAATGTTCTTTCTTTTCGATTCTAAATTTTATTTAATTGTATAAATTAATTAAATTAAATTATAAATTCATAGTTAGAAAATCTATACACTTTTTTTATTTGATTAACTAATGACTAATCTCTCACTTATCTTCATGGGAGGTCCAGATAAATCTCTTTAACTTGATCCTCTGCATGAAAAACCAGGAGGGTTTTTATAGTTACTACATGTTTTTACTCCTTCATTTCCTACCATCCAGGGTGCTACCACACAAAAGCTGTTTGGCCTGCAGGAAAATATAAGGTTATTAATTTTACTAGCTGTTGAGTAAATTCATCTGACAAAAAAAAAAAAATGAAAGCCTTTTTAAGGTGTCCTCAATCTTTTGTGGGCACTTTGTCGGCAATGGTGGCGTGTGGTGACTGCAGTTGAAAAAGCTATTTGCTCTCGCATTTTCATGTAATTTGCTTTGCATTTTTTTTTTAATGAGTTATGATGAGCTGAGGTGTTATCATGTACTCACTGCTACCAATGGAATACGAATGACTAAATATATATTTATAATTTATTTATTTATTTTTAAAAGTGTTTGAACTTAATTTATATTCGTTAAAAAATTATTTTATTTATTTAAATTTGATTTATTTATATAATAAAAAATATATATTTCATCAGTTGATATTTGATTTAATTAAATTAAATAAATTTATTCATAAATATTAAATAAATATATTTACAAATATTTATAAATAAATATATTTATAAATAATAAATAAATAAATCTTAAACCAATATAAATAAATCTAAATAAATATAAACAAATTTTAAAATAAGAAATATAATTTTATTAATATAATTATAAATTAATAACAAATAAATAATAAATGAATGAATTTTAAATAAATTAAAATAAATTTATTTATGAATACAAATAAATAAAATAAATGTTTATTTATTTAATAAATAAATATAACAATATTTATTTAAAATTATTTATTAAATTTAATAAATAAATATATACAAATAAAATTTGAATATATTCACTAATAATTGATAGAAACATCTGTTTATTTGCGCCCCACCCAGTGCTGGCATTTGCTACTTTGATTTGGTTTTGAGAAGACGCCGCCATCTTCCTTTTCTTTGCAATGCGCGTCATGTTTACGTTCCTTCGCTGCGAGGTCACGAACTCGAAAGGCGGTTCCCTCTGAAATATAATTTTATTTATCCTAACGGGGACGATCCTTACTTCGATACGCCATCTTATCAACTTCGTCATCAGATAGTCCATTTCTCTTACAAAGCTTTTGCATGCTTAAAAGCTTAATGCTTTATTAAACATATAAACAAATTTTTAATATTTTATTATATGAAATTAAAATTAAAAATTTTTTATTTTATTATAAATATACCAGTTCATAAATTAAATTTATGAATGATGTTCAATTGACAACATTTTAAAATAATATTCTTTTGAATATTTGTGATTTAGTTTTATTTAAATAAATTTATCCAATTCATTTATTTAAATAATAAATTTTTTCTTTTATTCAATTCATTGTTTGACTCTCCTTTGATTATTTTTTCTTTAAGTAGCAGCTTTTAATTTTTCTTTAAATATTTTTTATTCTGATTTTTTTTTTACTTTTTTGACATATTTTAAATTTTTTATTTAAAAATTATAAAGTAATTTTGTTACTTTAATATAAAAATAAATGTTATTATTATACAATAAATTAATTAAAAAATCATTTAAATTTATTTATTAATAAAACTATTGTTTGATTTTAAAATAATTTATTAATTTTAAAATATTAAATAATTTAAATTTTTTATATATAATTTGTAGTAAATATATTTAATATTTTTAATAATCATTTTTTTATTACAATTCATTCATTTGCTGTCGTTATTTTTATATTCTATCACATATTTCACTAAAAATTTTAATTTTATTATTATAATAATTAATTTTAATTTTATTGAAATTAATCTCATCATCCATATAAATTGACCCTTAATAAACCCTTTTTAATATCGAATGCTTCGCAATAATTATTGAAACAAAAATATAGAAAATTGCATGCAAGTTTCACATGGACCATGAACTTGAATAAATTAATTCTAGTTTCTCCACGTCCAAGTTATATATAAAGAGAAATTATTTTTTTTTATCAATAGCATTTTTTAAAATTTTTGAATTTTATAATTGAAAATAATAGTGACACATATTTTAAAGATTTTTTTTTGTATTTTCTTTAGTTTAAAAAAGAAAAATATTTTATTTCGGTGAATTTTCTATTAATATTTGTTTTTCACAGAATTAATGTTTTATAATTTTAACATAAAAAAATAAATATAAAGAAGAATGTATAAATTTTTGCTGCCGTGAGCGTGTCTGACGTAACGGAATTTCAAGACTAAAGCCCCATCTTCGCTCTCCATTGGTATGACATCACGGAATATTCCAATTCCAATCTCGACCGTTTCCCCTCCACTCTCCACCTAATCGCGTGGTTTCCAATCTCTTTTTTTATATTTTATTTATTTTTTGTTAAACTTGTCCAAATGTGGCACATGTTGGGTTGTGGACGGGTCCCACGTGATGGGTCCATAGTATTAACGGGCTCAGTCCACGTGACCCCGTTTTTACCATTTTTGAATTTCCTTCTTTTACAAAAAATTAGATGAAAAAAAAACTATTGCACTTTACACGAGCTTATATTGAATTTATATAACGTTTATCACAAAATTATTGAATTAAAATATTAAATTTAGATTTTATAATAAAAATTATATATTTAAAAATTTAAATTTTTTACAATGTGTTATGCCCAGGTTAACTTGATCAAGATTTGATCAATAGAATCCTATCAACGGATATGATTACCTGATATCTTCTTCATCATCTTTATCTTTCTCTTTTCTTGTTCTTTTTAGGTTGGGAGGAATTGGAGCGTCAGATCTTTGACACAGAATAAATGGGAGAAGGCCAAGGGGGACGGGGAAAGGTTGTAGTTAGTTCGACAGGGACAAAAGTGTAGGGTTATGGTCTTCACGTGGTGACACTAATTGGTTCTTTGTCTTGTCTACTTAGCCAGGCCTTAGGATTCTGTACCATCACTCTTTACAACTCCATATTAATTTTCTCATTATTACATACTATTACATTATATAATATATAAATATTTTCTCCGTTTTAAAATATTAAAAATTATTAATATTAAATATTAAATTTTTTATAAAATTAAAATTTTATGATTTTTAGTGTCAAAAAATTAAAAAATTTTAAAATATAAAAAAGTAAGAATTTTTAGATATTAAAAAAAAACATAATTTTGAAACATTTTAAAACAAAATGAAAAAAAAAGACAAAAAGATTATTTTTTTAATATAAAGAACATAAAAAATTGGAAAAAGACAAAAAAATTATAGGTGTTCGAGATTTGAATATTGTATTTCTTAAATATGTTATTTTTTAAAAATAATTATATAAATTAATTAAATTAAATTTAAATTTATATAATTGTATTTCTTTTAAGACAAATAGATTTTGACTGTAATAATAAGATGAGTTTAAACCTAACAATTAGGGTAGCATTACAAAATTCTGCTTCATGTAAAAAAAAAAAAAAACTACTTAAAAATACAGATGAAATAATATAGATAAAGGATCAAAAGCTTTAAAAACTCAAACTAGAACGAATCACCATTCTATGTTGATGTACTTTGGAGCATTGTTATCTAATTTACAATGTTATCCTACTGGAGAATGAGAAATTAATTAAAAAAAAAAAGAGAGAGAGAGGAGAAACTGACTGTTTAGGTAAGTTATCTAATTTGTTGTTTTACGAGAAAGGGCAAGTTTAAATTTCTATAAGAAAAACAAAAGAAGGGAGAAAGATAGGAAATAATATAAAAAATGGACAAAGTTGAATGATAAATTCATGTCTTTCTAATAGCTTTATTTTGAAATCAGAGAATACGGAAAAATAGTTTTCAGGTTGATTTAGTGATCAAGATAACTTTAAAAAAAATATCAAGATCGGAGTTCGAATTTCAATTTTTTACCTTTCTTTAATGTAGGGCTCTGCCTCATTGAATGACAAAAAAAATAATAATAATAATGGAGTAATGAATGAATGAATCTATAAAGAAATGGATACTATCACTTTGAAATTATCTAATTTATATTTTATTTGGATGAATGATGAGATTGATTTTGATAAAATTAAAAATAGTAATAAAAGTTAATATTTATATTTGATGCATTATCAATGTATAAATTTTATATATTATCAGTGAATCGAATGATGTCATTTCATTAATGAGTAAGTTTTTTTTTAATTAAAATTTTATATATTTATTTTAAGGGTTTATATTCATTTATTAATGATGTAACATCATCAAATTCATTAACAGTGTATAAAATTTTTTATATTGATAGTGCATCAAATATAAATGTTAAAAATAATTGTAATTGTGATTAAAAAAAATTATAATTACAATAAAAAATTTTAATAATAAATTTATATTAAATAAATTTTATTAAAATTAATATTTAAATTTTACTGATATGATAAATTCAATTGTACCACACCAAAAGTGCAGTAGAATCCAATTCTAATCTTAAATCAATATGATTTACAAGTAATTCTCAATCATTTCGGGTCATATATCGTCTCTCAACAAACTATGGTTGATTGACAATTGCCGGAAGAAAGAAGACATATATATATATATATATATATCATTTCTTCGGAACTTTCAATACTTCCATTGATCACTTATTGACAGGGATATTTTGTGGTAAAAATTTCTCTCAAACATTTTCTTTTTAGGTTGGAAGGAATCGGAGAGTCCAAGGATGTGCACATCAATGGCTTTGGTGAATAATTTGCTCTTTTTATTCTCTTTTTTGGGTCCCCTAAAGTGGTTCAACACGACAGAAAACAATGGTTCAGGGTGTTTCTTCTCCTATGGAGGTTGATATGTTAGAGGAGGTAGGTCTAAAGCTATTGTCACTAGGGGAATACGATCAAAGATTTGTGGTATAGTGGGATTGCACTCATTTGACATTTCGAGTTAGAGTTGTGGTAGGTCTCTAGGCCCATATTTTATGCATGTTAGACAAAACGAATCTCATGATGACAAGGCCCATTTCTCATGGATGACAAGATATTATATGTTTATATATATATATATAATGAACATGATATTTAATATATTATCAATATATAAATTTTATATATTATCAATAAACATATGATAATATTTTATTAATAAATAAATATTAATTTTTAAAATAATATAGATTAATTAAATTTTTTTAAAAATTTATTTATTAATGAGTTATAATCATCTGATTAATTGATAGTATATAAAATTTAAATACTAATAATATATCAAATATAAATTCTTATTTTAAATCAGTCAAACTTGTTAAGGAGTGGATTATTAGGTAAAAGTGAAGCTTTGAATTTAAAGTTGAATTTAGTTGATTTATATAATTATTATTTTAAAAAATAATATTTAATAAATTTAAAATTTAATATTATATATATTTTATTCTCAAACTACGAACTCATATGCTTTGACAAAATTATATAAGTTTTTGAGTAAACGAACTATTTTCCTATTATTATCATTATTATTATTATTTAGGGAAGAGAGATTTTTTTTTTTTTAAATAAAGAGAGACATGCACATTAACTTAAATTAATCCAACAGCATGGCCCGAACCTATGTAGAGATTAAAAAACGTTGTAGACAAGTTAGGGTCATGATTTTGGGTCAACCTCCACTCTGGGCCTAATGGGCTTGTGCTTTGTGGTTCATGCTAAAATGTCATATCGAAAATGTTATGCTCAAAGTTGTGCTCAACTTCGAATTGATTTTTGTTTTTATATTTTCAGTATGTTAGTACTTGTAAAAGCAATTGTGGGTCATGAAGATTCTCATACCTCAGTGTCTAGATTTTATTTCACAAGCCAGTATTGTACATGCAGCAAAGAAAAAGAAGGCAAAAGACAGGAAGAGGAAGATAAGTTAGAAAATGACAAGAAAGAAGAACCAAAAAAAAAAAAAAAAGGAACTTGGATTGCCATTCTATTCTGATGGTAAGTTGTGTTTTTCCTTGGTTTGCCATTCTGTTCTTGCTCGGACAATCTCTATGTTATCATCTTGCAAGCGAAGCAGATGTGTGTATTCCAAGTCTGCCTTGCGATTACTAGAGTTGTTGTTTAAATCTTCAGTCACATTTGCTGTTAAACTCGTCAAGGACTCCAGCAAATCGGATTGCCGGCATTCACGCCGGTACTCCAGGGTCATGCTTGTAAGATTATAATCTTCCAGGACATCCATTGGCACACTCTGCAAATAAAATCAGGTTACAGTATTGTAACTATTCCCTCAATAACTTGTCTGTTATAGTTAATTTGGTGCATTTCTCATGGCTGAAACATACCTCCAAAATCCATCCGATGTATTTCACATTGTTTACATGCTGATTGGCATCGATGTCGCTCCATCTTGGCTGGATTGCGAGAGCAAAGTCAATTGATAAAACAAGGGAGATCATTTTCTCAGTAAAAACACAGATTTCAAGAAGACTATTACATGAGAGAGGTAATATAGCACATGGAACTCACTTCTAGCCCCGATCGAATTCTTTCTGCGTTTTCATCATTAAGCTTATCAATCTTTTGGATATCGTTCTTCTCTTCGGCAATTGCAATCCTATTCAGGTAGAATGGAATCAGTTCTTGCCTAACTTGTTTAGGGATCTTGGTTAATCTTCTTGTTTCGTGGTTCATAATCACCCATGTGCTGCAGGGGGGTAAACAACTAATAGTTAACTAATTATATGAGCAGGAACAATTCATTGGCAGAGGGAAATTAATGGAGATGTTGCACCTTGTTGCTCTTGTTATAATCTCTTGTGTATTGTAGTCTCTGATTATCCAGTCCCTACGCATTGCATTCTTTCCTGCTGCATCAACCCAAGTATCAATCTCCACAACATCTCCCCTGCGATCAGATTGAATCATTCAGGATTGATTTCTATGGAAATTATGCTGAGCAGATTTTCCATTAGCAAGATTAGTAGTGGTTATTGGGACATTGATGGCGTGGATAAGGGGAAAACGTATATACCAGTAGCTATATCTCTCCACTTGAACGTTGATGCGAGTGACGACCCATATGAGTTTCCTAAGGCTCATCTCACGGGTAGCCCCAAAGCCATTCCCAGCAAGACCAGAGCTCCTTACCTGATTCAAAGCTGTTTCCTGCATTGCAAATAGTTTCAACGAAAACGTTGAAGAAAATATCTAATGGAACCATACCAAAAGTTTAATCCCATAATATCATTCTATGCGTTGGCAGATGAAAGTGGGAAATGTTTCATAAAGAAAACCAACCTGAAGGAGATTCATAAGCGTTTCCATGGTGGCAATTTTGTCTGGTCCAGTTTCATAAGACCTGATAATGAAGGTCTGCCTATAGACATGCCTGTCTTCCACAAACCTCCCAATCGAAGTCGCCTGGCCTTGTTTATCAGGAGCCTTTTCTTTTATCAACAACCCAGTGTTCTTCGTAAATGGAGCCTCACCAACAGAAATCCCACTTAAGTTTTTCTCATTGACCATGTCAAGATTGCGAGGATTTTTAGCATTTGCAATTAGCAAAAGGCAGTTGTGTTTCGGTTTGATCAAATTCCATGAAGAATAAAAACTCAATTTCGCCATTGCTGCGTTCTTCACAGCCTCTTCCTTGAATAAAGCCGCTGGAAATAATGATGTTATAACATTACTTGTTTTGGCCATTGATGCCGTCAGGAAGTGGTGCACATTTGCTCACCAGGGAACAAAAACAAAAACAAAAATATTATAGCAAAACTTGTAAGTTTGGCAAAAGAAACTGATGGATAATATCTAGTTCCCTAGCTCTTGCAGCCTCGTTGAATGATAAGAAAAAAAAAGTATTCAATGTTAGTTCGTTCAACAACTACTGGAATAGGCAAGGACAAATTAACAACGAAGAAACGGAAAATTCTCTCTTAAAAAAAGAGTGTGTATACAGAAACGAGATTACTAGAGGAGCATATGCCAAATTTGCAGCTCAACCACTTGCAATGGTTGGGGGAGAAAATCAGGCCTCAATCGTTAGCTTACGCGAAAATATAGGAGCATTTGAGTTGCTTTGGTGCATGATTCAATTCAGAGCGGGCATTCTTTTCTTATTCCTAATAGAAAATTTGGTGGTGCTAGGGATGACTCATCAATAATAAATAGTTTCAAATCCGGTTTGTTTTGCAGAAAATAATTTTTAAAAAATATTTTTTTACGTTTTCAGATGTTTAATTACTTGACAAAAAACTAACAGATTAATGAAAAATGATTTATTGATTAACAAAAAATAAAACAATTTTTCTAAAAATTGTCTTACTATTTTCAAAGGGATAAGATAATTTTCGAAAAAAAAACTATTTAGGAGTATAACTATTTTTTAATGTGTTTGAGTTTAATTTTACTCAAGTTAGATTTTATACATGATTTCTTTAAGTTCAAACTTAATTTAACCAAACTTAAAATATTATTATATTAATAAATAATATTTTTTTATTTTACTTAAAAACTTAAAATATTAATATTAAAAGTCTTTTAATATTTTAATTTTAAATATTTTTATAATTCTACTCAAGTAAAAATTTGAACGTAATATTTTAAATTCGAATTTGATTTGATTAGATTTAAAATATTATTATATTAATAAAATTATTTTATTTAATTTTAATTAAAAAATAAAATATTAAAAATTAAAAGTCTTTTGATATTTCAAATTTAAATATTTTATTTTATATATTATTAAATATAAATATTTTTAATATTTCAATAAAAATAAATAATAACATATATTATAATATTTTATTATTTTAATAATTAATGTTAAATAATATAAAATATTAATTTCTTAATATGAATATTTTAAATAATTTCTTATTATTTTTTAGTTTAAAATATATAATTTTATATTTTTATTTATTAAGGTATTTATATTACTATTTTAATAATAAATATAAATAAAAAAGATTTTTGTTATAATTTAATAATAGATATTTTCAATATAAAATATAAATATTTTAACAGTACAAATATTTTAATAATAAATATTACTATTTTAATATTAATAAAAATAATATTTTAAGAATAGTAATACTATTTTAAAAAGATTTTGTTATAATTTAATAAAGATTTTTTAATATAAAATATAAATATTTTAACAGTATAAATATTTTAATAATAAATATTACTATTTTAATATTCATAAAAATAATATTTTAAGAATAGTAATACTATTTTAAATATTTTAAAATATTAATATAAAGAATAATAAATAGTTTTATTTTAAGTATTTTTATATTAATATAATGTATTAATATTAAATATTATTATTAAAATATAATTATTCTTGAATATTAATAATTTTAATAATAAATAATTTCAATATACTTTAATAATAAATAATTTTTAATATTTTAATAGTTATATTAGTATTATTTGAAAAAATAAATAGATTTTTCATACAGAAAACAACCGAACAATATCAAATATTTTTTATTAACTTATCCAAATAACAAAAAATCTTTATTTTTTCATAAAATATAAACATTTTCCAAAAAATACTTTTTGAAAGTCAATTCTTACGAAACAAATAGAATTAGTTAATTGGTGCTATGTGCTAGAAAATTAGGGCACCTTAAGAGTAATAAAGTGCTTTAAATTACCCAAAAGACGGTTGTAGAAAATCATAAAATCACTTAAGAACTGATCGTGTTTATCAATAATCATATGGTTCATTGATAAAAATTTTTAATTTTAATAATCAGAATTCAAATTATAACAAATCATGTATTAAAAAAACAATATTTGACGATTGTTGAGTATAAGAAACACTCATCGACCACTAAAACTTTAGGATAGATTGGTGAATATGTTTATGGAATGGTAATGGTAGTGGATAGTTAAGAAGAAAGCAATAAATGGCTGAATTTCTTTATGGAAAATTTTTTGTTATTATAACAGATAAAATAATTTAAAATCAATAATTTAATTAATTTTCATCTTATTTTGTTCAATTGATCATGGGTCTTAGATCAACTTATTAATATTGAGATTGGGATGGTCTAATTTAATTAAGTATAAATCTATATACCCCATCTGTTGGAGTTCCACATACATCATCTCCAATATTCATGGAAGAATGAAGACAATGTATTAAATAGATAGGGTATGGAACAGATAAAGTATTCTCCATCCTATCTCTAAATTTTTGTAAATGACTAGGGTTGGTAAGGAAGAATGCAACAAATGGTTGAACTTCTTTATGAAAATTTTTTAGTTACTATAATACGTAAAACAATTTAAAATCAATATTTCAATTAATTTTCACCCTATTTTATTTAATTGATCATGGGCTTTGGACCGACATATTAATATGGGATTGGGATGGCCTAACTTAATTAGGTATATATCCACATACCCCATCTATTAGAGTTTCACAAACATCATCTTTAATATTCATGGATAAATGAAGGCAACGTATTAAATGGGTAAGATAGGGGATAGTAAGAGCATTTCGCATCCCATCACAAGTTTTTTATAAATGGCTGGGGGTAGTTAGGAAGAATGGAACAAATGGTTAAACATTTTCAAGGAAATTTTTCAGTTACTACAACTAATAAAATAATTTAAAATCAATATTTCAATTAATTATCACCCTATTTTGTCTAATTGAACATGGTCTTGGACCGACATATTAATATTAGGATTGGAATGGTCCAACTTAATTAGGAATATATCCATGTACCCTCTCTATTAGAGTTCCACATACATCATTTTCAATATTCATGGATGAATGATAGGAAACGTATTATACGGATAGGGTATGGGACAGGTAGAGTATTCTCCATCCTATTTCCAATTTTTTATAAATGGCTAAAGGTATTTAGGAAGAATGCAACAAATGGCTGAACTTCTTCATGAAATTTTTTTAATTATTATAGCAAATAAAACAATTTAAATCAATATTTCAATTAAGTTTCACCCTATTTTGTCTAACTTATCATGGGTTGTGGATTGACATATTAATATTATGATTGAGATGGCCTAACTTAATAAAGTATAAATTCACGTACCCTATCATTGAAGTATCACATACATCATCTTCAATATTCATTGATGAATAAAGGCAAAGAATTAAATGAGTAAGGTATGGGGTGGACAAAATATTATCATTCCATTTATAGTTTTTTATAAATGGCTGAAGGTAGTTAGAAAGAGTGCAACAAATGACTGAACTTCTTCATGAAAATTTTTTAGTTATTACAGTAGATAAAACAATTTAAAATCAATATTTCACTTAATTTTCACCTTATTTTGTCTAACTGATCATGGTCATAGATCGACATATTAATATTGGATTGAGATGGCCTAACTTAATTAAGTATATATCCCTGTAACCTATCTATTGGAGTTTCACATACATCATCTTCAATATACATGGATGAATGAAGGCAACATATTATATAGGTAGGGTATGGGACGGGTAGAGTATTCCCCATCCCATCCCCAATTTTTTATAAATGGTTGATGGTAGATAGAAAGAATGAAACAAATGGTTGAACTTTTTCATGAAAATTTTTTAGTTACTACAATAGATAAAATAATTTAAAATCAATATTTCTTTTAATTTTCACCTTATTTGTCTAATTGATTATAGGTCTTGGACCGACATATTAATATTAAGATTGGAATGGCCTAACTTAATTAGGTATATATCGATGTACCCCATTTGTTGGAGTTCTACATACGTCATCTTTGGTATTCATGGATGAATAAAGGCAACATATTATATAGGTAGGGTATAGGGCAGGTAGAGTATTTTCTATCATATTCTCAATTTTTTTATAAATGGCTGGAGATAGTTAGGAAAAATGAAACAAATGGTTGAACTTTTTCATGAAAATTTTTTAGTTATTATAACAGATAAAACAATTTAAAATCAATATTTCAATTAATTTCACCCTATTTTATCCAATTGCTTATGGGTCTTAGACCAACTTATTAACATTGGGATTGAAATGACCTAGCTTAATTAGGCATATATCCACATACCCAATCTGTTGAAGTTTCACATACATCATATTCAATATTCATAGATAAATGAAATGAACATATTATATTGATAGGGTATGGGACGGATAGAGTATTCTGTATCCCATTCTCAGTTTTTTATAAATGGCTAAGGGTAGTTAGGAAGAAATCAACAAATGACTGAACTTCTTCGTGAAAAATTTTTAGTTACTACAACAAACAAAATAATTTAAAATCAATATTTCATTTAATTTTCACCTTATTTTGTTTGATTGATCATAGGTCTTGGACCAATATATTAATATTAGGATTGGGATGGCCAAACTTAATTAGGTATATATCCACGTACCATATTTGTTGGAGTTCCACATATATCACCTTTAATATTCATAGATGAATGAAGACAATATATTGAATCAGTAGGGATGAGGCGAGCAGAGTATTCTCATCCTATCCCTAATTTCTTATATTACACCAATTTTCGTATTCATACATAATGAGTATTTCAAATTTATCCCTATCTCCATCCTTGTGGGTTTTTAATAGATATGGATAATCTTCAAACTCATAGCTTTTTTTAAAAAATATATTTTTTTAGCTTTTTTTTTAATGTTTGTCTTGTACATTTATATAATTTTTTATAAATATATATTTTTAAATACAAATATATTAGTTTTAATTAATCCAAAATAAAATTTATATTATTGAATAAAAATTAATTTATTAAATATATAAATATATATTATATAAGTATGAGATGGATACTATATTACCCATTCTTATACTCGTAATTGATAAAAAATTTAAAATCATACTCATCACTTTCATCATCTCTAAAATTTATTGCTTATCTCCATTAAAATAAAAAAAAATCAAATTTTCTATTAAATTTGAATAAAAATTAATATCCCTACTCAAAACTCTATAGTAACGCTAGTACTTTATACAGTCCATAAATGCCTCAAGATACCAACCTCTAAGTTTCCCCACATTCTACTTAATTTCTGGCTTTACCTTTCTTGGTATCTCAGTGAAGGACAACATCCTCACCAAAAGCAAAGAAAAAAAAAATGGATAACATTGAAAAAGTGTTTTCCATATTTCAAACAAGCGGATATTATTTTATTTTTGTTTTTTATATTAAAGAATACTTGATTTGAAGATAATAAAATGATTATTGCAATTGTTAAGATTTAAATCTTAAATCTACTTAATGTTATTTTTTAAGAATAATTATACGAACTAATTAAATTAAATTTATTAATTCGAAATAAATATTATTCAAAAATATCATAAAATAGTAAAATACACATACAATTTGAATCGAAATGAAATATTATTTTGATACAAATACTATATTGTATTTAAAAAATTAATAAATTAAATCAAATAGATAAATTCATCATCAAATCTGCATTTTACTATATTTTAACATAAAATAAAATTATATATTTAATGTAATTTGAATATGGGACGTAAAAAAGACTGAACTTTCTCTTTGTCATTAAAGCAATACTTGATTGGCTGTAGCCTTTAATATTATCATAGTAGTAGTAGAATACTAATATGAACAGGTGAAAATGAAGTAATAGCTATGAATTGCTTTTTTTTTTTTTTATTTAAAGTTCAAATACACCTCATCGATTCATCTTTGGATTAATCATATATAATATTATATTATAATATGCACAAAAATTTGATAAGATTTACTTACTTGAATGTTTAGGTGGACAACCTATATTATTAACATATAAGATAGTTCTAAATAATTTTATTCAATTAATTATTCAATTTTTAAAAATTTTAAAATTTCACAATTTATATTTATCCAAATATTTCAAAGTATATAAATTTTATCTTAATTTAAACCTGAAAAAATATCTCATACCATACTCTTACCCATATATATTAAATACAAAATTCGAATAGCTTTTGAAAGTTACATCCCTAAATCTTAGGAATTATAAAAAATTATAGATTGTCTAAATCAATATTGATATAAATTTAAATAAATAAAGTTTGTGGTTGAAGAACTGTTGTTTATTAATTTTTTGCCTTTATTTTCTTATGATTTTTTTGAAACATTTTTTTTCAATGATTTAAAATAAAAGAGAATGATATTTTGTCTCAGTTTAAAATTACATACATATCTAAATTTAAAATTATACTAATCTTTTTTATCTTAATTTAAAATTAAACCTAGAAAAACTATATTTTTAAAAATTTAAATTTATTAAAATTAAATAATTATCAAATATATATTTAAATAATTATCACAAAAGTTTGACATGATAAAATTTTAAAATTAAATATGAAAAAGTCTTTCATGATATATCACATGTATAAATCTTAATTTTTATACTAAAATAATATATACTTTTAAGAGTATATGTTATTGTAAACAAGAGATTGACTTTCTCATTAGGATTTATATGTAATTTTATTTTTATAATTCAAAACTTTCATAATGCTTATTTAAATTTTTTCATAATAATTTATATATAGACAGCTTTTGTAATTTTAAACTACAGATTATAGATGATTAAGAATTTTTTTATTTATGTATAATATAAAAATTAGTATAAATTAAAATTTTAAATTATAAAATAAAAAATAAAAATTTTCATGCATGGAAGGGATAGAGGAACATGAGGCCTCACGATTTTTAAAGTCGATTAATTTTTTTTTTACTATATATTTTATTGTTGTTGGTATTGATATTGACATGTAGAACGAAACTCTATTTTTATTTTTATTCGATTAATCAAATTTTTAAAAGATTTATCAAACTAAAAAACTAATTAATATATTATTAAAATTGACATTTAAAAATTATAAACTCAAAAAAAATTATGGGTGTAATATTTTTTAATTAAATAAATATAAAAGTAAATTAATAATTAAAAACAAATCAAACAGCTTCCTTCTCTCTCTAAATTTGTCTGAGTTAATGGTGTAGGTTAGATTTGGGAGTCGGTAGTAACACCGGCCTATTTTATCCAGGCCGACCCCAGAAACCAACTTTCAGGCTTCCTATTTTCCTCGTTGGAAAATCTAGACTTCACATATCTTCAACTGCTTTCACAAATAAGCTTTTAAATTTTTTTTTTTTCATCTTGCAAATTTAGGATTTTCTCGTTTGTATCTTACGCCTGATAAGTATAAGAGTAAATGCAAATGATTAAAATTTAAAATTTAAATATTAAATATTTAAATTTAAATTTTTATTGTCTTAATAAATAATTTGTAGATCTCAAAAATTTTAAAACATTTACAAAATTTTTTATAGATTGACAGCTTGTCCTAGATTTTTTCTTAACCCAAAAAAGTAAGTACTCATAATTTTCAGCTTTTTGACTTGAAATTTAAAGAATATGTAGAAAGTAGACAGTAAACTACATAGAAAGAATTGACCATGGAGATTTAACAGTTCGTTAAAAATTCAGCCATTAGTCAGTCCGACTTCGAGAGACACGAAGGAAAGAAGCAAAGGAAAAGAAAAGAAAAAGACAAAAGCTATTGTCTTACATTTGGATCCATGTCGATAATGGCGTGGGTCACCGACCTTTCAACATCGAACACATGAACACGTGGCTTGTATTTCGGGAAAAGAACAAACCCCCCTTAGATTTCCATCACTTCAGGTTTTTTAAACATTAAACAAATCAAAAGAAAACATAGTTGGGTCGGCAACATATGCAAAAATATGCAGTTATGAGAAAAGGGTTTTTAAATCACTGGGGTCACTCACGATCTGGACGGTGCTTAATCTATTTCCACACGTCAAAGGCAGAATCTGATACTGGCTCTCTTCCTGCCAACTGGTAACCATGTCCCAACTGGTCTCTATATGTACTATGACTTGCCCATCAGTTCTTTATGCTTTAACTTTGTCTTGATATCAACGAACCACAAACTCTTTTCTCATTTAGCTCGTTCTTTGACTCTTCACTTTGTTGTAGCTATCCACCAGTTTTGTTTTATATCTCTTACTCTCTTTTCGAATTTCAAACACTTCCCAAAGCAGAATCAAGAATGGGTCGTTTTTGGACTTTGCTCTCAAACCTTCATTCAGTAGCCGGGTATCTTTTGTCATTTTTAATGTTCTTGATTTTGTATGAAGAATTGAACTTCATATCTGAACTTTTTTTTTTGTTTTCTTGGAATTTGTAATGCCTGCAGGCCTGTAGTGATGTTGCTGTATCCCTTGTAAGGAGATTTTAACAACACTTGTGTGGTTTTTCATTATGTTTCTTCACTTAATTCACGAGTGTTTATTGTTTTCTATATCAGATATGCTTCAGTGATAGCTATAGAGAGCCCAGCCAAGGATGACGATGAGCAGTGGCTTGCTTATTGGATTTTATATTCATTACTAACTCTAACAGAGATGGTGCTCCAATCAGTCTTAGAGTGGTAACAACTTCTCTACATAATAAAATTAGAGGAAAGTTATCATATTTCAAATTTATTTAGGGTTCTGATTGGATCGATAATGGAATTCCAGGATACCGATTTGGTACTCCGTGAAGTTGCTGTTTATGGCGTGGCTGGTTCTACCACAGTTCAGGGGTGCAGCTTTCATATATGATAGGTTTGTGAGAGAACAAATGAAGAAATATGGAATTTTGAGAGATCATCATGGTCATCATAGCCGTTCTCCAAATGGGAAGGGCAAGAAGAAATTTGTGCAGTTCATCGTCCCCAAGAAAGTAAGTTATTTCTCTGTACGAGAGGGAACGAAATACCATAGTTTTGGCCAATATTTTTCTGATGGGTTGTTGTTGATGTCGATGACAGGGGGAGCAAGAGGCTTACTGATCAGGAAAAGAGCAGAGTCTTGGTGGGTGGACCTTCTGTTTCTTCCTTTCCATTTCAGCTCTGATTGTTGTTTTCTTGGGTGGTTATAATTTGTAAATGCTTACCCCCTTTGTACAAGTTTATGGCTGACCTTCGATAATGAAACCTTTGATTATTCATTGATTATAATTGGCCACCTAAAATTCGTTTCAAGTCTCAAAACTATAACAGCTGTTGTCATACTGGAACCTGTGAGCCATGAATTAATTGTTGAGAAAACAATGACAAATTTCATGATGTTGCGACTTTTGAATGAGATTCAAACCGGAACATTTACTGTAACCCAACTTTTGACTGGGGCTTTGAACTACGAAAAGGTGCAAAATCCATGTTTCTGTAACCCAAATTCTGATCTTCAGAGCAATAGCCAATAGCCTAACAATAAGCTCTAGAATTTAGAATATTAAGAAGGAACCTAAGCCCAGTAGGAGATCGGGCTTTTTGCAATGTGACTTTCTATTGCTTCCTGGGCCTTAAACAGTGAAGCCAGATAAGCCCCGAGTTAAAGGCAGGTTAAACTTACACGTGCTGTAAACTCATAGTTCCCATTAAAAATTGGACCCAAATATTGAAGTTTGAACCGACGACAAATTGCAATGCAAAACCCATTTTACAGGTCAGTTCATCATCTTCAGTTCATGATATGAGCTGCTTCTCATTTGCATCATATAAAAAAAAAATGCGACTACCAAAATAAAACCAACAGAACAACATGATTTTACCTTTTCATGCCATGAATTTAAGAAAGTTTTGTAAATTAATGAGGTGAAAACAAGAATTTCGAGGAATGGATTGCAGCCAAAGAATCAACATAAACACATGAACAGGAAGACTGGGCTTTCCAAGTTGCATCTATATGCTATGCCCTGTCAGAAAATTAAGTTCTTACCCACTACCCACGTGTGCTAAAAGGCGCACCACCGCTGCTTTCATATGCCTAAAACGTGAACTAGATTGGCATCTCCAGCCTTTATTCAACAACAATGGCTTTCACACCTTTCAGCCAGTAAATTCCCCCATTTCATTCATATTCTAACTTTTAGTCTCTCTCTTTCTTTTTCAAGTTCCATTCATTAACTTCTCATTAAGTATTGTATAAATGTTTATACTTAACTGTGCATTACCGTACACACATGGGCATACATGCACCGATCGATGTCCAACCAATTATCATTTGATCTCAGAAATGTATTGTCCACTCATGGGATAATTTCTCTTTATAGTCCTGTACTTAGCAGATTTCAGGTATCTAGATCCTTCGGCAGAAGGAATCACAACTCTTTTCTTTAACAAAAAAGCATATTTGTTATTATTATTATTATTATTAAAAAAATAATTTGTTTGCTTATTCTTAACGGATTTGATAATTTTAAATATGATATAATAATAAAATAAAATAAATAATATAATATAATTTATAATTTATAATTTTAACAAAAATAGTATACAAATTTAAAAAATAATATATATATTATTTTATGAGTTTGATATTGTAATACTTATAGACATCAATTTGTCCAGAAATATGTAATAAAAAATATAAAATATAAAATACAAAAATAATACAAAATATAAAAAAATACAAAAAAAAACAGAACATAATAGAAAAATCGAAGATGGCAGTAGTGCCTTTCCCGGCACCACTGTCACCAGACCTTACACCCTACTCTTCTGATCACTATACCTTACCCTCTACCCTTCTAATTATTCATTCCGTTGATAAACTGTCAAATAAGACAGAAACGAATAAAAGAGGCATGGGGCTCGTGCTTACACCCCATGCCAAGCCACATGCCCTTCCCTCAAGCATACCCACGGTCGGAACTCTATAAATAGAACTTCTAGCCAAATTAAACAAAAAAAAAAAAAAACAGAGGGAGATTCTACCAAAAAAAAATCAAGCAGTCTTTTCCGTAGAAAGAAACCCAGTGCCGAGCTTCCTACATGAAGAAAAAAAATAAAAGTCAGTTTAAAAAAAAAAGAAGTCAAAATACAAAAAAAATATAGTTTCACCGAAACTTCACCAGCAGATCTAGGGATTTTGGGATTCTTTTTGGTGAAAAAGAGGTCGGATCTGTGTTCAAGGGATCGAGAGGAGTTTGTGAGAGTTTTTTAGAATTTTTCGACATCGTCCACGACGACCGAAGCTTGCCTTCAGCAAGGACTGTTGCGACCGTCACGACGGACGGCCACCGGCCCTAGATCGGCCTAAAAAAAAAGAGGAAATAGGGCATTTTTTTTTTTCAGAGGAGGAAAGAATGGCTAAAAAATTTTTTCTACTCTTTTATATAAATCGTCATAACCAAAACGACGTCGTTTCATTCTAAATTCGTAAGACGGACACAAAATCGTTACAACAATACCCAACCTAAATAATAATTGGGCTAGATTATTACTAAAGTCTATTATATTAATTAAGAAATTAATTATTAAAAAAAGTTACTGAGGTAACTTTATCAGAGAAAAATCTAGTTATTGTGAAATAAAAAATAAAATGAAAGGTTTTCTTCCCCATCTTCCTTAGGATTAGAAAGCATAAAAAATTAAGTATATGATCTAAAATCAGAGGCTACAATCGAGTTAATCTCCTAATGATATGTATATATCCTCTTTTTATTTAAGAAAAATATGTTATTTTAGTTGCTATTATATGGAGTTAAAGTTTTGAGAGACAAACTAAAAAAATTATGAAATTTTTCATTAATCTTTATGATTTATTTGGGTAAATTATTGGGTTTTGTTTATTTCATGTTCTTTAAGATTTATTGATGATTATTGAATGGAGTTTAAAGGCTGAAAATGTGGATTTGAGTTTTTAAAATTTGCAGGAATAATTCTATTTTTAGATGAGATATTATAATTTGTAATTGCGAATAAAATAGAATTCAGTATTAATGAATAAATTATTGCTATGATTATTATATATCGTTGAAAAGTATGTTGAATCTACTTTCTACTAAAATAAATGAAATTCGAATTCAAGTTTTTTATGAAGAGTTATCTAATTTTTACTTAAAGATATAAGATTATATGGCAGCATCATCTGGATTGAATTTCAAAATTTGTCTTAAATTTTATACAAGGAATTAAGAATTGATCCATACATATTTGAAAAGGTTATTAAGTTTACTTTCTAACAAATGATCCGGAATTGAATTTGGAGTCTCTTATGAATAAAAATGTAATTTTTATTAGAAGGTATACGAGCTGCCTGGTAGCAACATATGACGTGAATTGCAAATTTTATTATAATTAATCTATAAGGAATTATGAGGTGGGTCATATATGGTTAGAAAGCTTATCAAGTCTAGTTTATATCGCATTAAAGAGATCTTAATTCCGTTTTGGATATATTAAGATATGACAATTTTAATGAAAAAAGGTCAGGTTGCTAGTATTAGTTAATTAAGTTAATTCTTGAATAATTTAGTTGTTTTTAGTATAAATAGTCTAAAAAAGGATTGATTAATTTTTAATGTGTTGAAATGATCTTGAATAGGCCATTAATTATTTTGGGGGAAAAAACTAAGTAGTGAAATCAAAAAAATTTAAGTAGAATCTCATAAAGATTGAAGTAGAATTTCACACATTTACTTGTTTTTAAACCTATGTATATATGTATGTTTATAAATGAGTAAATGTTTTATTTTTTATTTTCGATATATGAAAATAAGATTGAGCATATGATTATCTTGTATTTTTACTATGTAAATGATGGATCATATTTATGAATGAAATGAGAAAATAATTTATATTTAAGGAATGATTTTATAATAACTATGTTTTACATCTTTAGGAAGTAAGATCATCGATACTAAAACTAGTTCTACGGTTTTAGCTAATAGATAATAGTAGTTAGCATAGACATGATCATACAGCCCTATTAATGGGTTATAGTAGTTAGCGTAAGACCCTAGCTAACGGGTTATAACAGTTAACAATGATTATGAGGATGAAATTATCGATACAGCCAATGTTATAGTTATAGCAGTGATTATAGTTAACGATAAATGAATGATAATGATGATTTATGATGATTTTAAAAATTGATCTATGATTTATATGAAATATGTATTTGATCATGATTTATAATTTATAATTAATGAATTAACATGTTTTGATATTAATTTATAATCTATGAAATGTTTGACATACTGATGATTTTTGAAATATTTTGACGTTATAATTTGATGAATATTTTGAATGATTTATATGATATGTATGAAAACGATGCTTGATCCAGTAAGGTGTGTAAGCTTATACTTGTTGAGCTATAGTTTACTCATTTCTCTTTTACTTTTTCTTTACAAATGACTAAAATGATTGCTTAATCTTGAAAAAAGCTATAGGATCATTTGAAAAGATTACTTGAGCATTTGAGATATTATTGACTAATGAGATCTTACGAATTGGTTTTATGTTTTTATTAGTTTACATTTGGATATATAAAAATTTATCATTAGTTGAAATAAAGATATCGATTTTACTTAGCAAATTATTTTATTAAAAAATTTTAGAACGGTTAAAAAAAATGTTTCGTATTGTATTAAGGTTTTACTTCAAAATAATATGACTTTATTATATCTCGATTTCAGATTGTGACATATATGAAATAAAAAAATATAAATACACAAATTATTATATCTATTTTTTAAAACTATTACCAGAAAAATGTTCCTAGAATCGATTCAATTGCTGCCAGGAATACCATAGGCAGGCTCTTGATGTTGCCAAGCATGAATACAAGTCCGACAAGTTGATAGCGATTTCCCATACCACGAATCCTTTGGGCACAAAACAAAAATAAATTGTTCTCACCTCTCAGAGCACAAGAAGATAAATATATTGCAGGTTATTCATCCGATGCCCTTGATCTTGGAAGACTCGCCTTGTTATACGTAGATGTAGTTACAGGCTTTTTGTTTTAAATTGCTCAATTACTTTGGTTACTTTCAAATATTCCAGGTTACCAATAACTGAGGCATGATATGCAATCTCCAAACGTTGACAGTAAATACATCATTACATCACATGTTTCCCAAAGTTTAAAGAATCAATTAAAGTAGGTTTTTCAGTCTATATGGCCGGTAAAGTAACATTGCAGCTAATCCAGAATAGCAGAGCAAGAATTTAATCATTCTATATCAGATTTGCAAGCCATTTCTCTTCTTTTATTGAATGACCAAATAAGTTTCCTTCTTTTACTACATATGCCCCACTTGCCATGTAATACACTAGCTTTCCTTCGCAGTTCTAGTGGACAACGTGCCTTCCACTGTTAGAATTATTGAAGGAAAAAGCTAAAGATCTTTCTAGTTAGCCCGCCAGAATGAAAAAGAAAGCATGAATGCTTTTTAGGTGGAGTTCTTCTTTAATGTGGTAACTGGTGTTGCATATGCCTTAAGGAAGTTCAAATGATAAAAAGGACGTGGCGGATAAGAAAAAATATTATAGGTGTTGTGTTACGATCTTAAGATTTATTGTATTTTACCTTGACTATATATAACAAATTGAGTTAAGTTTCGAATTCATTGCGACGTGCCAGTGACTGATACATAGTAGAACCAATCTAGTGAACGACAGATTTGCCTTCCATTCTAAGAATTTGTTAAAAGTGTGGATTGTGGAAGATTCAAAATCATCAACTGGTAGGGTAAAAGTAGAGCTACCCTAGCAACTAAAGTTAGCCAATAAACACTAATAAATCTCCCATGGCTTTTTAAAAAGTTGTCTTCCCATTATAAAAAATAAAAAGAAAGCAAGATGTGGAAATCTTACCGAAATTTACCTCCTTTTCCCCACCTATATAATCTAGTGATTGGAATGCTTTGGGGTCAGTCAGATGGAAATCCACCTCATTTTCTTTTGAATTTTCCTTTGGACTCTTCCCCTATTGCTCTCTGGTTCATTGACCAGATGATGGAGTGAGCTCTTTCATTGTAATACTCCCTTTAAATTCCCATTAACCCCTTTTGTACAAATAGAGAATGGATCCTATCCTAATGCAAAAGTTTCAAGCCATCAAGAAATCCAAGAAGTCAAAGAAGCAGCAGCTTCTGGACAAATTTTTTGTGTGTACATTCATAGCATTTACTTGTAGTTTATTCTGTTCCAGCCCTTTTTGGCTCCCCTACTTGTTTTCCTCAATGAAGGATTTTCTCTTCATCTCTCTCCCAAAAACGAGTTCAATCTTATACAGCCCCAAACTTTTGTTCCTTGTGGGCAACCTTATTGTTGTTGTTCTCATTGGAGAATCCAAGTTTTTTGCTTCAGCCTCTTCTCTTCCTGGGGATGTGTACTATAATGAGTACGTTGATCAAAGTCGAAACCTTCGAAATTCTTCGACCCTGGCAGAGAATAAAGATAATAAAATATTGGAACCTTTTGAGGCAAACGTGAAGAGGACTTGCCTGGTATCAGTTTCAGGAAGACAGGTCGAGGAAATTAGAGAAGCAAAGATGGAGAAAAACGATTTAGAGAGAAAAAATGAACCCATTTTGCCTGCTGATCAGGAATTGAAGAAAAGGGCAGATGATTTCATTGCAAGGGTCAACAGGCAAAGGAGGCTTGAAGCTAGATTACTACGTAATTAGTAGCTTTGAACAAGGGGAAAGGGAATTATGCAAATATTTAGATGGGGACAAGAATAAGAACAACAATCTTCAACCTGGAGCCATGCATGAAAATTGACAAGTTAGATTAGCTGTCCTGTTTACTACAGTATTTAAGTTTCTTTTCTGTAACTTACTGGAGCTGCTGCGGGTTTTTCTCTCGATCTATTGTATAACAGAGAGCTTTGTTACCAGTATAGACTTTAATTCACATGAACTTGATCCAAACCTGATTCTGGCTTTGAAAACAGATTGGTCTGCTATCATGTGTGCTTTAATAAACTATATACATGCTCAAGCATCTAACACAAAACATACTTTTGAAGAAATATGGAACCCAATCCAATCCCAGCTACATGCCATAAAATCCAGTCATTTCAGCTAGCTTCAGCTGGACCAGTGGCAGGCCCCTCCACGTCCATGGAATACCATACAATCGGTGATATAATATAAATATGATATCGAGTATTGTTAATTGAATATGATATGAAAGTGGATAAAAATTATTGGAAAGAAAGCCATGACATTCCCATGGGATTTAAAAAAAAAAAAAAAAGCAAAAATTTACCAAAGTTGGGCAACTAAAAATTTTGCACCATCCATATATCTTTTGTTTGAATGGAAATGCTTTCTGTTTGTGCCAAAAGATAAAGTTGAGTGCATGAGAGAAAAATTACAGAAGTATTTATACGTTTAAATTGTCAATGCAGCTGCAGCTAAGTAATTATATATTTAGAGACCTGCATTTATTGATCATTTTGATTCAAAAATCTTATAATTTTATTTCACAAAAGATATTTTTTAAGTTTGATATCAAATTTAATATAAAGAACGTAGATTTGTCGAATTATATTAAATATTAATAAGTATAACACAAAGCACACACAAATCACAAAATCACACAAAATATTAAAATTTTAAAAATAATTTTCATCGTGTAATACTTAATTCCTACAAGATTTTAAGAGTACCTTCTGTTATATAGTACTTAGCTTCCATCTTATTGGTAATCGTTTTATATCATTTGTGAAGATCTGTATCTAATTTGAAAAATATTATCAATTTTAACCCAAAAATTTTTTATTTTATCTTAAAAAAATATCTTTTAAATTTAAATTTAGATCTTTATATATATATATATATATATATTATAATAAATTTTCAAAATATCACGGTGCAAGTCAATTAATTAATCAGTTTACCATTGGCTCAAGGGATTAGGTACTATGACACCTGAGTTTATAAAATGACACCAATGGAGTCTTATATATTAGTCTGTAATAAAAGTACTGACTTTGGTGTTGATTGATAGATTGATCAAATTAAATGCCAGAAAGTTAAGTACTTTAGTTTTGAAAATCTTAAGCACTAAGCTTATGATACAAAAGTTGTTTTATATTTTATTGAAAATTAAATGTTTAATAAATTTTTTATTAATTTTTTGATAAAAGATAACAAAGAATAAATAGTTCAAAAATAAGATTAATGTAATTAAATAATATTTTTTAAAATAAAACTATTTAATATATTAAGTAGCTAAAAGCTACTTAACATTTTAAACATCCCTACCTACAATAAAATTTCTAGATTGGCTCCTCGAGTTATCTACGTGGCAATTTAAATTTCTTTCCTTTCCTTTCTTTTTTTTTTTTCTTTTTCTGATGGAAAAAAAGTGAAATTTCATCTAATTCTTCAGTAAAAAATTAAAAAAGTTCCATCATACTTAAAAGTTGTGGAGAATGGAAAAGGACAGAGCGTCGTGGCACCCCTCGCTTCCTTTGTTTTTTTTTTTTTTTTAATTTTATTTTTGTTAAATTTATTTTTATTTTTTATTAAATAAATTTTACAATAAAAAAATCAATTGAGATATAAATAATAAAATAATTCATATAAGATAGAATTTGATTTACCCTAATCTAATTGGAGCCTTTTTTTTTTAATTCATGATAACTTGGTTGAGATTTTTAAATCGAATTCAAGTCGGAACAAAGTTTTGGATATTCTATTTCAGTTTTGGTATATATAAATATATATTTTATTATTTATTTATTTTTATATTATTATATTATTAAAAAATATTTAATATTTTAATTTAATAAATTCATGTATTATCCCATTTAAACTTTTTTGTCATTTTCTTTTTTTAATTTTATTTATTAAATAAATTTTATTAATCAATAAATAAAAAAATAACAAAATAATTTATAACTAATAAATTTCCATTAATCACAATCTAATTGACGCAGATTTTTTTTTAAAATAAAAATTAGGTAAAATTTTGTCTATTTTAATAATTATTTGAATTGAGATCGCGTTTGGATGCTTTACCTTACTCTCCTTAGAATATATTTTATTATTTATTTAATTTATATTTATATATATGTATTAAATTAATAAAAATATTATTTAATAATTTAATTTAGTAAAAAGTTATATTTACATATAATTAAGTTATAATTTTATTAAAAATATATTTATTTTATTTATATGTTATCGTTAAAATTTGACGTAAAATTTTTATTTTTCCCATTTATAAAATAAAATTAAAAGAATCTTTCTGATTTTTAAAAATAATTTATCAAGCACATTAAAAACCACTAATCCTCTATCTTTAATTTCTGCCATATATATCTATACGCGTCCCCACCGAGGATATGTGCATTTTCAACCGTAGGACAGCAATCAACTGCAAAGCCATGAAGTTGATAATTCACAAGCTCATCAGCATTTTACTTCCTCCATTAGCCATCCTTCTGCTCCTATTTCTGTTTCCCCCATATCTCATTTTCAAGTATATTAGCCATAAAATAAGATCGTTCTGCAGAGAAGATGTAGCAGGAAAAGTAGTTCTCATCACTGGCGCATCTTCAGGCATTGGTGAGGTCGGTGAATCAGGGAAACACATGATTTAACTATATCCCTGTCTCTCTCATGTTATCAGTACCGATCAATTGAATCACGCTCTTGCCTGTTCGTTTATTGTTTTGTACTTTGTAGCATCTTGCATACGAGTATGCCAGAAGAGGAGCTCGTTTGGCCCTTGTGGCCAGGAGAGAAGATCGTCTGTGCGAAGTTGCCGATAAATCCCTTGAGCTAGGTTCACCAGATGTTATAGTGATCCCTGCAGATGTTTCAAACATGGAACACTGTAAACGGTTTATTGACAAAGCTGTGAACTACTTTGGTCGATGTAAGTATACATTTTCATGGCTTTATTTATGGTCATGGGCGGTTCCTCCTTGTAGCCAGAGGGGGCCTTGGCCCCTCAAAGTGTTTAATTAAAAATCTTTAGCATGTATATATTAATATTAAGTAAATTTAAGTTGATTCTTTAAATTAAAATTACTAATTTTTTTGTGATTTTTAATTTTAATTTTATGCATTATTACAATTTTAAAAGAATTAAAATTACATTGTTATGTATCTATTTATTGTATTCATAAATCATAATTTATAAATTCTTAAAATCAAGTTAGAGATTTGTAATATGTTTTAAATCATAATCATATAAAGTTAAAAAAATTAAATTAACATTTTAGCTTTCTCAGCAAAACTCTAAATCTTAGACTAAGTACTAAATATGTGGATTTTTTTTTTCTTTCTAGCTTATTACAGTATCTCTCTACATATAATTTTTATTTTTAATTTTACTCTAGATCTTTATTTTATACTATCCTAAAAATTTTTTTCAACAACAAAAAAATATATATATATATATATATATATTGCAATCGCTTTATAAAAAGTTAAAAAAAAATCATAACTTCTTCTCTCAAAATTTCTACTTCGTTCTTTTAAAATTACGTTTTTTTTTTTTATAAAAAAGCATATTGTTTAATAATTGATTTATTTATATTCTTTTATTTCAATTTTAAATTTCTAAAAAAATAAAAAAATTTATTAATTTATTTAAAGATAGTGTAATTAAGAATTTTATCATTAATTTAAAACTCTTGTTATTCTTAAAAGTTTAATGGTTTCATACTATTATTTTTATGATATAATTTTATAAATTAATTATTTTTATTAATATTATATATATATATATATATATATATATACACACATATACAACTACTCTCATTTCTGATGGTTTCATGGCTTGATTTTATGCATCAGTGGATCACCTAGTGAACAATGCCGCCATTGTTAAACTTGGCATGTTTGAAGATGTAACCCACGTTTCTGAATTTGCTCCCACCATGGTATGTTTCTTTCCAGCTCTATAAAAAATTAAGATGTTCTTCATGGCCACTAGATATTCTCGAACTGAACGAGAGAATTGAAAATTTTTTTCTTTCACTTCTTTTCACGGATCGCATGGCCATTCTTTCTCGGGAATCTGTGGGCGTGTATTTCCAGGTCCACTGATTTCGCCGAACAGAAGTTTTGTCTCTACTCTCTTGCATGGACGGCCATGGCCCATGGTTTCTCTGCAAATTGCAATATTTATTAATTTTAAATATATTTTAAATATAACCAATATGTTCAGGTTTGGAACAAACATAAATCTAAATGCATGATCTGTTATACTTATTTGTTTTAATTTTTTATATTATATTTTGAAATATTAATAATTGCATATAATTCGATGAATTGAAGATAATAGTAACATTAAATTTGTTTATTTTATCAATTGATTAATTTAATTCTATAATTAATAAAATACATAAAGATGGTTTTTCCTTTTTTATTTTGATCTGGGGTTGTCCAAAAAGAAGTAATATATAGATATTAATGAAAGAAAAATACTAGTCAATGACACCAATATAATGTTTAAGGAAAAAAATTGCAAATAATGCATGGTCTTTTCTTGAATTTAGTGAAATAATGCATGTAAAAATATTTTAAATGATATATTTATTTATATGTTACATTGAGTTACACAATGAAAAATTTTTAAGCTGACCAAGAAAAATGCCTACTCCATCTGTTTTATTGAATTTTAAATTATGGATTGAAAGTAAAATATATATATATATATATATCTTATATATGATGTGTTAATTTTGTAGAACACAAATTTCTGGGGTTCTGCATATGGAACCCATTTTGCAGTTCCACACCTAAGAAAAAGCAAAGGGAAAATCATTGTGATTGCTTCAGTTGCTGGATGGATGCCTTTGCCAAAAATAAGCTTCTACAATGTGAGAATTATTCTCCTAAGTCCTCAATATGCTGATCACTACTCACTTTCTCATCAATTGTATATCTGCAATGGCTTGATCAGGCAGGCAAGGCAGCACTAGTCAGCTTTTATGAGACGTTGAGGGTGGAATTTGGGTCAGACATTGGAATAACAATTGTCACCCCGGGCTTAATTGAGACCGATATGGTCCAAGGAGAAGAATTTACATCAGAGGTAAACCAGATTTTTCACCATTGAACGGAATTTTTCTTGATCTTTTGGAACTAATTAATGGCACTTGTTGGGTAGATACAAGTGGGTTTCATCCCGAGTGAATCAGCTGAAGCGTGTGCAAAGGCAATTGTGGCAAGCGCTTGCCGTGGAGATAGGTACTTGACAGAGCCATCTTGGTATAGGCTGACATTGTTATTGAAGATACTTTGCCCTGAGTTACTGGACTCGATTTGTCGTTTAACATTGTTTGGCAGACGTCGGTCTTCAAAGAAAACATCTTAGATGTCTTTATGTTTGACAAAATTTGATTCCATCCATGGAAGCACCTGGCATTAGAACTATGGTGTTAGTCCTGATCTTAAGTAACTTGTTGCAGACAAATGGACTTAGAGTTGTTAAAGATTGGTGAAGACAAATGTTAAAGTCTGGTTTTTCTTTTTTAACAGATATACACTTTAATGAAGAACTAAGCTAAAAGAGCCCCTTTCCAGAAAAAAACTCTCTCCCTCACTGATATTTTCTTTGTTGTTTCTGGTTTTCTTGGAGAAGTTGCAGATCACCATTGAAACCAATAGTTTTGCTTCAAATTTTATTTCTTTAGCAGTGTTTTCTTTTCAAGCATAGCTATTATAAGATCCTTGAACGTGTTGCATCTTCTAGTTTTCTATTACATATACACTTACCATGAATTGGTTTCCCTTACCTTTTAGTGACAGAGGATTAATGATGATACAAAATTATCGATGATTTCAACAATACAAGTGATCCTATTAAGAGATGTTCATCAGGTCTGACTAGAAAAGTTGAATTTTTACTGTGATTCTTGGATTCACAATATTAATTCTCGAAAGCTTCATATTTGGAAGGAACCTTTTGCATGAACATTTAAGACCACACCTTACAAGGCTATAATCGGTGAGATCGTACACTAGGGTTAGGACAAGGCAGTCAACGCAGAAGCTAACGTACGGCGCCAGCTGCCACTTGGAAAGCTCGTCCTTGCGGACCATGTCTAAACCCCAAGTCAAGTAATTATCCAATTTAATTATTATGTATTGGTACGTGTTGAATTCCCTACATGCAGCACTGCTACGTTGCAAACGGCTAGGGCCTTCAGATTCAGAGCTATGAAAATTTAGTTCCACCCTCTTTAACACTAGCTCTAGTGTCTATGTTTAATTCCTTCTCAACGATATTTCAGAGAAGCTATGGATTTGATCGATAAGTTCATGAATGGAATCGTTGCTACTATAACCTTATCGCACTCTTCTTCTTTCTTCATCATTATCGGTTTTTCAAGTTCCTTATCTCCACTGCAAGAACCTTGTTCAAGGAAAATGTGACTGGAAAAGTGATACTCATCACTGGAGCATCCTCTGGCATTGGCGAGGTTTGAGTTGAACAAACCATGGCCATACGATTTCTTTATAAAATAATACTACCTTCTTTTTTTTTTTATGATTCTGATTTTCTGGTTTTGATTTTGAAGAATCTTGCATATGAGTATGCTAGGAGAGGAGCTCGCTTAGCCCTTTTTGCCAGGAGAGAGCAGCGTCTCCAAGAAGTGGGTGCCATTTGTGAGATCATTGGCTCCCCTGAAGCTGTTTACATTGTTGGAGATATCTCCAAGATTGAAGATTGTTAACGGTTTGTTGATGCCACTGTAAACCACTTTGGGCATTGTAAGCATAGAACGAGAAGATTTTATATAAATATATATGCATACACATACATATATCGATATATAGATATATATATATATTTTTTTCTCTTTTCCGGAGTGAATAATTGTGATGTTTAATCATCCTGGGGTTATTTTTCATGCTAACAGTGGATCAGTTTGTAACCAATGCTGGGTTACTCCGGTCTGCTTGTTTGAAGATTATGATGATATTACTAAAGCATCGCAAGCTATGTTAATCAGTCATTGTCGGCATTCTTTAATTGGGATTAGATTTGACGGTTTGTTTGTGTACATGTATTGTCTTATATGTATAATATAACAAATTCTATGTCAAATTCATATTAATATATCAACTTTCAAGTTCATATATAATATTTATTAAAATTTTAAATCAAAATTTTTACTAAAACTTTAAATTGTATCATTCTAAATTGTATCACACTTTTTTTTCTTTTCCAACTCATCATGTCATGTTTAAAATTGTCAAATCTATGACGCAAATATTAAACCTTAATCTCTCGCCCTTCAGATGAATTAACATCTCTACGTGTACAATTCAATCCTCTGTTCACGAAGTTTCCTCAATGTATTTTTCATAGGATATAAACTTCTGGGGTTCAGTATACAGTACCTATTTTGCACACCCAAACCTAAAGAAGAGCAAAGGGAAGATCATATTGATAGCATCCTCCGTCGTATGGTTTTCTGCACCAAGAATGAGCTTCTATAATGTAAGAAATCTCATCAGTATCCTTAACAATGGTTATTTACGCATCAAATTTTGAGCAATACTACCTTCACAAATTGGCCTAAGGCAAGCAAAGCAGCACTCATTAGCTTTTACGAGACATTGAGGATTGAATTTGGGATTCAAGTTGGAATTACAATTGTGACTCCGGGATTGATCCATACAGAGATGACAGAAGGAAAATTCTTATCCAAGGCAAATTGGAAGAAGATCGAGAAATGAGAGATGTAAGCTGGCAAATTGGAGGAAGATCGAGAAATGAGAGATGTAAGCTTTCTCTTAAATGCGACATTCCTGAAAGGGAATGGAATGTATTTTCCAGTCTTTCTGATCACTTACTAATTGATTGCTGCCAGATTGAAGTCAGTCTGATGCCATTAGAGTCAGCAATAGTTGACAGCGCCTGCCGTGGGGAGAAATACCTGACAGTACCATCTTAGGCCAAGGCGATGATACCCTGGAAGGTGTTTTGTCCTGAGATAATAGATTGGTCGATCCGCTTGCTATTAATGTCTCGACCAGGGTCTTCCCACAGGGATGCACCTAGCGAAAAGATAACCGAATTAGCAAGAGTAAAGGAGTTTTTCTCTCTGGATGGGAGCCTGCTTTCATAAGATCCTCGTCAACGCCCCATCAATCTTCTAAAGTAAATACAACTTGCAGCAGAAAATAATAAAGGTAGATGTTTAAAACATGTCAATGCTTCAGACTCCATAGTGGAAATTGCTTTGAATGTTTGGAAACGTAGTATTGTTGTATAAAAGATGAGTAAGAATGCAAACAGTTATAAAAAAATTGGTAAAAATTTAACATAATCATGAATTTGAGAGAGTATAAGATGGTGAAGAAATTCATCATCTCGTCTAGAAATTTCAAATTTTCTATTAATTTAATTAAGTTATATTATGCAATTTATATATTTGAAATCCAAATCCTTCTTTACCTTTGATATCTTGGTAGCTCTGTCTTTCATTTATTAAAGACTTCAACCAAAAAAGAAAGGTTCTTCACTTCTCTTCTTTGGTCTTCAACACTTAGCAATCCGGATCTTTCTAACCAGTTTCTTGTCAAAATCTCTCATTGGTCCTTCCTAAGCAAATAATGTCTCATTTTCCTCCATTTTGGAAAGAATTCAAAGAAATCCTAGAAGCTCCATGGATCCTTGATTTCCAGATTGGACTGTAATGTGCCTGCAAATTAATTACAAATGGTCTGCATTTGGAATCATGCGATCCAATTAGAAAATCGCAGGGAAGATAGAAATTCTGTTAGCACTGGTTCCAATATCCTAGCAGACATAGTCGTAATTATAATATGCAGCCAATCAAGGGGATATGTCCATGGGATCCAATGGCAGGTGATCTTGAGTTTGAGAAGAAGCAGAAGGCTTCAATCTTCTAAGAAGCAACCGCGCATCAGATGCAGGACTGCCCTTGGTCATCTCCATGGCAATTGGAAGAGAAAATGTTTTGTTTATCTCTACAAGCATCATTCCCCAGACAAGACATTTTTGCATCCAGTCATGCCTCGTAAATATGACTACACCTGGAAATCCAGTTGGAACTCATGAAGTTGACAGCTTACTCATAGTTGATAAATAATTGAAGTTTGACCGGTTTTATCTCAAAATGTACTAAAAATGTCTGCAACTGCATTATAATCTCCTTCATACCACTAACTATTTGTTTGTCTGCAGCAGTGACCTCTTGCAGAGAATGACCTATTCCTTTCTGCACAACCAGGAATTTGGGAATACTAACAAATTAAGTTATCAAATTCCATCCAAGTTCCAACAAGCTCGTAGCATTGTTGGTAAATGGCCAACAGCCCTAAAAGAAATGAGTTGAAAAAAATTAAGGACTAATGCACATTAGCAAGCCATTGGTATGACAGAGCATGTTTCTCCTATTTGCTTTGCAAAATCCATCATGATGCTTTAGCACGAACTTATATTGTGATCAATGAGGATCTCGGAGATGAGGCTACCATCATCAACATAACACCGTAGCTCATCTAAAAGGATACGAGGAGATATTAAAAAGATCCATACATGACCATTAAAAAAAATTCATCTAAATGAAGATATTAAAAGGCCAAAAGCCAATGTCATTGAGTTGAATGTCAGGCATAAGGAAGAACATTCTACTGTTGGTGACCCATATGAATTGCACCCTCTCTAAACATATTATGAAAGGGAACCGTGCACCCCGTAGATTTACTTCAAACATAGTAAATCATCAATACTAAAACTAGCATTCCCTATTAGTAATACCATTATAAAAACCACTGATAGCATTAGAGAAGAACCTTCAATCCAGGGAGACAAAACTTGATATTTAACAGGCCGGAACTCCATGCCAAACACGCGTTGAACGCCGTTCGTCATGGATAATTTAAGGCACCTCTTGATCCCAGAAGGCGCATCCTGATAACTTCCCTTGAGCGGACAACTGATATTATCTCATCAACCTAGAAACATAAGAATTCAACATGGGCAAACGTTTCCAACATCAAAACATCCATTTCTTGAATAGTTTTGAATAAAAACTATAGTTCTATGACCATTAATATTCATATCCAAATTTGGAGCAAATGGAATAAATAAAGGAGCGAACTTGCAAGAGGAAGGGTCCTTCGAGATCAACAAGGAGCATCGAATCAACATTCATATCAGAAAACAAGAATTGTTGAAAGTAAAGCTTCGCCTTTGCAGAGACCTCGAGAGTCGAAAACCGAGGGACCTAGCTCGCCGGTCCTGGAACGCAAGAATCCAGTCACTCTCTCCTCAATTTGAGCCTCATTCTTAAAAGAAAGCCACCAATTGGAGAGCCAGAGCTCTCCACTGATGTAAACAGAGTAGCTGTTTGCACCGCCGGAGGAGAAGGACGAAATCGTCGTCGGAGATTGGAAGTGGTTCGGCGGGGCTATTAGGAGGAGCTAGGGTTACCGATTGGTGAACGAAGGCGGGGCTTTCCTTTAGAGGTTCGCTTTCGAGTAGTTCTTCTTCATCTTCACTGGAGACGCAGTTGAGTCTCAGCGCTCTTCTCGCCATTGATGTTGAGGGTTATGGGGATTTTGGATTTTCCGTCCGCTGGCTTAAATTGGGACCCGTTTTAGATTACCGACCCGACTTCTCGCCCTATTAGACTGGGCCTGCCCGATGTTTTGGATTTGCCCCAATGACATTAGCCCTAGGAACTAGTTAATAGTTATTCTTCATAAAGGCCCCTTTAAACGACTTTCCCCAATTTTTTTTAATAGTAATCAATAATTTTTAATTCTAATCATTTTAAATATGATACATTATAAAAATAATTAAAGATAAAATTTATATAATTTAAATAGATTTGATAAAATTAAAAAATATATTTTATATTGAGCATGTCAATATAAATTTAATATAATTTTTTTATTTTATATGTAATCCATATAAAACAAAAGAGAATATATCATTTATAATTATTATAGTATAATTAGTCAATTATGTAATATTCATAAAAAAAAAAATTAAACCCACATTTTTAATTGATGAAATTTTATTTCTATTGATTAATTTTAGTATTGTAGTAAAGAAAATCGTAATTAATATGTTCTCAAAATAATCACTACAATCAATACATGTACTCAAATCAATGATTTAATAAATCATATTGAAACCCCATTTTGGATCCATTCAGATGAACAGTGAAATTAAAATAATAATAAAATTATTATAATTATAATTAAAAATTTTTATTATAATTATGATTGAAAAAAAAATTTATACTTAATGAACTTAACTGAAATTGATATTTTTAATTCGATGAGCTAAACTACACTATACTTAAAGTGTAGTGGAATCCAAACCCCCACTTTATCTCCTTAAACTCATATCAAGTTCAAAAGCTATGCTTCTATACACAAGGCAAATTCCGATTCTTCAAGTTCAAGGTTGCTTCATCCTACATAAAGGAAGCTAGCTGAGAGATACTTGGGGGATATACCATGTCAATCTGCAGCTCATCCCAATATGCTATGCGCTTGTCTTTGTTCTATTTTTGGTTTGGGAGTGGGAAGGTGATGGTCTGGGTGGACCAAATGATTCCTATGAACCCTACAGGAAACTTTCTTTCCTAGTTAAGTAGTAACCATAATTGCTGAAAGTGGCTTGCATCCTGGCGTTTGTGCTCATTTCAGATTGGCAGATCATGAATCTGGAAATTGAACACGTACACGTGGAGATAACATTGTACCTGGTTCAAACCAAACGTTGAGCTTTGCTTGGTTGAGCCTTCACTAACCCCGGAGAAAGTGGCTGATACCTCATTTTTTGGTGGATGCAAACGTAGGCACAGAATACCATAAACATGTTGGGGCTGATTGACTCTCTTTCTGTAAATTTATTGGTTTATAATATGACCCCCCAATATTATGGTACTGTATTCTCCCTATAAATATGTAAGATATGATGTTTCTGTTACAAGCAGCTGAAATTTATATCAGCAGCTCAAGGAATAGAAAAGTGGGAGCAAAGTTTTGAAGTTTCCAATGAAGGCTAAAGGAGTGAACTTGGGGCTAATGTTGGTGGTAGCAATGATGCTGGGGTTATTGGTTTTGGGTACAAATCTTGTGCATTTGGGATCCAGCTCAATCCATGCACACTCTCTGATTGCATTGGTGAATGCAATAAGGCCCTGCAGGAGAAATTCCTCAGGTGAAACCTGTGCTTCAGGGTCTCAAGGAAAATTCTGCATCTGCTTAGGCTAACAACTTAACATCACATTCTCTCGTCTCTTAAAACTATATGATTTCCAATTGTTGTATGTAGAAAATAAAGGAGAGAACTTTGTGATGTGTAGTACATGCATCTGCACTTCATATCATTGTATGGATACATTCAACTTTTTTCCTGCTTGCTACTACATGCATGATACATACGTACATACATACATACATATATATATATATTATATATCATGTAAACAGAAAAAAATGTGCCAATCTTTTCAGAATTGTGGAGTGATAAGTGGCGCTAAGTGGTGGCTGAGGGCAAGCCACCTTTTCTGGTTCCTTATTCCATTGGAAATATTGAAGCAAAAAAAAAAGATAAATAAATAAATCCATTGGCTATGCCTATACTGCTACTACCTTCCATAAATTCAAACAGCTGGTTTTATGACTGTGTGATATATATACTCTGCATGTAATTCATAAATCGGTTCGTAGCCTTAAGATAGGAAAATGAGTTGCAGGTGTTTGAATTTAAATCTTAAATTTATTGGATATTACCTCTTAAAATTTTGAAACATTAAGATTTAACCAACATATTTTCATACTTAAGGAGCAGAAGCTTGTTCACTTTTGCTTGGAAGGAATTAAGAAGTAGTAATTATGCTTGCCATAAGGGGATAGGCTGACAAATCTTGTCTGAAAAACAAGATTCTTAAAACCCCCAATCCTCTCAATGTTGTCTCAAAAAATGTGACAATAGAATAATAATCAGCCTCAACATATTTCGATGATGCATATTGATGATGCAGCCAAAAAGCAAGCAAACACCAAAAAGGCCATCCGCTTCAACGCAACAAATAATGCTGTCCAGAATTTCAGCACTCAAGTCAGCAGTGCAAACCGGCCATGTCAACTTCAACTCCTAAAAGGGTATCAGTGTCACCCTTTATTCTCAAGAACGATCTGGGTGGTATCCAAAATGGCCATTCATTCTTAATTTCTACTCCTCTTTTTTTTTTTGTTTTTTGCTTTGATAAGGCATTTTGTACTTTTCCTGAGTGATAGACAATTGGGATGATAAATTCATGATTCTGGATCAGCTATGATGATTATTGGTCGGAAGATGCTTTATATGACATGGACGTATTCCTTTTCCGAACAATTTTAAAGACTTGTTCTCTCATATTAGTCGAGCGCATTTTAAAGATTTAACCAAAAAAAGGGCATTTATATGATATGAATATGAAATAGTATGAATAAAATTTACAAACTTAGGTATGAAATGTTCTTGTACTATGGTTTGGCCTGTTATTATGTAGATAAGATCCATGTAAACATCTTTAAAAACGAAATTTCTCAAGAAAGTCCCACTTTGTACTACAACTTTTTTGTTTCAAAAAGTAACAAAAATGAAAACCAGTTTGACAAGATTTCCCTTGTTTTCTTCCAAGCTACTCCAACTATCTTGTATCCTACCAATTGGAAACAGTCTCTCAGACGTTTATGGGTTTGTCCTTAGTATAAGTACTATACTAAGTTACTTTTGCTGTTTAGATATTGCCACGTTTATTTTCTCCCAATCACTGCAGTTGCTTTCAGGGTATTTATCCGGCAAAGCAAACTAAGCTTATTGGTCTAAAATTCATCTGTCTCACCTTAAATATCCTATCCAAATGTCCTACTAACATCCTTAACCACTTTCTAAAAGTGGGGCTTAGATAATCTCCTAAATATTATTCAACCAATCTAACTATCACAAGCGGTAATTTTTTACTTTTCAATACAGATTTCATTTAGATAATCGGTGTAAAAAAATTTTTATCATATAAACATATCATTTTGAGATTGAACTTCGAATTTTTTTTTCACTAACCATTCAAACTAAACATCAATAAAAATAAATAAGCAAGAACTTAATTAGGCCTCGTGGTTACTTAAACACCTATATTTTACGTGCAAAGAGAAGCAAAGTTTTAATTTGGATTCAAAAATGTAAAAATATTGAAAGTGGGACTTTTTACAGATTTCAATCACAATCATATGTAACGTAAATGGTTGGAAGGTTTGGAAAGGCAAACAACTATATTAAGAAAGAAGATACCTCGTAATAATAACCGATAAACTTTAATTCTGTAATAGTAAAATCGATTTAAGAATTGAACATAACCAATTTAAATCTCAATTATAGTTTGCAAATGATATTAAAACTCTCAAATTCTAAGAATAGTAAAAAGATAAGAAAAGAAGTTAATAGTATCTTTTATGCATACCACGTAATTTTTTTTCTTAAAAAAGTTAAAGCAAGTTCAAGTTTATCCATAATTTCTGTTTAACTAATTGCCGGCATGGAAAACATCCGGCGACGACGACAGGACATGGCACGTGACATTGCTACAAATGATGCCACGCAATTCACACATGGCCGAGCCTTCCCGCGCACGGAACGGTCTCTAATTCGATGAGAAAAGGTGGTGAATGTTTTCATTTCACCCAAAGAATAAGATTGAAGAGAGAGAGAGAGCACCGGCATTTTTATTATCCGAGACCCAGGTAACGTCTTTAACTGTTACCTTAACCAATCACCAGCTGACACGTTGACATCACGCCCTTTGTACGTTACCTTCCATGGCATATTAACCGCCTCCTCTGTTTCGGTTTATAAACGCCCCGAAACTTCACTCTGTTGTTTCCTCACAACTCTCTCTCTCTCTCTCTCTCTCTCTCAATGTAATTAGTTGATTTAATTGCTATTTCTTCTTTGCTTTTTTTGTTCTTCGTTTTGTAGCTTTTGTTCTGTCTGGAGATTTTAAGAACACAGAGAGAAAATGGATGATGAATTTGCAAAGCTTATTATGAGAATCAACCCTCCAAGGTATTTTTCACACATGGTGTTTCCATGCCTTTTCTGGGTTTTGTTTTGGAGAAATAATTCAATTCTTTTCTTCCTTTTTGAGTTCTTTTCTTGGTTTTGTTTCACCTGTCATGACCTGAGTTTCGTTTTTGTAGAGTTGTTGTTGATAATGATGCTTGCGAGCATGCTACCTTCATACAGGTATTACTTTTCCCATTTCCCAGTTAAAATATGCAGTTTCTGAGAAAATAGGCCCTGAAAGCAGATTTTGTGCTGCCTGGAACCCTATAATACCTGAAAACTTTCCCTAAGTGGTTTTTGGTGTTATGTTTAGGTTGATAGTGTGAATAGGCATGGTATTCTCCTTGAAGTTGTCCAGATTCTTTCAGACCTGAACCTTGTTGTAACCAAGGCATATATCTCATCTGATGCAGGATGGTTTATGGATGGTATGTTCAAAAATTTTGTATATAAGTTTTTTTTGGTTCTATTAGGTGTTCTAATTTTATCAAACTTTGTTTTTTGTTTTCCAGTGTTCTATGTGACAGATAATCATGGAAACAAAATTACAGATGAGCAGATCCTCAGTTATATACAGAAGGCAAGAGATTAAAGAAATAGTTTTCTGACAAGATTTCATACCTTTTTTTTTTTCGATTTTGATAGGAAGAACTACCTGATCTTTTCACAATTTTTGTTTGTTCAATTATGCAGACTCTTGATACTAGAGTCTCTTTCTTAAATTCAATGAGGAGCTCTGTTGGTGTAATTCCTTCTAAGGAGCATAGCTCAATAGAACTAACCGGTAGTGACAGGCCAGGGCTTCTATCGGAGTTATCTGCAGTCCTAGCAGACCTAAGGTGCAATGTGGTGAATGCTGAGATCTGGACACATAATGGTAGAGCTGCAGCAGTTATCCATGTGACAGACCAGTCAACAGGGCATGCAATTGAAGAACCGAATAGACTTTCAATGATCAAGGAACTACTCTTCAATGTCATGAAAGGCAACAGTGATTTTAGGATACCTAGAATGTCAATTTCCTCTTCTGGAGTAATACATAGAGGGAGAAGATTGCACCAGATGCTGTTTGCTGATAGGGATTTTGAGAGGCCTAAGAATGTGGAATTTAAAAGTTCAAACCCCCATGTAACTGTGCTGGATTGCAGTGATAGGGATTATACAGTTGTGACTATAAGGTCCCTGGATCGACCAAAGCTATTGTTCGACACTCTTTGCTGTCTAACAGACATGGAATATGTGGTTTTCCATGGAACAGTCATCACAGGAAGAATGGAAGCCTATCAGGTTTGAAAGCACAAACAATTCAAAGGTTACCTTGAAATCTGAAGTGGGTTCATACGATCTAATCAAAAAACTAACAGAGCAAAATTCTTTGTGCAGGAATACTATATCAGGCATGTTGATGGATTCCCTATAAGCTCAGAAGCTGAGCAACAACGAGTTGTAGAGTGTCTTGAAGCAGCCATTGAAAGGCGGGCCTCAGAGGTTTTTTCCTTTAAACTACCTTCTTTCCCTTTTATTTTATTCCCTCAATTAGTAATATGAAAACTTCCTTTGAACAACTGCTCTTTTACAGGGCCTGGAATTGGAACTCTGTACAGATGATCGTTTCGGGCTCCTTTCAGACATTACAAGGATATTTCGTGAAAACGGTTTGTGCATCAGAAGAGCTGAAATATCCACCAAGGGTGGGAAAGCAAACGATACTTTCTTTGTCACGGATGTTTCAGGTAATCCCGTTGATCCCAAAACTGTGGATTTGATCCAGAATCAGATAGGACAAGGCAATCTTCAGGTAAAAGGCAATTCCTTTGTATCTCCGAAACTTCCCAAGGAGACAACAGGAAGTTTCCTATTTGGGAACTTCTTCAAAGGACGAAGTTTCCAAAACTTTAAGCTCATCAAATCTTGCTCATAATCTCTGTTCCCTGTTAGTTTTTGGAAGGGAACAGCGAAATGCTTCCTTGAGAAAATACACTGAAGATGTCACCTCTGAAAAGTTACAAAAAGGGAAAAGGTAGCGCTAGCTTCTGTTGCCATTTAGATTTTGTATATAAATTGTACATAATTAATGTAATTCATTCGATTTACAAATGAAAGCAAGTTAGATTGTACAGAATCTGCCATTTCAATGAAACGTTTGTACAGAATTGATCGTCCCAAGACTGGAAAATGCAAATATACTTTAATTTCTACCAAAACATTGAAACAATGAATCTTTATCATGCAAACGTTACAAATGATGTTGTTTAATTGCCCTAATTCTGATTAACAACAACACATCAACTTAACTTGCCAGTCTGTGATCGTACAGAACTGTGCTCTCGCAATTTAGATATGCCAGCATTAAATATCCTTTGTAAGATATTGATCCGCTCTCCGAGGATATACTCTTTGAGTTCCTCAATTGCAGCATATTCCTTATCCATTAGCAGCTCTGCATCTTCACGATGCTTGATTTTAGAGTGACAATTTCTTTAACTGTGTTCAAGGAAAGGATAAACGTTAACGCACAGGTTACTGATGAAACCAACAGCTTCATTGTAAACATAAGTAAACTCTGAAAGTGAAACAGATAACTTTATTCTACTTGTGCCTCGACTATGGTTGAAACTAAATGTTCAATCTCCCTTTCTTCCTGCTCAGCCAATAATTTGGCATGAGCAGCAGCTGCTCCAAGACCCGTTGCAACTGCTGCTCTAATTCGCAATGGTAGAGGTATATCATTCTTCTCTGGAGATATCTCTTGAGATTCTACAAGAGGGTATATTATGATGATTAGGATTTAGGAATGAAAGACTCCAACATAAACATGCAAAAGATCAAATGGAAAGTACACATCGGAACCTTGGAAATATTAAACATCTCATGTCTACGTGCTCAGTGATAAATGATAAAACAAATCAAAACAAGTGAAGAAGATATCATAAAGAAAAAGCTGGCAAGAATTCAGTGGAAGCAATATGAAGAAAATCTACTTTTAATCCCGTAATTTGGTTCCTCAGTAAAAACTGCCAAATCATTGTGTACGACCATATTCAAAAGTATATTTACCTGAAGGACTAGGCCTCTCCTTCATGTCTGACTCTTCGTCATTATAAGCCCTGAAAAATATGAGAAAGAATAGTTCAAAAACATCATAATGACGCAAAAGCTAACAGTAAATTTAGGAGCATAGGGTAAGAAAAACAAGAATAATAGTATTAACTTCTAAACAACCTTTCTAGCTGATAAATTGAAGTGGGAGACAGCAACCCATTAGTTTCATCAATTTCATCGCCATCAAATACTTCCCTTGGACATGACACTTCATCAGAAAGTACTGTAACTGCAGCCTCAGCTGCAGCAGCAGTGATTTGTGGCCCAACCATGGTTGATATGAACACAACCTGTAGGAAACACAATCAGTTATGTGATACATGAATCAGATAAGGTAAATAGTGTGGTAAATAGTGTGTATACTAATGGAACTATATTAATCATAATAACCAAAATTTTGTAGGTATACCAAATAGTTGAAGAATACTTTAGAAATCAAAATGATTAATTACAGAAAGTCTTTGTGTTTATATATGCCACAAACTTTAGAATACATAAGAAAAGCATAAAGTCAGAGCATCCTTAGTAAGACAGCCTGTACAAATTTCTGAACAGAAAATCCTTAGTAAAAACTCTTACCTGCTTCATGGGAGAGCTATAAGCATCTGAAATGGAAGCAGTGCGTTTCTTCTTCAATGGAGGTTCTAGATTCTCAGAATCCCCATTCGTTTCATTCTCATTTTTGCTATCATAACCTTGATCCTTGTTGACACTATTTTCTTGATGCTCGGATGAAGGAACAGGAACTGGTTTTGCACTATTCATGTTCATACCAGGTCCAGTGGAATTGCCCCTTCCTTCGGCAGAATCTATCAAAGACTCCCCAAAAGGCAGCTCAATGAGCTTTGTAACACAATCAAATTTAGACTTGGTTTGAACATTTTGAGCAACAAGATCCCAGTCATCTCCATATTTCAAAACAGAATCCAAAAGAAGTAGAGTTTCTTCTTCAGTCCACACAGCTCCATTTGTAGCACTGTTCCCACTGCAACCTTTCAACTTGAAATCATCCACAGATTTATTCTCCCCGAAATTTCCACTTCTGAAGCATTTGACACAAACCATGAAATGATCCTGCAGATGTAACACTTACAATTTGCTAAAAAACACAAAGGGTAGAAAAAAAACACAAAATAAAAGGATGGACAAACCACTTTCAAAGAACCTAATTAATGTTACCGTGCAACATAACATTTTGTATTGCCCGGAGATGCAAAACTCATCAGTTTACAATACCATACACCGCGTACTTCACTCAACTCCGCAACACAATTCCGTTTTGTACAGGTAATTACAACCAGGACAAGGACATAGAGATAAAAAAATATTTTTTCCAGCCACATTGGCCCCCAACTAACCTAGCTACAGAGTTGCACCTCAAACATGAATTTAGTAAGATATATAACTAATAAAAGCTTGATAAAAGAGACCAATTTCAGAACAAGAAAAATGTGATTACAACACAAAATCATTTACTCCACTTGAGAACCCTTATATTAAATACAACAACAACAACAACAAACTAAGCCTTATATCCCATAACTCTGGGGTTGGCTGTATGAAAGGCTGAAAAAGGAATTATGTTAGGTTGTAATTTTGAATCTTCTTGCGCCACTCATTTCTATCAACAACAATCTTTTCATCTACTTCCTTAACCATCGTATCAATAAACCCTATATTAAATGCTAAGCACAAAATTACCATAACAAAGCATTATTCTTGGATAATTCGTTCAGAGAAAAAAATATTGCATGCTAAAATTAAATGTGAAACAATCTTAAAAAAAAAAAAAAGAATTACCTTATTATGTTCATAATATTCAGATCCACAATTATCTCCACAATTACCACAACGTAGCCTCTTCAAATCACCAAAAACATCTGAATATGAAGCCAAAGGCGGCAACTTTACTCCACTCTCGCCAACCCCACCACCACTGCTCTTCCCCTTAACAACCGGCGCCGACAGAGGACGCAACGAATTGGGAGTGGTCACGACCCGGACCGCATTCGGAGCCTCGTATTCGACCCGAATTCTAAGATCGTTCTCTGAACCATCGAGGGGTCGAGGCGGGGCGACGAAGTTGACCAAACCCCAGGTTTCCAAGAAGAGGAAGACCTTGTGGAGTAAGGTGACGTCACCGACGAGGGATTTGCGGATTTCGGTGAAAGTAAGGCGACGCGAAGGGTCTTCCCTGTATTTGTTGATGATGAAATCTCTGTATTCTGTGATGTATTTGCATGGTGATCATATTAACATGGTGGAGTCGGGGTCACAAGGTGGAGCTGAGGTGGCTAAAAAGGCGAAATAGACAAAAGAGTTGAGCTGACTAGAAACGCTGAAATGAAGAAAGACAGTTATAAGAGCTGACAGAAAATAATTGATTGATTTATGAATTGTTTTTTATTATGTGCTTAATTTGCATAGGACAGATTTTAAAATTATGATATTAGCACATGTATTAAATATAATTATCTTGTACACACATTTGAGAAGTATGAATGAAAATTTATAATTTTTTTTTATTTTTTCAAATTCTCTCTTCTCTTTATTTTGGTTTGGTCTTTCATTTCTTTAATTATCTTTTTTTCAATTGACTTATTACATAACATATTGATATCAAAACTTTTTAAATTTAATATGGATAAGCAAAACAAATTCAAATTCATGGCTGAATGCACCAAGTTTACCAAGTTACAAGAACAAGTTCAAGCTTTTCAAGAAAAAATGGAAGCAAAACCAAAATGGTAGGAGGCCCAGCGAAGTAACATTAAAGCTAAGCTAACAGAAAATCAGAGGAGTATTCATTTGGTGCTCGAACAGAAGAGTATTCTTGAAATTTAGCTAGCTGAAAATCAGAGGTATATTACCTAGGTCCTTGAGCTATTATCATCATAAAGAGCAAAAACTGGTCAATCTAAGTCAAGAGGTGCTAGAAGTTCCATCAGCAATCAACCTACTCCATTGTCTCAGTTCAGAAAAAAAAGTAAGGCCTCTATTCAGATTATTGTGATAGATAATCAAGGTAAATATACTTACAAAATTGATGAACCTATAATTTTAGTTAAAAACCAGCCTGAAAAACAAGAGTTATTTTTTAAAAAATAATGTTGGACAATATAAAGGGAGTGATTTCGATGCTGGGAATAGCTCTAATACTATAGGAAATGTATATGCCCTAAGACCCAAAATAGAACTTCATGTATTTGATGGTAGCAACCCAAGAGGATGGCTTAAAAAATGTCAAAAATATTTTGTTATATTATTCATTAGTGACCATCAGAAGCTTGAAATTATTGTTATGTATTTGACTAGGAAAGCTGAAGTGTGGTTTGATGGTTATGTTATGCAACGGAACATGGTGACTTGGCAACAATTTACTAGTGATCTGTGTCTAAGGTTCTGTGATAGAACTTGTTCTAATGTTATGGAGGAATTTAATAAATTGAACCAAAAAGGGTCAACGAATAAGTATCAAGAGAAATTTCAAGAATTAAAACCTTATATGTTGCAGTTCAATCCTCATTTAATAGAAGAATATTTTGTTTCCAACTTCATCAGTGGGTTTAAAGAAGATTTAAAGCAAATGAGCCTGGTAACCTTACTGCTGCATATAGACAGGCTAAGCTACATGAATTGTCCCTTGAATTTGAAAACAAAAGGTTTAGGCAGTTTCTCAAAACTATCATTACTTTTAATATTTGACCCTACCTAAAACCAATACATTCAATTACCAACCAAACACTAAAAATCACCCAAAATGCCTCACCTATAACTAATAAACAACAATTAATAGAGCAAAAGAGGGCACAAAACTTGTGTTTCAAATGTGATAAACTATTTTCTCTTGGACATGTGTGTAAGTTCAAACAACTTAATGCTATTGAAGCTGATGAGATGACTAAAGATAAAGACTATGGTAATTTTGAA